AAATTCAAATTTTCCTCAACATTTTTACATATCAGTCATACACCATATATAATTTATTAAAAATTTTACCTAATTATATAAGGGTTACCTCTCTTGAAACTCTTTCAGAACATATTGAACGATTTCCCATCAGTTCTGTAAATTTATATGAGTTGGCATTTAATTTTTTGGCATGTCTGAAGTAATGAAATCAAGATGATGATATTTTTTACCTTTCATTCAATTCAACTTAAAAATGATTCAAATACTTTCAAGAAGGATGGTAAACTCATCAACTGAAAATCCAAAAAAGGCAGACTTTTGGATTGTCCCAAGTTTCCAACCGTTTTATTTTACTCCAAATGTTCTTGAACTCCATTTTCTTGATTTTATGAAGCTTGCTTAGTGTGGAATTTGGCTGATTTTGCTTGATTGTATTATCTTAATGTAGAACGGTGGAATAGAGGGGGACGGCTACAAAGGGACAGCATCACGGGTCGCCAAAATATCACCGCACACTAAACACGAAATATTCGAGGGCTTGACAGTTGGTAGGGCAACGCAGGTTTGTAATTACAGCAAAGATGTCAGGATTATATAATTCACACACCATATTGCTCTTCTAAGGTCTTTCAATCAGTATGACATACATATATATAAATGTTTCGAATGATAGAACTGTACATATGTATTAGTCCTTTAATATAAAAAGTAACAATCTTGCTTTCATTTCATACTTAAATTTATTGAGAGTATTCTTATTGCTAGTACTGTAAATCACTTTTTATTCGCGAGAACTTTATTTTCGCGTAATTACGCGAGACAATGCATTCGCGAAAATTTAATTCTCACGTATAAAAGTATTCCTTACGATTATATAGATGAATAATAACTATTCGTGAAAATTATGTCTCGCTTGCAAAGAGTCAGTGACAATCTCGCGAAAATAAGGTGTCGCGAAAATTTAGTGATCTACACTAACTTATTCTTACATCTATTGAGTCAAATACATTTCTTTTTGTCTTCGTATTGTTTAAAAGTCTGGATATTTAATTTTTTTAAAAATTCCTTATATTAGACAGTATTTTATTTAAAAAAGCGTAAACTGCCCCAAGTTTTGTTATATCGGATAACATAAGTTGAAATAAGCTTCATTCCTTATAATTTAATTTCAGTGTAGACAATCAATATTTTCCGGAAAAAGGTTTCAATTTGAGCATTATTTTAAAAATAACGTCAAGCGCAGTAATATGTTTTTGACGTAAAGCATTGTGACGTAGGCAAGTTATGTTATACAAAATATTATATGTTCCTTAGAATGATTCATAATAGGAAATTAAATTATTTGTGTGTGATTTCTAGATCTTTATAGAAACCACTAATATAACAAGTATTATACTTTCCACTATCAGTTTTATCTGATGTTGTTACTTTTGATAAGTTTTGATAATGAATTTTCAAGAAAATAACCATACTGTAGAGCAAAATGCATGTATTTTAACAGAAATAATAAAGTAGATATTGCATGTGAAGACCCAGCATTCAGAAGATTTAACTGTAAGTTAACTTTTCTTGATATTATAAAACTTATTGTAGCATATATTAGTGAGAAATCAGTACCATTACTACCTTTGAATAATTAAAGATTAAGCATTTCATTTCTACAAAAACAAACAATGTAAAGGAATTTTATAAAAAACCAAGGAATTAAGCTTATTGGAAAATATCATAATGACAATGCGTTTCATATCAAATTTTTTAGCTATTTTGTATGAGAGAAACTAAATTCTACATATTTCATGACTACCTTAGAATGAAGCTAGGAGCAAATTAAGGGTCTAGGCATTTCATTACTGTTTAGGAGTAGAGCTTAGGGCCAAGGTATTTTATAATTAATTAACAAGGAGCATAGCTTACTTAGCTTAGACTTAAGGCATTTCATTACTGCTTAGGATTAAGGCATTTAATAATGTTTAGGAGGGAAGCTTAGGGCTGAGGTATTTCATTACTATCAAAGAGTGTAGGCATTTCATTACTGCCTGGTATTGAAGATAGGATCCAGGCATTTCACAACCCCTGGGGAGTATAGCTTAGAGCTAGGGCATTTCATTACTGCTTACGAGTGAAACTAGAATCAAGGCATTTCATAACCCCCTAGGAGTTAAGCTTAGGGTAAAGGCATTTCATTACTGCCTAGGAGTGAAACTAAGGATCAAAGCATTTCATTTATACCTAGGTATGAAGCTTGAGTGAAGGCATTTTATCACTACATAGTAGTGAAGCTTATGATTAAGGTATTTCAGCTCTACCCAGGTGTGAATCTTAGGATCAAGGCCTGTCATTAATGCAGAGAAGTTAAGCCTAGAGACAAGACATTTCATAACTGCCTAGAAGTGATGCTTAGGATTAAGGTATTTCATTCCTGCTTAGGAGTGAAGCTTAGGGCTAAAGTATTTTATAACTAATGAGGAGCATAGCTTAGAGTTAAGGTATTTCATTACTGCTTAGAAAAAAGACATTTAATAACTGCTTAGGAGGAAAGCTAAAGATTAAGTTATTTCATTGCTTCTCAGGACCTTTATGGTCACAACTGGCTTAAGTTGATAAAAATAGGTTATTAATATGTTCCTTCACCAAGTGCTTGGAACTTGAAGTCTTCCTGATAAGACTTAAAACTGAGACCCAATGACACAATAGGCATTGGCATTATAAAGGACCCTTACTGTCAATGGCCCTGAGTGCATTTTGAGGCCCTTCACCAGTATAAGGTTAGCACCTCTTTATAAATGAGGAATTCTCAAATGGGACATAAAACACCATTCAATTAAAAAATCATTAATTCTCCCTAGGAGTGAATCTAAGAAATCAAGGTATTTCATAACTGCCTACAGTCAAGGCATTTCATTATTATCGAGAAGTGAAGTTAGGGTCAAGGCATTTCATTACTGCCTAGGATCAGGACATTTCATTAATACCTAGAAGTGAAGTTAAGGTCAATGCATTTCATTACTGCCTAGGATCAAGGCATTTCATTAATACCTAGAAATGAAGTTAGGGTCAAGGCATTTCATTACTGCCTAGTAATGATGCTAACGATCAAGGTACAGTGTATTTCAATTCTACCCTGGTGTGAATCTTGGGAACAAGGCATTTCATAACTGCTTAGGTGTGTAGCAAGGTTCAAGGTATAGCATAACTACGGTTTAGTGAAGCTCACAGTCCAGGCATTTCATAAACACATAGTAGTTAAGCTGAGGGTCAAGGATTTTCATTATTGCCTAAGAGTGAAGCTAGGATCAAGGCATTTCATTACTGCCTAGGACTTAAGCTGAGGGTCAAAGTATTTCATTACTGCTTAAAAGTGAAACATCAGATGAAGGTTTTTCCTTATAATGTCAAGCAGCAAAATTTAGGGTCAAGACATGCATTTACAAAATTGTTTAATAATATTACAATGCAAGACAATTTTGTCCCTTTTTAGGAAAAGTTAACAACAAAAATGCCTATGAATTACTCTCATTACTCCTAATACGAGATGTTGAATTTCATTGCTTATGAGTGAAGTTAATTTATACTTCACTACGCCCTGTAGCTAAAATGACTATATGTACCTAGGCATGTTTAGTGTCTTGACATTGTTTCAGCTTAGAACACCCATGCATTTCAATGCTATCAATGAATAAAAGACTTCAAGTTTGGCATTTTGTTCCTACACAAGTTTGAAGTGCCTTCACATTTTGTTTTTCTGAAAGACAAAAAGATGAAAACATACGCATTAATCACTTCCAGTAAATGATAACAGTATTATCAGTTCTTCACTCTTTGATTATTGTTATCAGTTCAGACCTAATTTCTACAGTATTGTATTTTTCTCAAATAAATATTTCATCTTTAAAAGTATAAATCCAAGAGATTATTTTCGTAATGCTCAATATTTATCTCTTAAGTTATTAAACAACATTTTCTCCAAGATACTGTCACCCAGATTTTCTTCCAGAATGTTCGTCCATTGTTATCTTAACCCAGTTTTTCTTTTGCGACGTAAGAATTGAATCCCTGCCAATGTCCTTTTTCTGTGTTAAAAACACACACAAGCAAATACAATGATAAGATTTGTGATGTTTGATTTAAAATGTTACAAGATAACAGCATTGTCAATATTTTACTTTAATAAAGTAGATAACCAAGTTTTCATACAAGTAAATTAAAATTAAAAAAAATTCTGGTTTACTAAGTATCAAGTGACATCAATTTAAATACATAATTTCGATCTAGGAGATTTTATGTTACCAAAACAAAATCAATTAAAACTTAGATCAAACATTTGTATTATACAATTGATACGAAATTTTATATTATTTCAGCTTGCACAATCTGGAGAATTATCCAAAGATTCAGTACAGCTGTACTTGGATGCCAGCGAGCGGGCTCGTCTTCTTGTGGAGAATTTCTTTAACTTGACTCGCCCACTTTATTTTGACTACACCCACTTAGTTTGTCGGAAAGCCATCACAGGTAGAGAATTTATCTGTGGGACTGGCCCACTTTATTTTGACTTTACCCACTTAGTTTTTCAGAAAGCTGTCACAAAGAAAGTTTATTGTTGGACTTGCCCACTATATTTTGACTTTACACACTTTGTCAGAAAGTTGTCACAGGTAGGCAGTTTATCCATTGGACTTGCCCTCTATATTTTGACTCTACCCAACTTGTCAGAAAGCTGTCACAGGAGGAGAGTTTATCCATGGGGTTTACCCACTTTATTTTTACCCACTCTTTCCGAAAGCTGTCAATGGAAAAGAGTTTATCTATTGGACTTGCCCACTTCATTTTCACCATACCTATTTGTCAGAAAGCTTTCACAGGAAGAGTTATTCCATGGGACTCACCTACTATATTTTGACTTTACCCATTTTGTCAGAAAGATGTCACAGGAAGAGAGCTGTTCCCATTGGACCTGCCCACTTTATTTTGACTTTACCCACTTTGTCAGAAAGATGTCAAAGAGTTTATCCCTTGGACTTGTCCACTATATTTGATTTTACCCATTTTGTCCGAAAGCTGTCACAGGAAGAGAGAGTATTTATTGGACTTACCCTCTTAATTTTGACTTGACCTCTTTGTCAGAAATACATATATCAAAGAGTTTATGTTTTGGACTCGCCCACTTTGTTTTGACTTTACCCACTTTGTCAGAAAGTTGCCATGGGTAGGTAGTTTATCCATTGAACTTGCCCACTTTATTTTGACTTTGCCCACCTTGTCAGAAAGCTGTCACAGAAGGAGAGTTTATCCATAAATGTATCTTATTTTCAGGTACAGTTTAGTTGTATTCATTTCTTCAGACTGGGTTAAGTCATGACAAGAATTTAATCTTGATTAACAGCAAAAGCATCAAGTTTAATGCTGCATTAAGATAATCTACCAGGTAGACCTGTATGTAGGGTTGCCTTATTCTAACATATTTAACACAGGGATTAACTTGTTGTGCCAAGATAAGCAAACTCTTGTCAGATAAATTACTGAAAAATAGACCTATTATATGTAAAGCTCCGTAAATTCTTTATTGAAAATAGTAAGCGTATTTTGGACCATGATTTTAGATGATGAGGAGCGATCAGACTTGAGTCACCCTGTTCATGCAGACAACTGTCAGATACAGCCGGACGGATCCTGTCTGAGACAGTTCCCAGCGTACATCGCCAGAGACTACAGGTCCAGTCTTGTTCTATCTCCTTACTGCATTGTATCGTATTATGTAAAAAAAAAAAACTCGAATGTCTTTATCATGGTTTAAAAAGGAAAGGTAAAGATAACAATTTATCAACAGATATCTTAATATTCCTACCCACTTGTGTAGTTTAATAATCAGTTAGAAGATTCCTTTATTACTTATTTAGCTTTACGTTGATTTTTTTCTCTCTCTCTTTCTTTACAGCGCCGTCTTATATCTAAATGGAGAGGAAGACTTTCTGGGTGGGGAATTCTTTTTCGCCCATGACAATAAAACAGAACAGGTTTGTCCTGCTATGTATTTCTTTTGTTTAGTCTTTTATTATTTTTACGTATTACCTGGGTATATAGAAATATATTTGAGTGAGACTGGTTGACAGGGGATGCTCACTCCTCCATGGCACCTGATCCCACCTCTGATGATTTGGAGGTCCGTGTTTGCTCTGCTCCTGTTTTGTATTGTTTTATGGATTTTTTATCTTGAATCTTGTTCGTTATCTCCATACGTTTCATTGAGGAAGTAAAATTTTACAAATGAGAAATGTCCGAGTTATCTGTGGAAGAATTTAAATCTAGATGATAGACTGATTTTGATCACTGTTTAATGTTGATCCTAAATTCGACATCTGAGAAATGTAATCTTTGGTGCGCGTAGTATGGGATGGAATGTGGATGGATTGATTTTTTTTAAGTGGCAGATAATGCAAATTTGTGAGAAAGCCTCCATTTTTTCTACTCTGCGTTGAAAATTTATTTTTGATACATGGTTTAATAAATGTTTCATATATATAAACTGAAGACTGATTAACTAGAACACTTGTTTTTGATCGAGAGAAAGTTATTTCCTTAATCTTTTAAGTAAAGTAAAATTTTGTATAGAAGGTAACCCTTTGAAGGTTAGATATATATAGCGTCATTTTTACATTGCCTGTCATTTTCGTGAAAAATCTTTTTTCAATAGAATTAGGTCTTAAACCTGCAGAGCACACTCTTTATTTTACAAGATTACTCTTCTGAAACGAAAAGTTCGAATCCCACTGTGGGACGTTGAGACCAGTCCTTTGGATGAGACCGTTTAAACTGAGGTCCCGTGTCGCAGTAGGTGCTGGCACGAAAAAGATCCCTCCCTGCTCAATGGCCCTGAGTGCCGAGTAAAGGACAAAATTTGCAGCTCTCCATCGGCAAGTGGTGGCGTCTCCATATGAGTGAAAAATTCTCAAGAGAGACGTTAAACAATATACAATCAATCAATCTTAAACGAAAATACCGGTATATCATAATGGATGCAGACTGAAGTTACAAACATAAATGCACTAAATTCCAAAAGGGAGAAAAAAATAGTCCCTTGAATGTAAAATATTTTATTATTTCAGATTAGCGTATCCCCTAAGTGTGGTAGGATGGTAGGGTTCAATGCAGGGGATTATCACGGAGTGAAGGCAGTACGTAAAGGTCGGCGATGCGCGATAGCCATGTGGTACACAATGGATCCAAACACGCAGGAGCTAGCTCGCCTCCAGGCTCAAAAGAAAATGGCCGACCGAAGTTCTGTTCGAGGGCGAACCCGATCCAGGGAGCAAATGGACATAGAAAGTAATGGCGAGAAGGAGGATCAAAAACGTCATTCAAACAGAAATCAGCATGGGGATCATGATATTGATACAAATAAAAATAAGTTTGATGACAAAGAAATGAATAATTTCGAAGAAGAACATTCTGATGTCATTACTATTCAAGAAGAAATTGAATTGAAAGCGATTGAAAAAGAATCTGAGAGGCAAGAAGAAATTATTTCAGAAATAAAAGAGAATGAAGACCACGAAGAATTATGATATTAAATAATGAAATTAATCAGTTTTGAGTTATTTGTTAATTAGACCTGGATTCTATTTAAGAATTTCTTATAATGAACTTCATTTTTGGCTGAATTTGGGAGAAAGTTCCATGTTTACTATGACCTGTTCTATTGGCTATAAGAAGACATTTTACCTCTTTTACTTTCCAAATCTCTTAATCTTGTTAAAGGTTCAAAATCTCCTACATGTAGTAACATTTTCTCTTCCAATTTAGTCCGAACAATCTTACGTTTTCCAGGCTTTTTTTACGACTTTGATATTTTATGTGCCAGAAAATATCAAAGTCGTAAAAAAAGCTTAGAAAAATCAAATATTTCGGACTACTTCCAATGGAATGCTCTCTTTGTTCTTTGTTTTTGTTTGTTTTTTCTTTACACATTTTTAAGAAGTTATTTAGATCATCGAAGAAAAATGAATATTTCAGGAAACATGGATAGAGTGTAAATTTATCGATGTTTTTCAATATTGTAGCACGTTCTTTTGATTCCAATAACTTGATTAACTGAGAAAACGATTAAATCCAGACATCTTTGTGTTGCCTAAACGGAAAAAATAATCAAGTTAAAATATCAAGAAAATATCGGTCTGTATTTTTATGCTACATTAAAGGCTAGTAATTCGAGAGTTCTTTTTCTGTAAGACTTTTGTATACTTCCGAAGATAAAGGCCAAAGAGTCAAATTCATAATTTATACATGTATACTATTCAGAAAAGTAGGGGATATTGGATTTACAAGGACAATAAATGCAGACCTTGAGGCCAGGAAGGAAACAAATGAGAAACAGAAAAACATTAAGCAAACATTTGTCTATTTGAAACCCTGTGTTCAGTAAGAAAAGGAGAGATTCTCCAGAATATAGATCGACATCAGCACAGGGTCGCACAGTAAACTTACCACCATTGTAAAACAGTCGGTAGCGGGTAAAATCCCCTGGATTGGCCAAACAAGCTAGATTCGGCGTGACATACTCCTAACGAGAAGTTCCAGGTCCATTTGGGGAAGGTCATTCCATTCCTGTTGCAACGAAGCAAGTTCTTGGAAATTTGCAGGAGGTTCTTGACGTTGGCGTAGGCGCTGTCCAAGCATATACTAGACATGCGCGACGGGGCAAAGGTCCCGACTGAGTACGGACCAAGGTATTGTGGGTATATTATGCTGTTGGAGATAATCTGTAACATCCTAACCCTATGAAACCTGGCATCAACATCCATAAAAATGAAACAGCGGCCATAACGACGTGCAAACGGCGCAACATGGGTTGTCAAGATGTTTACCCAAAAGTGCTGCCCTGTAGCACGTCCAGCAACAACAAGCAAGTCTATTCTGCCGGCAACAGTGATGCCTTCCTACACCATTGCGGATCCACCCCCATACCAATCATTTTTAATGACGTTAACGCCATGGAAACGTTCCTTACGTCGGCGTTAAACCCTGCTGCGTCTGTTCAGGAAGTTTTCAATGAACCTCGACTCGTCTGAGAACATTACGTGGTTCCATCGGCGATTATCCCAGCGTTGAAGATGACGACGACACCTTTGAAGCCGTGTCCTAATGTGACGATCCCTCAAACAGGGAATGACACGAGGACATCAAACGTGTAAGTAACATCTCTACAGTCGATTCCTGGCGGTCTTGCTAATATTAATACTAAGCCAGTATCCCTTTGAAGTTAGACCTTATCCGACTTGCTATTAAAAACGGTTTATGTAAATGAATCTGTACTGAGCCTGCGTTGTTGACCGGATCGTGGTTTATCCTGCACAGACCCTGTAGCACGATGTCTGGACCATAATCTGCTGATAACATACTGGGAAACATTTGCCCTAGATACAGTGAACTGTCTTGAACCAACCTGTAGCATGTCAAGGGCACGTATGTAACATCTCATCCTGTGTTAGACGCGATATATGATTTCTCGTATATCGTCGGCTGAAAAACACGACTGGCCAACACTATAGTATCGGGCGAAGTAGAGTATTCACTATTTTTAGGAACATCGATTCCTTTAAAAATTCAAGTCATTTATAAGTTGGCTAGTCGTCGCCCAATCATTTATAAGTTGGCCAGTCGTCGCCCAATCGTTGTCCGCTAATGCCTTGGTCACATTTCAAGGCCGGTGGCCGTAGACCGTTGGTAATCAGTGGTAATCCGTGGTGTGAGCGATGCCCCAACATCGGTCCACATCGGCCTAGTAGTCCTTTAAGTATTAGTCACATTATCCAGGGATGGGGTATACGATGGGCAACCGATGCGTTTTTTGAAAATGGCGTTGTTGCCGGCCGGACTTACAAAGGCCTAGCGATGCAGTGGTAATCATAAAAGTTGTTCCAGGGTAGTCGGCCGATGTATATTACATCGCTCATACATTGGTGAACTTCGTTCGTACGTCGGTCGACTATGGGCCAATGTTTGTTCGAACATCGACCGATGATCGGCCAATGTATGTTGCCCACCACTCAACCCCCAGATGACCTCGGATTCAATGGACACTTGACGATGCTCGGCCATACATCGGCCAATCCTTGAAAGATATGTTGATGGGTTGCCGATGTTAAGCGATGTGGGGATCGATGGAGACAACGCTGATTTTTTACTACAATTTATTTTCTACCGATGACCCCACCGATTCGCCAAATGGCCCCAGTCACCGTCCGATTACTATAGGTGTTCGGCCGGCAACCAAGCCATTTTAATAAAAAAAAAACGCATCGGTTTCTCATATACCCCATCGCTGGATAATATGACTGATACTTAAAGCCTAGGTCACATTTAAGCCGATGGTCGGGCGACCAAATTTTTCTGGTGTTGTCTGCTGAAAGAATATGATCGGCCGAAACAAGTATCGGGCGACACGGAGCAGTCACAGTATGTCATAGGAATTCACCGATAAAGTATCAGTCATAAAGTTCGACCAAACATTGGCCCATAGTCGAAAGACGTACGAAAGAAATTCACCAACGTATGAGCGATGTAATATGCATCGGCCGATTACCCTGGAACATCGTTTTATGATTAGCAATGCATCGCTGGACCTTTGTAAGTCCGGCCGGCAACCACACCATTTTTATAAAAAAAAAAAAAACGTATTGGTTGCCCATCGTATACCCCATCGCTGGATAATGTGACTGATACTTTAAGGACTACTAGGCCGATGTGGACCGATGTTGGGGCATCGTTCACACCACGGATTACCACCGATTATCACCGGTCTACGGCCACCGGCCGGGAAATGTGACCAAGGCATAAATAACAAAAAATCTTTTTTCTTTAGAAATCAGCAATAATTTTCATAGATCTATATTCATCATGGTGTCATGAGTTTTGTTTGGAAGGCAACGTGGCAGAATTTTGTAAAATTGTGACACATTGTTAAAATTGTATGCAGAATTTTTATAGATTTGCGAAGAAAACAACAAAAGGTGCATATCTAAGCAGCAAAGAAAACTAAAGATTTCTTTATATTTTACGGATTTATTATTTATGTCATTTCCATTCAAAAAATATAATTTCAATCCATGAATCAAAATTTTGTTGTTATGTATCCTTAATAGGTTAAATTGCATAAGTCGGCCAATCGTCGCCCGATCATCGAGCTCTGAGCTAGAGTTCGATTTTACCCGTCTTCCGAAAATTTGGAAACCTTTATCTATCGAATGACGGACGACCAACTTTATAAACTGACCGCCGATGGTCGAACGATGATCGAAGATTGGTCGACGGATTGTGTCAACTGAAGAAAACGGCCACCAACGCAGAAAAAATATTATACCTTGGAACGAAAGACACAAAATTGGTCGGCCGACAAAAAGAGGTCAAAATCGGGCAAGACAACGGCAGATGAACTGCCGACTGTCACCCGAAGAATCCAATTTTCGCTCCAAAAACCGTCAGCCGGTTGTCATTTTTGGAAATGTGACTGGGGTTTAAGCAGCATTTCTATTTTCACCGTTGGTCTAGATGAACGAATACTCATTTCCTAAATTTCGACCGACCAACTACCGACTTAAGAAATGGTCGGACGATGATCGAAGGTTTGTCGAAGGTCAATTCAACAACTGCCTCAATTGAAAGAATCGGCAACTGAAGCAGAAAAAATATCATTTGGCGCGACTGACACAAAATTGGTCGGCCGACGAAAAAAGGGGTAAAAATTGCGTGCAATCCCCCCCCCCCCGACGAAAAAAAAGTCGGTCTTCGATCTTTTTTTAAATGTGACTTGTTTTTTGACTGCTTTCTCTCTGTCTAATTTTTACTTTGCTGTCTGTCACTTCTTGTTCTTGCTATTTTGTAATATTTAACTTTTTTCACTTTAAATTCCACAGAAATTGATTAAAGAGATATCTGTTGCTTTGTCCGGGAGCGACATAAACCACTGTTCTTGAAACATCAGGCTACCCCCAGCCATCTCCTTAAGTACATGTATCTACCTTTCGTTGTCCCCATCCTTCCTTTATGTGTACACCGAAAGCGGCCATGGCAAAGCCTGACAGTATCTCATGTTGGTTAACAGTCCCCTTTTATCCACAGTTTTTTTTTCGTTCATCCAGCTATCTACAGGTTTATTTCACATTTTCCCTATCACTTAATGTGTCATTGAGGAATTTCCTGAAATATTTTACTGGTTACAGAAACTGTATTACGTGTACTAAGTATCTCTCCTTCAATCTTGAATCTTTATTCCTTTACTTTTCTTCATTTCCAAACTTCAAGATTTACTTGTTTTTTTTTTTTCATTCTTGTCGAAATGATGGATGATGCTAGCTCTTATGTTCACTTGACTTCTGTGTTGTAACTATCATGTCATCCAAGAACGCTCTGCCAGGTGGTTTCCCCTACTACTACTAGTAAATGGCGTACTTCTGACTTCATCGATGGTCCTCTTAGGTCTCCTCTCTACGGATTTGACTAACATGTCCATAGCTGCCGAGAAAACTTATATGATGTATTCTATGATCAATCAAAGCATTGCCATGCTGTTGTGAAATCCTGTACCGTAAATCTCAGCTAGAGGTGGTCAGAGAAGTCTTTTAAGCCTTGTCTTCTTTGGTACATGGTATCTTTCGAGTGTCAGTTTAACAAGTTTGTGGGATACTGTCCTATAAACATTTGTTAGACTGTACATGTACCTTCCAATTCTCATTTAGACTCGTTGCTTTCCCGGATTATCTGTGTTAATACTTCTATGCCTAATAAATCCTGATACTCTGCATAGGAATATTAATATACTGATTTTCAGACATGTAACAAGACATTTTCAGAGCTAAAATTCCAAGATGTATTTTCCTACTACATTCCTGAAAGATATTGCCATGTATTGTTTTAGTATTTCTGATTTTTCTTCATTGAAATTTTAAATAAACTTCTGTTCCGTATCAACTATCTGCCAATCGTCTTCTCCTCGAAAATCTCTTGGCAGGTTCAGGAGAAGCGTTTCTTGTAATCTTTATATGGCACTACATTTGGTTCCGTTGCTGAAGCAACTCTGGCTTGCTTGATTACACCTTCCACTTCTTTTAGCTTTGGGGTAGTGATTTATATAAATAAACAAGAGGCCCATGGGCCACATCGCTCACCTGAGAAACTTTGGCCATTCCGTTCTTTACCAGATTCCCCCCTTGTAATACATATTGTGACCCCACCCTACCCCAATGATCATAACTTAAACAATTTGAAATCTACACTACCCCAGTATGCTTCCACACAAGTTTCAGCTTTTCTGGCCCAGTGGTTCTTGAGAAGAAGATTTTCAAAGATTTTTTCTATATATTTCTATGTAACACTTTGATTCCCCATTGTGGCCCCGCCCAACCCCCAGGGGTCATGATTTGAACAATTTATAATCTACACTACCCCAGGATGCTTCCACATAAGTTTCAGCTTTTCTGGCCCAGTGGTTCTTGAGAAAAAGATTTTCAAAGATTTTTCCTATATATTTCTATGTAAAACATTGATTCCTCATTGTGGCCCCGCCCTACCCCCGGGGGTCATGATTTGAACAATTTAGAATCTATACTATCCCAGGATGCTTCCACATAAGTTTCAGCTTTTCTGGCCCAGTGGTTCTTGAGAAGAAGATTTTTCCTTTATATTTCTATGTAAAAATTTGATTCCCCAACCCCCGGGGGTCATGATTTGCACAATTCATAATCTACACTACCCCAGGATGCTTCCACATAAGTTTCAGCTTTTCTGGCCCAGTGGTTCTTGAGAAGAAGATTTTCAAAGATTTTTTCTATATATCTTTATGTAAAACATTGATTCCCCATTGTGGCCCTGCCCAACCCCCGGGGGTCATGATTTGAACAATTTAGAATCTACACTACCCCAGGATGCTTCCATATAAGTTTCAGCTTTTCTGACCCAGTGGTTCTTGAGAAGAAGATTTGCAAAGATTTTTTCTATATATTTCTATGTAACACTTTGATTCCCCATTGTGGCCCCGCCCAACCCCCAGGGGTAATGATTTGAACAATTTATAATCTACACTACCCCAGGATGCTTCCACATAAGTTTCAGCTTTTCTGGCCCAGTGGTTCTTGAGAAAAAGATTTTCAAAGATTTTTCCTATATATTTCTATGTAAAACATTGATTCCTCAGTGTGGCCCCGCCCTACCCCCGGGGGTCATGATTTGAACAATTTAGAATCTATACTATCCCAGGATGCTACACATAAGTTTCAGCTTTTCTGGCCCAGTGGTTCTTGAGAAGAAGATTTTTCCTTTATATTTCTATGTAAAAATTTGATTCCCCATTGTGGCCCCGCCCTATCCCCGGGGGTCATGATTTGCACAATTTACAATCTACACTACCCCAGGATGCTTCCACATAAGTTTCAGCTTTTCTGGCCCAGTGGTTCTTGAGAAGAAGATTTTCAAAGATTTTTCCTTTATATTTCTATTTAAAACTTTTATTCCCCATTGTGGCCCCGCCCAACCCCCGGGGGTCATGATTTGAACAATTAAGCATTTACACTACCTCTGGATGCTTACACATAAGTTTCAGCTTTACTGGCCCAGTGGTTCTTGAGAAGAAGATTTTTTAATGACCCAACCCTATTTTTGTCTTTTCTTGATTATCTCCCCTTGTGAGGGGACATGGCCCTTCATTTTTACAATTTAAATTCCCCTTTACCCAAGGATGGTTTGTACCAAGTTTGGTCAAAATTGGCCCAGTGGTTCTTGAGAAGAAGTCGAAAATGTGAAAAGTTTACAGACGGACGGACAGACAGCTAGACGGACGGACGGACGACGGACAAAATGTGATCAGAAAAGCTCACTTGAGCCTTCAGCTCAGGTGAGCTAAAAAAAAATGATTCGGCTCTTCATTGGGTCACTGTGCATCTCCCTCAAATACTTCTCCACGTCCTTCTTTGAATATCGCAATGGTTTGGACCCTTTATTTCCTAGCAATCCTGATGTAAACAAGAATGGGTCTGATGTAAACCTTGTTCTTGCTCTATCCCTCCGTTTCCTTGACGCCTGTTTCTTTCCGCTTTTATTGCTATCTTAAGATGTTTCCTGATGTTAGTTCTTAAATGTGACAATGCTCTTTTCTCGTCATGGGCTGTCTTTATATACCACTTACGAAGCTACCGCAGGTCTTAATGTGCCCTTTCCTTCCCTTTATCTCATGTTATTCCTCCCCTCTTCTCTTGACTTTTCCATTTCATCCGCGCCAAACCTGTCGAGGCCTACATTATACATGTATATACAGCTCAACAAACTTTTTGAGCTCACATGGTTTTACGTACAAATTAAGGTTACATTTTTATAATAAAAATTACTATTTCGATCCTCAGAACGATGACATGGCCCTACGTTACATTACAAATATAATTTCAAGTATAAATGTCCTTTAATATTATTATCTTAAGTTTCCAAAGTGGATGTTTCAGAGGGGAATTTATCAATAAATGGTACGATGTTTCTACTATATAGGCCTCTACCATAGGTTATAATAACCTATGGTAGAGGCCTATATAGTAGAAACATCGTAATATTTACAAATAATGCAAAACGTGCTTTCTTTGATACAATGTAGGTGAAAATTTTTTAAAAATTTCTTCTTAAAGGAGAGGATTTTTTAAAATTCTTTGCTCATTTACCATACTCATCTGGGTTTTGTCGAAATGTAGCACCGAAAAGAGAAAACATTACAGAAAGAAATCATACTACAGGGTAGGATTATGAAGTATTGTTTATTTTTTTAAATAGTAATTTTTTTCTATCTAAAGGAAAATTCTTATGCATTTACAGTTTGAAACGTTAAAATTTTGGTGTGGGGTGAGTCTTTCTTGATTCTAGATTTTAGAAGGTGACTCTGAAAAATGCCACCTTATTAACATACAAAGCAGTAAAACAGATGAAAATACTATTATCACCCTGTGCTAAAGAGTCAGAACGTACAGAAAATACAAGTTACAGTAGCTGTACTGTGCCCGTATCTATGTTTCTGCAAAGAGCTACAATGTACTGCTTTCAAAAGAACGGACAAAAAGACATCTGCAATATGGCAAGAAACCTCAAAAACTCAAATGGAAATAGTTGTTATTATATCAAAGTTCTAGCAATTGATTTGTATGAATTATGTTTTGGTAAATGAAATAAAACTCAAAAAAGTAAACAAATACTTTAAAATGTATTTTGATGTCTCAATAGAACAATATTACATTATAACAATGTGACCTTAATTTGTGCAAAAAACGATGTGAGCTTAAAAAGTTTGTTGAGCTGTATATACAATTGATGTCTTAGTTTCTTTTTCCTGTCAATACCCCCTGTAAAGGTTGTATCCAGAATTGACTCAACCTCAAAGTCAAGCTGTTCCCAGTCACTTTTGTCACAGAGGAAGTTTTATGCCGAATTTGGTTAAAATTGGCCAAGTGGTTTTTAAGAAGAAGTCGAAAATGTAAATTAAAAAGGTCACATATGGTAGACAGACAGACGGATGGACAGACGGAAATGTGCACAGAGTCCATCAAGACCAACTCTCTTATGAAATACTCAGTAGTCTTTACCTTGACCCAGGCTCTTAAGCTTAAGTTGCCAACTTTCAGATATACATTATATATGTTGATATATAGCTCAACTCGTATTCATCTGGTAAATTTTAGAGTAACGGAGGGAGGTCAATTGATATCCTTATGTCGCGGGTTCGAATCCGAATGTGGGACGTCGTGACCGGTCTTATAAACCAAGCTTCCATGTCGCAGAAGATGCTGGCGACAAGATGCGGCGTCTCCATAATAGTGAAAAATTATCCGGAGGGACTTTTAACAAGAAATTACAAACAATCGATCAAGGTTATAATTTCGAGGTGTAAACAATGTTACTAAATCTCGTGCCCTTTGGGTCGTTGAGCTCAGAATCAGAGTTGCGATTGAAATTCAGTAAATTAATAGGCTCGATGGAACTTATATAATAATTTAAAAATCATAAGAAAATAACACTTGCTCAAATATGATGTTTTTAATTGAGTCATGCATGATTATCAGATACAAGACATTTATAATCATATCAGAATTATAAATTTGACATCGTTTAAATTCCCTATGAGGTAACCTAGAAAATTGTCAAATAAACGTATCCGTTTTCAGATTCTTGGTGTTATATTATATGATCTTCTATAGAAAGGGGAATGTCCTCTTTACACAAGAGCCTTGTATCATGTGTCTATCAGTCTATATAGCTTTAAGAGCTGGTCACGCGTGAATGAATACTAAGCAATACAACGTCAACCTAACAGGTACAGAATGAGATTGTCAATAATCATCACATGTAGTCTTACTTATACAGTACAAATAATTTCCATTTTACTATATCAACAAATCAACAAATATGATATACCTTTGCACTTGGTTCTAAATTAACTCAGGTTGGCATCAATGAACCGCTCGCATTTATGTCCGGTACTGGATTCCGTATTTCGTGGTAAGCTACGATAGTAAACAGAGATCGCAGCGAAATCAGTAAGCACATGTTTTCTACGTTCTATCTTTTATTAAAACTTTATTTAAGCTGGTTATTTTTTCTAGGTAAATTTTAGAGAAATTTTTAAAGCTTAATACGTAAAATGAAATTTGATATGCATGGTTTCTTTTTTTGTAATTTGTTTTCTTACATGATTGCAACAACTTACACACGTTTCAGAAAATTAGGTCAGAAGTGTGAAGCAATCACCATTCCTTTCGAAATCAACTTCGTAAAATAAGCTCAGTTTTTAAGGGTTAATTAATTATTGATATATCAATATTCAGGAGTTTTTAGATCAATATCTATCTGATATTATAAGACAATGCACGCTTCCAGCGCGCCGACCTTTAAAAAGTGGTGAAGCATTGAAATTGCTTCTGGTAAACCAACGTAGTTTTTGTTTACTTGTTCCATATCTCTGTAATGGTTTGGAATGAAAATGGCGAAAGACTGGATACTATAGAACATCGCTTGTAGCCATACAAATCCATATTCATTATATCTCGCCCAAGATATTAAACATGTGCAGTTTTAGAGTTTTAGAAAGAAATACATGTACATATCAAAATCATTTTTAATTAAAATGAAATAAATTGATAAACACTGTATATGACGCATTCTGTATAATTTTGAAACAATATTTTACCCATTTTATGAATAAAATTACGATTGTTGGAGATAAGTCAAATTATTTGATGAAAATATACGTATTTTAAATTTGCGAAATTCTTTATTCGCTAGTATTAATAGCATAAGCCTGGTCTCAGGCTGTGCATCTTGGGAGGTTTCACGTGCAAATCTAGGAAAACAAGCCATTTCTGAGAAAATATGTAGAGGAGAAGTTTTAAATAGCACAGATGCCTCCATGTTTTCATTGATAATCTTTAGAGTAAAGGTGTCGGCGAACAACTGTTTCAATTTGTACAGTCATTCATCCAGTCAGTAATATCTTAAATTCCGAACAAAACTTGTCACGACAATATCATTTTTTTTTATACACGGTTGAAAAAACCACAGTGAATGAATGAAAACTGGCTTTCCCATTAATAGCTGAAATAATTAATACTCCAATAAACAGCCCCATCCGTCATGTCTAATGGGTCTTTTTTTTAAGTCTGGTAAAATAGCCTTGTTTCGCAATTTACTTAAATGCTTAATCCACCTACGTTAAAGTAAACATCGAATTTGAAAGCCATTACAAAGAAGTTGAAGAGGTTTCAAAAGGAGGAATTATTGTCATTTGCTTACCGTGGATTAATTGATCGAATTCTGAATTATGATATTTATTTTAGATCAAAGTAAATTATTTTATTTCCGAGATCTTTGTTACGCACTAGTAAGCCGAGCCAACATAATATCTCTGGGTTGAAAGTGCACTAATTGACTTTTTGTATTTTGAAATCTGTTTTAGTAACGCGCGCTTTATTTTGGTTTTTTGTTTGACAAGGGGGATTTAACGCGATCAATTTCATAATTAACACCGGAACAGGGAGAACGCAAAGAAGTTAGAGGTTGGTTAGCCATTTCTTTTCTTTTGGTCAAAACACAGCTTTAAATTATTATTTTTCTAGCAACAATTTGGAACAACATCAAGCATCTTCGCCTTTTTATAAAAATATCCACACGGATTTGCATATAATTGATTTCAGACCCAACTATATACGGGAAAAGAAACATGCGTGAAATTGATTTCACTATCTTTGGATAGTACATAAAAGAGACATTTAACACAAACTGCCCGTGAAGCATTTCCTCTGTGTCCCCAGCCGGGTCGTTCCTCGGACCGCGGCATTGATTATTGACTCCTTTGTAATGTGAGAGTCGTTTTTATCGTGTGACATATTTGAAACCCCACAATTCTCTATTATTGGGCAAACAAAAACTGAAGCGGCGCTTGTATAACGCAGTTAAATCTATAGAAAAATAGAGGCAATATAGAAGATTAGTGTAGGTGTCCTTTTAAAACTAAAATGTAAAAAATCACGAGGTCAAATGTCACGTTTTCAAGACTATTTCGAAAATCGCTTTAAGGGATTAATGATTTAAGCGATTTAACTGAATACAAAAAAGGTAATAATAGTTTGAAATCGATTTTGAACTGTATGTTCAGACACGAGAGCAGAAAATCTGTCGCTTGTGGCAATGCATTATTTACTTTATTTGTCATTGCCATAGAGCCCGTTAGAATGCTTTGCTATTAAGCATCACCTAACGTGACACAGCAGGCATTGATGAATTTTGTATTTTGTGACTAGTTCCTGGTATGTGTTTTCTTCTTTCTTTCAGAAAACGATGAATAACAGCCCGAAAAATTGGCAGGACTACTTTGTAATGCCTGTGCGAATCTGCAACTCTCGGAGGAAACTTTCGCGTGTCATTTGCGGCACATGTCGGGGACGATTTTTGCTGGCCTGTGTGATAATAGTTGGATTGACCTACATAAACATGCTTATTTATATGCCAGTCTTCCAAGTGTTCCGGAACAAAAATATACATGCTCCGTGTCTACTTCCGGTTTTTGACATGTATGACAAATCTATCAATGATCAGTTTTGGTCACAGCAGCCTCTTCCCTGCGAGAATTGGTTAGATTTGTTTTTTGTTTCTCCTTTAGGGAATTTAACGTTGAATCAAACCGCCGTCCAATTGTCAGGACTACGTAACATCCGGTGTCATTATAGGTACATAATACGCAAATCAGAGACGAAATTTGTGTTTTCTGAAAAATTGGAATACATTTCACCCAAGTATTTGGATGGTGATTTTGTTCACGTTGAATGTTTCGACAATCAAAACAAACGAGTGTACAACAACCTTCATTTCAACGTGGACGCCAAACCGATCCTGAAATCAAGAAAACTAGTGAATGAGTCCCTGGACAAACTTAGTGTTATTGCTTTTGGTTTGGATTCTGTTTCCAGACTCATAGCCGAAAGAAAACTTCCAAAAACGATGAAATATCTTCGCCAGTCTTTAGGGGCGTATGTGTTCGCCGGACATACTCGTTTAGGAGACAGTTCCTTTCCAAATTTAAATCCATTATTAACAGGGTTGATATCTGACTACACTACTCCCGTGCCCCCTGTACACGAACTGCCTTTCATATTTAAGAATTTTTCTGATCAAGGGGCCGTCAACGTTTTTGTCGAGGACTGGTATGAAGTCGCTACATTCAAGGGTTTTACTGACCCACCTACCATGCATTATTCACAGCCTCTGATTCAAGCGATGGATCAAGTCAGGCCCTCCTATCTGGCTATTGACAAAAGTTTCCAATTCCTTCAGAGTCATAATATTCCTCTCCGGAAAGTCTCGGCCTTGTGTTTTGGAAACGAAAAAAGATACAAAATTCTTATGAATTATTATAAAAGATTTATTGAGAAATATGGAAATACTAGGAAATTTGCCTTTTCTTGGATTAATGAACTTGCCCATGATTTCTTTAACATGGTGGAATTGGCAGATGAGGATATTCTTAATCTTTTCAAATGGCTAAAAGAATCTGGGAAATTAGAGAATGCGGTTCTTCTGTTTTTTAGTGATCACGGGCCGCGTTACAGTGAGATACAGAATACCGACATTGGCCGGGTGTCAAACCTCCTACCGCTAATGTCTATTGTTCTTCCCAAACGACTGACTGAAAAATATCCGCATATAGCTCATAACATGAAAATGAATACTGAACGACTTACAACAAACCACGACGTGTTTTTAATGCTAAAAGACATATTATACGCTAATTACGAGGAACAGCCCGTGGTGAAACCTGACGAAAACGGCATGCTGCCATATGAAATCAGTTTATTTCGAGAAATTCCACCTTCTCGTAGCTGTGCAGATGCTCGAATTTCAGATGTCTTTTGTCCGTGTTACACATCTGTACGGGTGTCCAACTCCGACGAGAGAATAATTCAGTCAGCGCATATTGTTGTTGATAGAATTAACGATATTCTGAAGAAAGTTCAAACGAAGTGTGCCAAGGTTAAGTTTGTCTCTATACACCATGCTTCCTTAATATTCCCAGATATGCAGCGCGATTTATCGCAAGAGCGCGCCTTCTCATTAAGAGGTTATTTCTTGAAAGTCAAAAGTTCCACGCGTTTTCTAATAAGCTTCAGCACAGAGCCTGGCAATGCTTTATTTGAAGCACGAGTTGATTATAAAGACCCAGGAGACATTAAAATCCTAGGAAATATTCTGAGGACGAACGCGTATGGAAATCAATCGTCATGTATTGCCCACGCTGACAGGATCAGACGACTGTACTGTTACTGCATCTGAGCAGCAGCAGGCGGGAAATTACCTCGAGTAAGGAGACACGCGGAGGAATCGTCTCTGGAGTTCAGAGCCGAGGCACTTCCGGAACGGTGACCTGAACGGTTGACCTCAGATAATGTGCAGGTGAATGACCTCGGGGTCTCGAGAGATGGATATTGTGAATGTAAACACTACCTCCCCAAAGAGATATTATGACAGGGTAGTAGATATTTATTCTGTGAATACATACGCAGTGCATGGACACAATGGGAGGGTCGGGAACATTGCTGCATATGTATTCTGTCAAACAAGCCTACAAATTGATATTTTAGAATAAAAAAAAAACTGAAAATGATCTCAATTTGTGTTCATCACAGATCTAGACGTATTGATATTTTCTGATGATTTATACAAAAGGTTTGGTGTCTGCTGAATAGTCCAATATGTCTCTAATCGATGAAAAGCGAAGAAAGAAATTTTAATTTTGGAAACAAAAGCCTACAGATTGGTGCATTATTTTGAACCTCTAGCTTTTAATTAAGCCTGTGATATACTTGCAGCTTACAATATTCTGTTTCTTAAATATACATTGCCTTATGTATACAAAGTGTCGGCAAAGCTCAATATCAGTTTTCTCTATGAATGTGCTGTATATATTTTTGCTTCGTTTTATTTTTTCTATATTTTACACGTGTATTTTTTATATATATTTTGTACGTAATTAAGCTGAAGATAATTCTGTGATACAAAATTCATACATCATACTCTTGTAATCTGGTCAGTATCGCTTATAACAGTAGAGACCTAGCTTCTGTTTCCATTTAATATTTCTTGTACATGCATAATACTCTCTTTTGCTGATTCATAGTCATCGCTACATCCATTCATGTATTGTTAAGTTATATTTTATAAGTATGAACTCAATAGCTTCTTTTTCATAATTTACTTTCACACATTTTTTCTAAATATAGAAACATAAACTTTACTTTATGATGATATGTTAAATCCATTTGATAGCCATTGAATTTATTCTAGAATACTAATAATATCTTGATCGCTGGTTAGATCTAAATATATATGTATAGATCTTTTTATCTTTAAGTTCATGTACATGTACTGTACGTAATTTTTGTGCGTGCTAGATTTCATATTGTTTCAACGATTTTTTTCCTTCTCATCAACTATCAATCAATGCAACTTGTTATTCACCAATATTTTTTTAATAGTTATACATAGACTATTTATTGTTTATTTATACTTTTTTTTTTCATCCACAACCAATGCAGCTTAGTCGTGTATCGTTGCCTTTTATCAACAACTGTGAGATAAAGGGTATATTAAGTCAATTATTTGCTCTCTCTATGCACATTTTCAGCATTCTTGAATGTCGCATGATTTATCAGTTAATGTATGTTGTTCTTTTTTTTCATAATTATTTTTTAACTCTATTATTAGAGATTACAAATGAATGTACACTTTTCATTGCATGTGAAGTTGTACTGACTGAATTCAGCATTACTATTTTTATGCAATTTGTCAAGCTTTCATGATTAATGCACGTCATATGATTGCAATGCAAGAGATCTTTCCTTTGTGCCATGTGAGATCAAAATGTTGAGCCACGCGGATTTCTCCGTGAAAGGATTCTTTTTTCTATCTTTATTTTTCTCTACCCCTTTTAAGCTTACAGTTATTTTATGATATATAATTATATATATTGGATGGTTTTTGCCTTTGTAATATTCCTTCGAGGAAGTTTTTTTATGTCGTTTTAAATTTCTTTATAAGATAAGTTTGATCATGTCTGACTATTTTCTGTGCGATAATGTGTTCAAATATAACTCTTACGCTTAGGCCATAATTAACAAAAAGATTGTTTCTCTGCTCTCCCGACCGACAAATTGAAAACTTTTTTCTAACCCCCAGGAAAGAAATGTTTTTTTTTTTTGGTTCAAAATTCTGTTTTTTTATTCCATCGATATCTACTTTAACTTCATATTGTAAGTGTTTTTTACACACACACACACCCAATATCTACCTACCCATTTTTTTAATAATGCGTCGAAATAGCCGGACAATAAACAGTTTTTAGAGATGGCCCTACCGTTATGAATGTGTATTTTCAATTCTTCCGATTTCTCCGTTGCTTCATTTTTGTGTCAAGATATTTAAAAGTTAATATGCACCCCACCCCCTCCTGGTTAGAAATCGCATATAGTGTGTTATTGCCATGTTTTATATAATTTGGGAGAAAAGGAGGTTGGGGGTACCTGTAATCCGATACTTATCTGAACCTGACATCCCTAGATACTTGATGTCAAGTTGACAACATTCATCATAACGATTTTTTGTTTTCTTGATTTAAGTGCCGGTATAGACAATACCATTTATTTTTAATTTTGACACTAGCAAATTTATTTCTATCCACTTTCCCCCGATTTTTTTGCCCATAAGAGAGAGAAAAAAAAAATATTGAAACAGTTCCTTTTGTTTATAATTTATACTTTGTCAACTTTTTAAATGGATTGATGAAGTTAATTAGATCAGTTCTGTGTAAGTCCCTGTAAAAAGCCTATCTTCTCACCTGGTCTTCAATCAATGTCACAATGAACGTATTAGTAGATCGCAGGAATCAGACATCGCTGTTAATATGTAATGCATGTAATGCATGTCTTCAAAAACGTTATTGATTGGTGCGTTTCATCTTCCACGATGTTTTAAACTCGTTATATATTTAATGCATTGTGTTGAGATTCAGATCCATGGATGCAATTACACCATTTGTATTTCGAAAAAAGATTTTTTTTTTTTATATACCTATGTCTGTATTTTTGGTTCCAATATGAATAGATTTCAACTAATCGATCACTTCCACTTCAAAACATCATTTATATTTATAAAAAAAAAATCAAGTTAATGTTATATTCAAACCGGTTGTTTACGGTTGAAAATACGGATAAATCATGCTCATTATATTTTGTAAGGATTTTTTTCGCTCTTTGATGGGCAGATGGTTTTTATTACTTTTAAATCAAGTATCAATTTCAATAATATGAAAGGTGCTGCTCTTTCTATAAAATATAATTACCCGTATTTATCTTAAATATGTATGTCGTGTTTTGCCTTCTCTCAATGTGTACTGGCATTATTTTTATATTGAATAAAAACAAGACAATAAAGGAATTCTGTTATGTTGTTGTTTATTAAATTTCTGATTAATCAAACACGTAAAGAAATTAGCTGTTTGACGAAAACCAACAATGTAGACAAAGATGAAAGTTGATGTCCTTTATTCTTCTGCCTAACTTCGTTGTGGTATACTGCTTTAACTGCTATCTAAATCACACTAATTATGTTTATTTTTCATTCAGTCCTTATATAGTTTGAAAGGAAATGTATTTATATTGCATTTCTTGAATACCACCCATTGACTAGACAAAGACTCTGTTCAACTTTTCCAATCGGCACACCTCGGCTGATTCCGCTACACTCCAATTTGCGAGGCACAGCTCCGATTGGCACTTTTCCGCCATTCGACACGGAGCGAAAAAAATCTTGCTTTCTCTCGACAAATCATACTGCTATTCCGTAATAACGTATATTTGATTTTGCTTTTTCCCGACTTATTTTAAAATTTTCTGTTGGCTAGATAAAATCTTATCACTTCTCATTTTGCATCAACTGCAAAATATGGCTTTGGCATATGCTGCCACCACTATTGAAATAACGCCCAATATTGAATATATACATTTGTGGTATCTCTCCATTATATAAACATGCAGAGAGAAAATATCTTCAATTCTGTATGAAGTTTGTCAGAGGTCAGAGGTCAATACGTGACCTAATCACACGGCGCAATAATATCTACCGGTACATAAAATTATAAAATGACCTGCTCTACTTGCTTTTCATGTATAAAAAATGAACAAAATAAGCAAGTAAAATGATACTTATTTTATTTAAAATGTAAAGAAGAATTTCATACAGTTTTGGGGCTATCGATTCAACATGTGTACATAGAGAAAACTAGGGCCTAGCGTTTGTTTACATTTTTTTTCACTTTTGTCAGCTGCACAGTCTCTAACGTTCATCATTATTTTTTGGGTAGACCTTTCGTTAAATTTTCTTGATAAACTATTATTTTATCTTTAAATTCTACTCACGATAAAAGGGTAAATCTGTTGGAAAATATCATTGCAATCATGCCATGAACAGCTGCCAAACACCTCGGTGTTTTCGTAGTTCAATGTAAAGTTGTCGCCAGTGTCCATGTTAATAAGTGTTTTACGATAAGTATTCTTTAGTTACTGAAATCGTAGAATGTTTTGGATCAAATTGCAAATTAACTGGCTCGGACATTTTTATTCATCGGAAATCCATCCATCCCTTTCCGGCGACCGAAATTCCTCCAACTTTTTATCATCAAACCTCGGACGTGTTTCTTGTGAATTTTCAGCATCGATTATCAATTTTCACGAATAATTATATTCCCAAACAACAATCTGTTCACTAATACTGAGCACAAGTAGCCTTTCACAAAATATTCCCTTCGAAATAGATTCCTTAGCCTAATGAATTTGAAGCGTAACCGCCATGCAAGCCGATTGACACCTTGCGTCATTTTTCAAAATGTACGACGGACGGTTAGTGCAATAATTAAATTCGAAAATATTCAATTGTCTGTCTCAAATGTATATATAAGTAATAAATAACAAGTTTATAAACTTCAATGGGAATTGAAGTATGATTCTTCTGAGAAGGCCTTCGGCCTTCACAGGATTTGATTTCGTGAACCCACTTCAATTCCCATTGAAGTTTATAAACTTGTTATTTATTTCTTAAATGAAAAAAGTGGAGATAACAACAGTATTCAAGATCAAAAGTCCATTGAAAACAATACAGAATAGGAGCAGAGCAAACACAGATCTCTAAAACATTGATGATGGGATCAGGTGCCATGGAGGCGTGAGCATACCCTGCCGACTGGTCACGCCCGCCATGTGCTCCCTGTCATGATCGGGAAATAACGCGAAATGAAATCTGTCGTCAATTCAGTGTATAAATAATGGACTAACAATTTGTATATGAAAAACGTCAGTCAGCATTTGACTCAAGGATAAATTGTATTTGCTGACAAGGTCATTGTATCGACCATAGAACTTACGAAATGATGACTTTAAAACAATACTGTTGATATTCTTGTTTCATCAACTTGTTTGACAATAATTTACCTCGTTTTCGAAATTGTTCATACGTAGAGCAAGCTCTTGCGTATCTAATCAAATGAGATCTTATGCAGGCGATGAACGTACATTGCTGCATAAGTATGGAAAGTTGACGATAGAAAAGTTAGTCATCACGTTTATCATAGAGCTTGGTTTTTAGATAACCATTAACGTCTTTCTCGCGTAAAATATCCAAATATAAGAATGGTAATAATTACCATTGTTAATTTATAATACGTCGTTGATATATCTGATTGTCGAGTTGAAGTCACAGCAAGTGTTTTCTTCTTTTCACGCATAAGATTTTGCACAGATTTTGCTTCATATGAATACAAAAAATAGGTCTGCTAATAACTGGGCACCCGTGGGAATTCTAATAGATTGTTGGAAAACCAGGTCTCCAAAAACAACATAGATATTGTCAGTCAGAAACTCAAACATGTTTTAGATGTTAACTTTAGAGTACTTGTGTGTGCAATCAGAATGGTTTTTAACAAAATAATTTTGCAAATGACGAATGACAAAGTAAATAAATTTACGAGTTCCATTTTTATTAAAAAAGCAGCTGTGAAATATGAAAGCTATAGCTCCACCTACTCAAGAGATGTAGCCAAAGTTAAAGTTTTGTGAGCAAACAGTCAAACAGACGGACAAGGTAAAAAATATATACCCCCAGTATTCGATTACGGGGGCATAAAAACTCGTATACGGACAGAGAGACAAATAGCTTATTATAAGGTCTTCTGGTAGCTAACCACTAGAACTAAACATGTGGTCATTTGAGTTTGTTGTTAGTGGTCTGCCCCTCTGTCATTCCTGCTAGCCGTTACTGTGACGACGTGTTGGTAATAAAGCTGTCAGGTTTCCCGCCTGGTTCTATATTGGTCTGCTCCCACGCCCAGTACTGGCCTTACACTGCCGGGAATCGCCCTGTGTCGACAAAGTTCATCTAGATGTCCGTCACAACACGGGATACACAGCACGTAAGTTTACTTCTCTAATATTTCTAGTAAACATTTTTTGTCCTTAAACTTAAGGTAGCGAATTTAATCAGTATTCCCTTGAAAATTGTATAGTATAAGTACACTTTTTAGAAAGAGTTAACTTATGTTCCATGCTGTTTCATAGTAGCTACAATACCGATTCTTTGCCAGAAGTTTATGACAGTGAACTTTAGATTTCGTTCAAGTTAGTTTCAATAGCAACACTCACTGATAAAAATATTTTTAATTGTGTTATTTTAATTTTATCATCACTAGTAGGTTATATATGCTAAATAATATATCATAGAAATTATTTCTTACATATGTATGTGTACCTGCTAATTATTTACGTTCATTCAATTTACCTGCACTATTATTACGAAAAGGACAAACAGATATTTTCATGCATATCTGCATTATCACAACGAATACGATTAAGGTTATGTTAATGCATATCTGTATTATAATTTATGATTGAAAATGCATTGAACAGTCCAAGAAATTTCATCTGATAAACAACAACATCCAGTTAAAAACATATTAAGCTAAGAATATTATCTAAGTTTCATCTTCTAACGACAAGTATCTTTATGAAAGAACCCACCCTTAAATTAGGCCTCCGAAAACATCAGAGGTGGGATCAGGTGCAATGGAAGAGTAAACATCCCGCGTCTATCGCTCACACAGGCCGTGTACCCCTTATCGTGATCGGATTAAATGAATTAAGAAATCAGAAATAGTTTAAGGTAGTCCGGTCCTCAGGTTTATATAATTAGCTATTAAGTAATCGAAAATGCTCATAAAAATATCTCTGAATCCACAATGTTATGTAAATTTATCCACAGTATTTCTTTAAAGTAAAAGATGGAAGTTAATCATATTATAAAGGGGAAATTGTCAAATCTCCAATATTTTTGCAGAAAAGGCAAATTGGAATATCAGCAATGCATTTTCTAATTACAAACTGATCAACAAATAAATTTTAGGTTAAAAAACGATAGGTATCCAGGTATTCAGAAAAAAAAACTGTCATGAATTCTATACGTATGTGGTGTTTTTTTTTTTTTTTTTTTTAATCTATTTCCGTCATGTATTCTATAATACATAGGGTAAAAGGTTTTTGCTATCATTGCAACACACCACAAATCACTTCTTATTTCATATCATGCTAATAAGTATTGGTATCTTAGGCTTAATTCAAGAAAATCTTATTTCTCTAAAACTGTATTATTTTTTTCCTTTTATAGAATACAAATGTCAACTTTTATAAGACCTTTTCTATGACTTCTAAGAACCTTTAACTTATCAAGATGAATAAAATGAAAATTGTTTCATGAAAAATTTTCATTTTCAAGCTTCATTTTGATGCATTTTAAATTAAATATTAATTTTTGGAGTTATCCTTCCTGGCTGAGGATCGGATATCCTTAATATGAGTCTAAAAGACTAACAATTGATGGTTGACGTGCAAAAACTATACATATATACATATATGAACACTTAACCTCTGGAAATGGAATTTTCTTCATTTATTAAATATCTTTAAGTTTTTTGTATCCTGCAACATCTTTGCAGTATTTATTCTAGTTAGCGTTTTATTTTTTTTTTCAGGCACAATGTCTCTGGCATGCGGTAGTACATGTGTGAAATACATTTTATTCATCGCCAACTTCGTTTTCTTCGTAAGTTACTTTTCCTTCTGTTTACCGACGTCATTCCAAGTAGTCCTTGCTTTCAGGAGATAGATATTATTTACTTCTTCGTGTTTGGTCCTTCGTCTTGGAAGACTTTTGTCTTTTGGCAAGTCTGTCTTAAGAATTACTCAGGTCATTCCTGGACTTTAATCTCAGACAATAAAATGTGAAGAAACACTCAGTTGATAACCAAAACAAGCAATATGAATATATAGTTATTAAATTCTACAATAACTTTTTGGAAGCTAAAACTTTTTTATAACTGAAGGAAAATGTATCCTATTTGCATTCAATCAGCTCCTCCTAAAAGTCTCTTTCAAACTCTGAAAATGGCAGAAGATTTATATAACGTCCAGACGATAAATTATGTTTTGTCGTAGTTTGCGACTAGGGCGTCGCTCTGTCCTGTTAAGGGCAAGTCCTTTTATTGTTCGCCATGTTGTGGTCACACTATTATACCGGAGATGTGGTATTAGTTAACTCGTCAACGACAGACCGATTTACTACCACATCAATGACACATTGCATGGTTTCCATCAAAATCGCAGAACAAAACATATGGCAGACGGCATGGAGAACGAGCTTCGATGAACTCCTTTTTATGTTTTGTTTTGTTTTTATGAGGTTTTGTAAGATATAACAACAAGAGGCCCAGGGGCCACATCGCTCACCTGAGCAATTGGCTAGGAAAAAGCACATACCAGATCATATCAGAACTGAAAGTTTACTGAGAGGGGGGCGGAGGGGGGGGGGCTTGGATTTAAACCCTTCAGGGGTCATTATGTACAAACTTGAATCTAATCTATACAACCTAAGGATAATTCCCTATAAATGTCATAAGGTTTCTTTATATATTCCTATGTAAATTTTTTAAAGGTTATTTGCCCAACCCTACCCCTGGGGGTCTTGTTGTGAGTAAACTTGAATCTACACTATCTGGGGATGATTCCACAGGAGTTTCATCTTTCCTGTCTCAATGGTTCTCAAGAAGAAGAAATTTAAAGATTTTTCCTATATATTCCTTTGTAAAACTTTGATCGGCCATTTTGGCCCCACCCTACCCCTGGGTGTCATGATTTAATTGAACAAACTTGAATCTAAACTACCTGAGGATGATTCCACATAAGTTTCATTTTTCCTGGCCCAGTGGTTCTTGAGAAGAAGATGTTTAAAGATTTTTCCGTTACATTCCTATGTTAAACTTTGATCAGGCATTTTGGCCTTACCCTACCCCTGGGTGTCATGATTTGAACAAACTTGAATCTTTATAACCTGAGGATGATTCCACAAAAGTTTTATCATTCCTGGCCCAGTGTTTCTTGAGAAGAAGATTTTAAAAGATTTTTCAACTATATTCCTAAGTAAAACTTTGATCGGCAATTTTAGCCCCGCCCTACCCCAAGGGGTCATGATATGAACAAACTTGAATCTACACTACCTGTGAATGCTTCCATATAAATATGATTAATTGTGGCTTTGCTATTCTCGAGAAGAAAATTTTTAAAGAATTTTCCTATATATTTCTATATAAAACTTTGGTCGGCCATTTTGGCCCCGTCCTACCCCCAGGGGTCATGATATGAACAAACTTGAATCTACACTACCTGTGAATGCTTCCATATAAATATGATTAATTGTGGCTTTGCTATTCTAGAGAAGAAGATTTTTAAAGAATTTTCCTATATATTTTTATGTAAAACTTTGGTCGGCCATTTTGGCCCCGCCCAACCCCCGGGGGTCATGATATGAACAAACTTGGATCTACACTACCTAAGGATGCTTTCATATAAATATGATCAACTATGGCTTTGTTATTCTTGAGAAGAAGATTTTAAAAGATTTTTCCTATATATTTCTATGTAAAACTTTGGTCGGCCATTTTGGCCCCGCCCAACCCCCGGGGGTCATGATATGAACAAACTTGAATCTACACTACCTGAGGATGTTTCCCCAAAAGTTTCATCTTTCCTGGCACAGTGGTTCTTGAGAAGAAGATTTTTAAAATATACCACCATTTTTTCATTAATTCCCAATTATCTCCCCTTGATTGAGGGTGTGGCCCTTCATTTGGACAAACTTGAATCCCCTTCACCCAAGGATGCTTTGTGGCAAGTTTGGTTGAAATTGGCCCAGTGGTTCTTGAGAAGAAGTCGAAAATGTGAAAAGTTTACAACAACGACGACGACGACAACAACGACGACGACGACAACGACAGACAACGGACAAATTGTGATCAGAAAAGCTCACTTGAGCCTTTGGCTCAGGTGAGCTAAAAACCGGGAAACAAAGAGATAGGATGATTATGTCAGTTATGTTATGGTTTAACGTGTTTACACTGAAAGCAATATTGCAAACAAACTAAGTCTATAATTTAAGTTTATGTCCTTTAAGTCATGTAGAAAATTTATTAGAAAAGGCTTATTAATTACAATGAAAAACCAGAAGTCTCTGTCGAGACTGAAGCTCTACTGGTTTGTACTTATAGCAAAGGAAGAGGAAAGTACTTAAGCAGTTGGGAATTGAAACTTTACACTAGCTAAAAAGAGAATAATGATCCTTGAATAAGTTTCTTTATGTTCTTAGTGTAGTCTACTTGCATGCCACATTATATTATAATCAGACTAAAACTGTATTTGAAGTAGCATTTTGAGAGTAACAGAAATTGCTATCTTTATTAACCAAGGTAATAATGTTCATTGAAGTCAAAAACAGATATAAAGAATTATGTACCTTAGTGTAGTCTACTTGTGTGCCAAGTTATATTGAAATCAGAACAAAACTGTAGGAGGAGTAGCATTTTGAAAGAATTTCACAGAAATTTCTATTTTTAGTTACAACGCCTACACCATTCGTCGAAATCAAAAACCGATACACAGAATTATGTATCTTAGTGTAGTCTACTTGTGTGCCAAGTTATATTGAAATCAGACCAAAACTGTACGAGGAGTAGCATTTTGAAAGAATTTCACAGAAATTTCTATTTTTAGTAACAACGCCAACACCGTTCATCGAAATCAAAAACCGATATACAGAATTATGTACCTTAGTGTAGTCTACTTGTGTGCCAAGTTATATTGAAATCAGACCAAAACTGTAGGAGGAGTAGCATTTTGAAAGAATTACATAGAAATTTCTATTTTTAGTAACAACGCCAACACCGTTCGTCGAAATCAAAAACCGATATACAGAATTATGTATCTTAGTGTAGTATACCTGTGTGCCAATTTATATTGAAATCAGAACAAAACTGTAGGAGGAGTAGCATTTTGAAAGAATTTCACAGAAATTTCTATTTTTAGTAACAACGCCAACACCGTTCATCGAAATCAAAAACCGATACACAGAATTATGTATCTTAGTGTAGTCTACTTGTGTGCCAAGTTATATTGAAATCAGATCAAAACTGTAGGAGGAGTAGCATTTTGAAAGAATTTCACAGAAATTTCTAATTTTAGTAACAACGCCAACACCGTTCATCGAAATCAAAAACCGATACACAGAATTATGTATCTTAGTGTAGTCTACTTGTGTGCCAAGTTATATTGAAATCAGACCAAAATGTTTTCCCACTATTGTAGGAGGAGTAGCATTTTGAAAGAATTCCACAGAAATTTCTATTTTTAGTAACAACGCCAACACCGTTCGTCGAAATCAAAATCCGATACACAGAATTATGTATCTTAGTGTAGTCTACTTATATGCCAAGTTATATTGAAATCAGATCAAAACTGTAGGAGGAGTAGCATTTTGAAAAATTGTTTACAGACAGACAGACAGACAGACAGACGGACAGACGGACGGACGCCGGACGCATTACTATCGCATAAGCTCTTCTGGTCTCTGACCAGTAGAGCTAAAAAACAGCACAAAATCTCAAGCAAGCAAGCAACATCCTATAATGCAACCATTAACAGCTAATCAACATCAGTTGTACATGTATCAAAGCCTCCTTTGACTTTCTTTTCAGCTGATTGGTCTGGGGACGGTGGGGCTGGGGGTATGGGCGCTGATTGACGATGATAAGATCCTCATTCTGACGGAGGTGGGAGACGCCGACAATTTCGATGTGGTCTCCCTCATCCGTACGGGGGCCTTGGTCCTGATCGCCAGTGGGGGCGTGGCTGTTCTGATCGGATTCCTGGGCTGCTGCGGAGCCGTCAAAGAGAATAACTGTCTTCTGTTTGCTGTAGGTGATTTTTTTTGCATGCAGTATTTGAAGCATAGAGGTATTCATGGGCATGTTGACCTTTGATGAAATCTTAATCTATATGACTTAATCATATCAAATTTTAAATGAAGTTTGTAAATGGACAGAAATATAAATACGCTGGGAAATTATAAATTGATAGAGAAGAACAATATATTCAATGTAAAATAAGAAAATCCACTATTATGATGGTTTATTTTTTTCATTAAATATATAAAACTTGAAATTTTTTTGGTATTTAATTTAGTAAAAGTTTTCTACAGTTATATTTAATGGGGATGATATTTACTTAGCAACTCTATTGAATTCTTTTTTTCAGTACTGTGTCGTCATGGTGGTAATCCTATTTGTTCAAATAGCAGCAGTTGTTATTGCAGCAATATTTCAAAATAAAGTAAGTAAACATTTATATATCTTAGTTTTCAAGTTTTGAATTCAGACCAAATTCCACATGAATTATAAGTTGATTTTTAAGTCATGAAATATGGGAAGAGGGAACACTATTCATGCTGTAAAATTCATTGAAACAATACAAATCGGGGAAAGAGGATTAAACAAGGACCTCAAAAATCACCAGAAGGGGGGATCAGGTGCCATGGAGGAGTAAGCATTCCCTGTTTACCAGTCACACCCGCTCTTTGTCATCAAACAAACGGGAAAAGTACATAGACAATTCATTAAGATATTCAGCTAACATAGGTAACATGGTCATGTGAAGTGCTAGATATTTATGTGAATAAACGACGAGGTCCCAGATAACCGCAAATATTGTTTTTTGCTCACTAGGGCCAGCAAATTCCAGACATGCAATTACTTTTTCCGCTCGAACATAAGCTGTCGCGTGAGTTGTTATTTCGATCACCTAGCTGCGAAAGTCACAATATATGACATAGCAGATTCATGTTAGTGTTGTAGTCCTATAGTGTCTTTTAAACATAAACAAAGTTTTGAGATTTGAAGTATCTTCAAGTGTTTAAGATAATCTTAGAATGCAGCTCATAGCATTTCAGGAAGTGAAAAAAACATGAATACTGGAAGGTCATACAATTGCGATCTTGATTATTTATTATTTTATCTTTATACTGCAACATGTGGATTTATTTATAGAATATCTGTGTAAACTGTGGCGACATATGAAAATAAAACTGAAAAAGAAAATCAATGAAAAATATTAATACTTCCCCCGCTTATCAAAAATCCACGCGATCATTTTATCCCCAGGGATATTTTTGTCGATGAACCTTTTTCTGGCAGTGACAAAACACTTTCCCCTGGTTATAAAGGAAAATCAATGATTATTTTATATAATATCACTCATAATAAATAATTTCCAGATCACGGCCGACATTTTATGATAAACCAATAGAGAAAAGTTAATCAATGGCGTAACAAAAATTTGCTCACATACAAATGAATTACACAGCAGACATTTCGAAAGTGAGGGGCAATATCATATTATAAACGAATCTACTGGGTGGTGCTTAAAACTATATCTAAGTCGATTTATAAATTATTACTTGATTAACTTTCTCAACGGGAACAGTCTGCGTTCAGTGGGATGAGACAGACACTTTTTAGAACCCCCTAAGAATTTAATTAAAAAAGAATTTTGAGGACTTCTCATATAACTTTATCTTTACTCTTCATGAGCAGCTGCTGTTTTTCTAACGTATCTGCTAAAATTCAAGTCGTGTTTTAAAAGACATCGAATATGTTAACTTTTAACTTAAAAATGAATTGTTAATTCAGTATGACGAAAAATTTCATGTTTTGTTGGGGGTGTTTTATACAGCCATTAACCGTTTTGAAATAACTTCAGTAATCAAATCAACTTTAGCAAGACCCAGTTACTTATAAATCTAATTTTGTAGGTTACAGAGGATTTGAAGGTGTTTTTAAAGTCCCGCCTCAGTGCCCAGTATGAGGGCAGTATAACTACCAAAGACCCCTTCTCCCTGGGATTAGATGTGGCCCAGATTCAGGTAATATCATCCTGACCTATTTATCTCAAATTACGTGTTATATTTTTGTTATAACGAGAGACATAAATCACGTGGTGATAAGAAAAACCCAACATAAAATGGATAACAGAAATATTATATATGTACGTAGCGTATTTATTTATCATCAAATGATAATAAAGCCGGTTAAAGAAGTATGGTGTACCAGTACAATCATAACACCATGTACAATAATGTATATTATACTTCTCTCTAACATCTTACACAGAGGTCATGGTGTGAGTAGCACTTGTAAACAAGATGTGTTTGTGAGACACTGACCCTCCCCCCCCCCACCCCACTGTCTGTCAGCTTATGGTGAGAGTTGAAATTTCTCAAATGACATAATACTCCAAAGTTAAGGTCTAAAGGTCAAAAGTGTTTACTAGTATTTGTTAGTACCCGAAGGAAGGTCCCGTACGAAAGTTTGAGGCGGAATAGGCACGGCTTGGGCACGGTTAAGACACGGAATCCGCACGGGTTTTTAAAAAGCCACACGGGTTCTGCATGTCCAGGACACGGGCACGGATTCTGAGTCTGAAAGTGAGGAATCCTCGCTCACAGAAACCCGTGTTGAGGCACAGAATCCGTGTTCCAGGGAGACGGTTTTTAACTCAGGCGGGTTTTGCTTCAAAGTATTTATTTATATCTCACGGCTTTTTACTGAGCATGCTCAATCATAACTCCCTTTATTTGAAATATTAATAAATTGGAGGGATTCGTGGTCATGAGCTAAGAATGTGTCTTTTTTAGTCTAGTTAAAGGATATTAAACTAATAGATGTCAGTTGGAATTGTATTTATGTCACTCTGGGATGATTTCTTCACTTTTGAACTAAATGCAGTAAGTGTAATATAGAATAAATAAATCAATTTTTCAATTTTCATGATCTTTCTGTATTGCAATGTTGACAATGAACATGATGAAATAGTCTTTGTTTATTTGAATGACTTTAGTGGGACTTTCACTAATCCCTATATTTTTTTTGTGACATTCACTGCTAGTGAAAGTTTTATTTAAACTAAATTCTCAGATTGTGCAAACTTAGCTAGATTATATAACAATTGAGATGTACATTATCAATAAAATTTTAATTAAAAACTTAGTTGGGATTGTAACTGATAAAGTTAATATTTAACAGAACGTAAATGGACACATTCATATAAGACTTAACTTTTAGAATTCTAAAGCTAAGCATTAATGAATGTAAAGCATTGTGTAGTTAGTTTGGTTTCAGTCACCATTTTGGCATCCACAGTTACATCAGGACTTTCTCTAAGTGCCATGACCTAGATCTAGACAAATGCACAGATCCCGTGACTCCTTATATGGTATGTCACACGGCTTTTTTTGACACGGGTTTCCAGAATGCGTGTCTCCATATATGGAAAAGAAGACGGGTTTCAAGAATCCATGTCTCCATATATGGAAAAGGACACGGGTTTACAGAATCCGTGTCTCCGTATGTGGAAAAGGATACGGGTTTCAGACACGGGTTTACAGAATCCGTGAGTCCATATATGGAAACAAGCACGGCTTTCTGACACGGATTTTGTAAATTTAAATAATTCGGCCAATAATCCCATGCCGTACCGTGTGCGTGCCTCGACCACTTTTAGGCACGGCTTTCCATACTTATTTTACATAGAAGCGGGAATGCTAGAAGCACGGGTTTCTGGAAACGGAATCCGTGCCTGAGCCGTGTCTAAGCCGCCTAGACTGTTTCGTACGGGGTCTTGTCACAAGGAATACACCTGTGAAATATGAAAGCTCTATTACTAAAGATTCAAGGATTAAAGTTTTTTTAATTGGTCAAACTCTGAGGCCAAGGCCTAAGATCAAATATTTTTTATACCCAATGAAAGGTCACAGTGAATACTGTACACATGTGAAGTATGAAAGTCCTATCACCAACTACTATAATTCAAAAGTTTTGGTTATGATTAAATATCGAAAAAAAAATTGTGAAATTGTGTTGAACTCCAAGGTCAAGGTCACGAGATCGAATTTGGTGGTGCGAAGAGAAAGCTCTTGTCGCAATAAAGAGAAACGATGTGTTTTAATAACCCCCTGTCCTCACAGTACCCCTCCATAAACATGCACTATCTCACTCCCCTGAGGAATTACCCGACAGACCAGAAACATACCCACTAATGTATATAAAGATTCACAGAAGAGTATTATTCATCAGTACTATTCATTTAAAAAAAAAAAAGATGACAGCCCCCTAGCTGTATACAAACTATTTACATACTGTAAGTCTTTAACTTTTTAGTGAGCCTGAGAACGCTTGTGTCATGTTTCTTGGTTACACAGTGTAGAATAATTTTTACTTTGTAAATGGGAAGGGAGGGGGTATGATATTTTTGTTTTTACTTTGACATACAGTAGCCACGTTCTATTTTTATGTCCCAGTAATCGACTATTCGGGGATTTATAGTTTTTGCCCTGTCCGTTCGCTTGTCTGTCTTGTCTGTTTGTCCACATAAACTTTAACCTTGACCATAACATTTGAGAGGATGGGGCTATTAATAGCTTTCATATTTCACAGGTGTATCCTGGTGACAAGACTTTTCTTTGGATATCACCTAATTTGACCTCCAGACCTTGGAGTTTGACCAACTTTTACAAAACATTATCACAATTTAACCTTGGTCAAAATTTTTGAACAGTTGGTGCTAGGGCTTTCATACTCCACATGTATACTCACCGTCAATGAAAACGCAACACTCTAATTTTAGGGTGAACTATTATATACGGGATATATACTATGTACCAAACAAGTTAGGACATCTTTTACTTTACCAAATCAGTTATTTAATGGTTGAATGGTTTTCATTCCATTACCGAAAGTTGATTTTTTTTGCCCTCTTAACAGATAACATTTAAATAAAACACCCCCCTTCCGACCATTTAATCAAAACATGCTAGTCCGCCATGTACAACATACATGTACGCAGTCCGATTTCTACCATGCATTAGATTTATCAATGTCTTTATCTGAGCGAAATAAATATTCTTGGGCATTTTTAATTGCCTGTTGTTCAGATACTGCGGTCGAATTTTCTCTAACTTGGCGTAGTGTAGTAACTCTTGGACTTCCGGTCAAGAAACTGTTATTTATGCTATTGAAACACAGCCTGATGAGTCGTTAAATAGTGTACATTTGCATCTGCACTTTTGAGAACACATGAGCAATGAAAATCAGTCATTTTGAAGAAATATAGGCATCACATTAAAGAAAGAAATTTTTTTCCCGTTTAGTACAATACTTATGATAAACAGCTACAAAACCTTGAAAACCCAAAATATTGTTAAAAATTTTATTAAAAATGCAAAAATTTGATTTCCGTTAAGAGGGCTAAAAAGCAACTTCCGGTAGAGGAAAGAAATTCATTCAACTGTTAAATAACTGATTTGGCAAAGTAAAAAATGTGCTAACTTGTTTGGTACATAGTTATATCCCGTATACACTTTTCATCCTAAAATTAGAGTGTTGCGTTTTCATTGACGGTGAGTATATATTCTTTGTGACAAGACCTTTCAGTGGGTGTAAATACTTTTGACCTTGACCTTAGAGTTGAACCCGCTAAAAAAATTAAACGTACCTTGGCCATGTCTTCTGAACACATAGAACTAGGGCTTTCATACAATTTTGACCTTGACCATTGGGGTTTGACATACCATTTCGAAATTTCAACCTTCGCCAAAAGCTGCCATACGGGGGCATCAGTGTTTCACAAGCACATCTTGTTATCTACACTAACCAGATAAATTTGATAAGAATATACCATAATACATGTGTAACCGTCCATTTTCTTTCTCAATCCAAATTGCGCAACTTGAAAAAAAATCAACTACCACAATCGTTCTGGATAATATGTGAACCCAAAGATTTAATGAGGACCAAACACGACCAAAAGAGATAACAAATCGTTTAGAACCGTCTAAATTTGTTTTTCCAAACAAATATGAGTCACATCCTTTGGAGGAACACAATTTTTATGCTGTGAACGTGCAGCAAATTCCAATAGCCACAATGACCTGGATCTATTCAGGAATGCAAAAAGCAATATCCTAAACACAATTTCATTGATTACATGACAAAACTACTACCTTAACGTTCCTCATTAAAACGGTATAGAGGCGCATTGAATGGAGAGGACTTGCTATGCTGATCAGATCTATGATGTAGAAGTCTATGCTGATCAGATCTATGATGTAGAAGTCTTATCACGCCATCTAGTGGCATTGTTTTTATTGCACAAATCGGCCCTGTCCTTCTTCATTTCGCAATTACCATTGTTGTGTGACTCATTTCATATAATTAACAGGGTATACGTCCATTATTTCAATCTACAGTTAACAACAATTTGAATTAACATTGGTAATGTATTGAAAACACGGCGCTCAGTTATAATTACTTTGCGTTGAATAAATCTAAGAGAAGCAAATCAAAGAAATAATAAAAAAGTTAAGTTCCACGTTCTAGCAAAATTAATACCCAAGTATTTATTTAAAATGCGAGGAATGTGGGTAACAATATTTATGACAAAATAATAATTAAAACCGAACTCCTTCCCCATGCTCCTCCAACAACGAAATAGTAAACACTCGTACTTAGTATCTCTTTCTTGCCCTTCTTCCGGGGCCAATCACAATGTTACCTCAATATAATAATCATATATATGCACTGTTGTTTTTTTAATCATTAAAAATGCCGTTTCAATTTGATGATAATTTTCACATCAGTTTTTTTTATCCAATACGATTTTCAAATACTCCTTATTTCAGTTTGAATGCTGTGGAATTGACAATTACATGGACTTCCTGTCGGCTACAAAATGGCAGGACCAGAAGAACGCCTCCACGATTATCCCCCTTACATGCTGCAGGTTTTCTAACAAGGACGCTTACTACTCGGATTATAACGGTCTCATTCTAGAAGACCCCTCGTGTGAAACGTCCCCCTCCGACCAGAATTCAAACTTCAGAAAGGCAAGCAAACTCTTGTTATTCAAAGTAGCTACTCAATTTCAGCATGTAACTTTTTTGTTTGTAAGAACGTGATTTTGAGTAATAAGCGAGCTATCGCTGGCTAAAATGTCATTTTCGCGTTTATTTGTATCGTTTGTGCTCTAATAGAAATTTTGAGATAATTGGACCTGAAACTATGTTTCATAATTTTTCTTTGAATATTAGAGAGATTTTTCATCTCCTGATTTTTAATAAAACGCTGGTGATGTATGCTGCTCTTTTGTTCACGAACATCTGCACATGTATATGATTGTACTAAGATTTTGAAAGCAAGAATATTTTCCAAAAATATTCGTTATTAAGACATGTTCAGTTGAAGTACATTGCCTTTGACAATAATTTCTTTTTTTGTAGGGTTGTTGGGATGCCATTCTGGAGTATGCTAATGACAAAGCAATCTACGTTATCGCTATTGGAGTAGCTATTGGTGTCGTTGAGGTAATGGAATTTGTGTCTTATGGATTCCTGAACAAATATCTTTGTTTATTAGCAAAATCAAAAATGATTAAACTTGACCAACTTAAATCCTGCAGGGGTCGAATTACTTTTTGAAAATACAAAGAGACAGCAAAAACGTGAAGTGTGACATTTTTATGTTCCACGTAAGGCTCTAAAAATTAGCAAAAAATGCTGCTTATAAAAACAAACATCAGATTCCTGGATGACTTTACCGATTGATTGAAACTACTTTTTGTTCTTGATGAATTCTGTTTCATAAAAGATGAAGAGAGCTAGAGGATGACAAAATTTTACTGATATATTGTTCTTTCAGTTTTTCTCTACTCTTTATTTTATAGGTGCTTTGCGTAGTAGTGGCGTCCTGTCTCATCCAAGCCATTCGGAAATCTGATGAAGAATCGTCACAATAACACGTGACAGGGCCATTCGGAATACTCTAACAATAATATTGAATATTCGGAGTATTCCTATCCACTGTGGTCACCCAGTATCCTGATTGATTTCAAAAACACTTTTATTGGAGATGAACTTGTCCCATCATCGCCATTATTTATATCATAGTATATAATATTTTAAAATGTTGTAAATGTGCACCTTTATTACTGTAGATTATGTACATGTAACGTTATTCATTTTCATAAGTTCTCATATCTGAATAATATTTTATAAATAAAAATATTTATTTACTTTACATTTCTTTGTTATCTTCTTTCTTCTCTTGTGAATTTCAATGAAATGCATGCATAATGAACACGGTTTAAAATAGTTTATAAATGAATGAAGTATACGGCTATATAACTTCAAATTATAAAAAAAATATTGAATTTAATTCTGTTGGATGCCAAATTTGCATCTAAAACCTCTAATCAAATAGTGAAAAAAATCCAGTTTAAGGCAACAATTTTACCTGCATTGCAGTCCTGAATATTATATGTATGCTCATCTGAGTAGAAGACGGGTTCAGGTGAAATAATTTTTCATAAAAAATAATATCAATTTAAAGTTTCAATCTATATTTAGTCAAATGTAGGAAAATTCGCTACACAGAAGGTCATTTCAAGGTGAATATAACGAAGTATTTTTCTACAATGTTGGATTACAGGCAATCAGAAAGCTAGGAATTATTCTGGTGTGCTTAGATCGAAATAATTAATTTAATTCCAGAAAGATGCACACAAAATAGTTACATGTAGCAACTATTTTTTGCGCAGTGTTTTATTTATTTTTTTATATATATATGTTATTTTGTTTCTTTTAACAAGATAAACCTATAAAAATTTTAAATAATTTGTTATAAGAAATTAAAGGATTGCTAAAGCGTTGTCTTCGTGTATAAATATACATAATGAGAAAGTGGTTATCTTATTTATGATGTTTGAATTGCATGGATAAAATGTAAGTAAAACAACATTCATCTCTCCCAAGGAAACAATAGAGCCATTGACGCTTTTATGAAGCTCACCAACCCTTTCAATTCAGTTTTTTACATGTATCTTACATTCACGTTTTTTAAAATAAAATTTACCCTTTGATTTTAATGAACTTTAAATGCAGTTCTCAGCAATACATGTCACCATTCATCCCCCACATTATGCGGTATTGAATAATGCAAAAGGTGAAAATGGTATTGACAAAACTCTTTAAAGGCTGCCCATTGAAGCGATAACACAAATATTTCTGTGGCTTTGAGAAGCAAACAACCATTTAATCTTCTCGGTTTATACGGAACCCCGTTTCTGACATTCTGAAAACAAGTTAGTAAATACTAGTAAGTTAAATGTACATGTACCATCAATTTTAAATTAGTTTTTCAACACTAACGAGAGAGAGAGAGAGAGAATCTTATTATAAAATTTATTGATGGCATTGTTTCAATAAGTACATGAACTTGTTAAACCCCGTACATCCTTGTTATGGTCAGATCGCATCCGTGTAGCAATAGAATACATCTCTATACTTCACTCACATTTTAATATTAAAGTAGCAATGAGAAATTTGTTCAGGCAACCTGTGTTAAACATTACAGTTGTTGCAAGGAAAAAATCTTTCTAGAACATAAGACAGTTTTCAATTTGTTAAACTTTAACAATGTATAAATTTTTGCAAATTGTGTTTTGTTTTGTTGGTTTGTTTTTTTTTTTATTTCTTTTTAATTTTTACCATGTAAAGGATGCTAGAACACTTCTTAAAAAAACAAATTAAAAAACATAACTTTATCATTGATCAAAGTTTACTTTAGATCCGAGAGTCTGAAACATATGTAATTTACTTTTAATGAAAATTAACGTTATTTATTTGATTCAAACATATCACATTGATTATTTTTTTTATTTTAAAAACACATGAATATGGCTGTGGACGTATTGTTACCAAATATTTTTCAATTGATTATAACATAAAATACAAGAGGCCCATGGGCCTTATAGGTCACCTGAGCATTATTCAACAACTTTCCAGTGATTGAATTTGATCCATGTTTTAAGCCAGATGCTATAGCATTTACAATTTGGTCATCATAACTATACACTTAGCAGTTCCTTAGTTTGGTTACTTAATACCCATAGGCAGGGTAGGGGAACAAAAAATGCATTTCAACAAATCAGTAATATTCAGCAATAATGAGTAGTGCCGCTACCACACATGAACCCTTGACTCTTAGGCCTAGATCCACACATTGTACAATTTATGGAAAGGCATTCATGCTTTTCAAAAATATTTGATTAATACCAAGGAGCACATTTCAAACAATTCATTCATTTTCAGTATAAAAGTACAGCCCCCCTCTCTATGGTACAACTGACCGTGGGGCCTTGAAATTTACAATTCTTGAAGATTAGGGCCCTTGCTCATAACTATATAGGTAGTTCATCTGCTTAAAACCTAGGTGCAAAGAAGAAAATATTCAAAGATTTAATGTTTTTTCACTATACATGTATAATCAATATAGCCCCCCCTAACACCAGAACCCCTGACCCTGGGGCCATAATATTCAAAATTTTGGTAGAGGCACTCTTGCTCATCATAACTATATACTTAGTTAGTTTATATAAAATCTAGGAGCAGAGAAGAAGATTTTCAAAGAATTCATGTATTTTCACCATATAATCAATAGAGCCCCGCCCTAACACCAGAACCCCTGACCCTGGGGCCATAACATTCACAATTTTGGAAGAGGCACTCTTGCTCATCATAACTATGTACTTACTTAGTTTATTTAATACCCAGGAGCAAAGAAGAAGATTTTCAAAGAATTCATGTATTTTCTCTATATAATCAATTGAGTCCCGCCCTAACACAAGAAACCCTGACCCTGGGGCCATAAAATTCACAATTTTGGTAGAGGCACCCTTGCTCATCATAACTATGTACTTAGTTAGTTTATTTAATACCCAGGAGCAAAGAAGAAGATTTTCAAAGAATTCATGTATTTTCTCTATATAATCAATAGTGCCCCGCCCTAACACAAGAACCCCTGACCCTGGGGCCATAAAATTCACAATTTTGGTAGAGGCACTCATGCTCATCATAACTATGTACTTAATTAGTTTATTTAATACCCGGGAGCAGAGAAGAAGATTTTCAAAGAAATAATGCATTTTCACTATATACTTATTTAGCCCCACCCTAGCACAAGTACCCCTGACCCCAGGGCCATGAATTTCACAATTTTGGTAAAGGACTCAATGCTGATTACAATCATGCAAACAGTTTGATTGCTTGATGTCCAGGAGTAAAGAAGAAGATTTTTAAAGATTGCATTAATTTTAGTGCTTTTGGCCCCACCCCCAGGCCCCAGGGGGGTAGGGATCATGAAATTCACAATTTTGTTCCCCTTCACCCATAGATGCTTTGTGCCAAATTTGGTTGAAATTGGTTCAGTGGTTGCAGTGAAGAAGCTGAAAATGTTCAAATGTTAACACACGACGCACGACGACAGACGAAAACAGATGGCAATAGGTCACCTGAGTTTACTCAGGTGACCTAATAATACAATACTAAAATGACTTCGTGAATTCTAAAGATTCAATTAATGATTTTTTTCATACAAGTAGCATATTTCTAAAATTAAAATCAAAATAAAAAAAGGACATCCCTATAGTTTTAGTTTTCAATCAGTAAAGAATAGAAAAAACATTAGAGTTTAAATTAACTTGCTTGCCAGATGCAGAAAACAAGAATAATACAAACATAAACTTATTACAACATTTTTTTTAATATAACGTTTAAATTGAATTTATACTTGCAAAGAAAAAGCAACAAACCTTTTGGATAGAGCTATTAATCCAAGAGCTACAACTCTCAGAGGAAATATATGAGTGATCTTCCGGGAAAATGAATTAGAGGTTGCAACTTTTTTTTCTTTTTCATATACTAGACTCGCAATTAAAAAAAATACATATTTCAAATCTACACAATTTAATTTCAACTTCTGGGAGTTTTGGTGCAGAATCTGAAATAATTTTTGAATCTGATGGAGTTCCGCATTGACATCATTTACAATGTATGTAGTCTTGAGAGACCAAGTCCTCCGATTCTGTTAGAACTCTGACAGGCCTCAGTTATATGTCAGCACGTTCCTTGATTTCCCCGACCTGTTTTTATGTTCTTATGAAGCAGAATTTATTGAAACTTCTACACGAGAAGACATCTCTAACCATGGCCATACATTCACCATTAAGATCAATTGGTTGTAGTATATGAATAAATGGAGATAACGAACAACATTCAAGCTAAAAAGTCTATTAAAGGATAAAACATTTTGGAGCAGAGCTAACATGGACCATTAAAACAACAGAGGTGGGATCTGGTGACATGGAGGAGTGAGCATCCCCTACTGACAGGTCACAACCGCTGTGTCCTCCTTGTCATGATCAGAACGGGAGAATCCGTTGACAATTCAGTGTGTAAATATTACTGGTAATCACTCAGCATTTGACTTAATGAAAGATTGCACTTGCTGACAAGATCATTGTTCGACTACAGGACTTATAAAAATAATGACTTAAAACGAGACTGCTGATATTCTTGTTTCACTATCTTTTTTGTCAATAACTTGCCCTGTTTTAGAAATTGTTTAATATGTTAGTAGAACATACTCTTGTTTATCCTATGTTTAACCCTTTATAATTTAATTTTACTTGTAACACGCCATTTCATTGGATAAAAGATTTTATCCATTTTGTATAACATAAGTTGCCTACGTCACAATGAGTTACGTCAAAAAACGTATCACTCCGCTTGACGTTCCTTTTAAAATTTAATCAATGTGAAGCCTTATTCTGGGGAGAAATTTATCTCATTGTCTGCACTGAAATTAAATTATAAGGAATGAAGCTTATTTCAACTTATATTACACGATATAACAAAACTTGGGGCAGTTTACGCTTTTTATAAACCGCTTCGCGGTTTATAAAGCGTAAACTGCCCCAAGTTATGTTATATCGTAAAATATATAGAGAATAACACTTACCCTTTTCCATATCACATCCTGTATCAGCCCGAGACACCAATATCAGCCCTCGGGCCTTCGGCCCTCTGGCTGATATTGGTCGAGGGCTGATACAGGATGTGATGTGGAAAAGGGTATGTATTAATATGTTTATTACCTACTTAGTAATAAAATACAGCATACATTAAGTTGAGAAGAAAATAAGTAAATAATCATGTATATGGTCTATTGTCTCATACCGTTTAGGTCTGTTTCTACTTCTATTTCAATGCACTAGATCCGTAATTTGACATTAATCTAACTTACTAAGGGTGTGATATTTGACGTCACAATAGCCGTATCAGCCATGCAAGGCTGATATGGATTTGCGGGGCTGATATAGGTTATCAAGCCCTGCAAATCCATATCAGCCCTGCAGGGCTGATACGGCTATTGTGACGTCAGCCATATCGCATATGCAAAAAACCTGTATTTATTACTAAGTGTGTAATAAAAGTTGAAATAAGCTTCATTCCTTAAATACTGTTGATATAGCTCATATGATATCATTTTCATATCACACAGTTGTGACGTCACAATTAATTTTGCGTTAGAGTGATGAAGTAAAATGAAATGGAGTCCTATATAAAAACAGTGTCAAACATTGTTCGTGGTGTAAAAAACATGGGATAAAAAGAATCTCACATGATTTGTAGTTGGGTATGATTTTTATCCAACTCGTTGTGTGTTTTTATCCCCTCGCCATGGCTCGGGGATAAAATCCACACAACTCGTTGGATAAAAATCATATCCAACTACAAATCATGTGAGATCCTATATTTATCAAATCAACTGAGAGATATAAACCCAGCATGCAGGTGATGAACCCGTAATAAGTATATATAACCCGTAATAACTATATATTTTTCAGTGTTACATAACCCTACAGGTGTTGCGAATCTAATGATACTCTGTTAAAAAGGTGACGATTGTCAATTTACAGTGTTAATTAATTACTGTACCTCAAGCCAGAATTATAGTCAAATCTAATCTTAAATACAAGAACTATGAAAATTCTTATGTATGGTATTTTACTTTCCACAAAGTAAAAACTTTTTAAAATAGATACAGGTTGTTTATTTAGTAACAGATTAAAGTTTCTCATTCATTTCTCTCATTAAAAAATTATTTGATATAAACAATATTTTCTAGGCATAATTTAAAAAAAAATATATTTTTTTGGAAACCAGGTTTTCCAACTATCTATTTGAACTCCCACGTGTACCAATTGAGCCACGTTATTAGCAGACCTATTTTTGTATTCATATGAAGCAGAATTTGTCCAAAAACTTACAAGTGAAAAGAAGAAAACACTTGCTGGCCTTCAACTCGACATTGAAATACATGTATATGGACGACGTATTCTCAATTAACAATGGTTATTGCCATTCTTAGGGCAATACGATATATCCTGGTGAGCTTGAGATAAAAGATACCACAGAGTCTGATACTTGTTTCATATTCGGATATTTTACTTGAAAACGACTTTAATTGTAATCTAACAACCACGTTTATGATAAACGTGAAATAACTTTTCAATCGTTAACTTCCCTTACTTATGCAGCAATATATATACGTTCATCACCTGCACTCGGAGTTTATATCTCTCAGTTGATTTGATACGCAAGAGCTTGCTCTACATATGAAGAATTTCTAAAACGAGGCGAATGATAGACAAGTTGATGTAAAAGAATTTCAGCGGTCTCGTTTAAAGTCATTATTCCGTAAGTTTCATAGTCGATACACTAATCCTGTCAGCAAATACAATCTTTCATTAAGTGGGATGCTGACTGGCGTATTTCATACTAATTATTAGGCAATTATTTACACATTGGATTGTCAACGGATTTTCCCGTTATTTCCCGAACATGACAAGGAGCACACGGCGGGTGTGACTAGTTGGCAGGAAATGTTCACTCCTCAATGACACCTGATCCCACCTCTGATGTTTTGGAGGTTTATTTTTGCTCTGCTCCAATCTTCTATTGTTTAATGGACTTTTGAACTTATCATAAAGCTAGGTTTTTCGATTACAAAGTCTTTTCAAGTAAAATACCCAAATATGAAACAGATATGTCAAACTCTGTGGTATATTTAATAATTCAAGCTCATCAGGATAGATCGTATCGACATAAGAATGGCAATAACCATTGTTAATGGACCATACGTCGTCGATAAGTCTAAATGTCCACGCGAGTGCATTCTTCTTTTCACAATTTTGGACAAATTCTGCTTCATGTGAATACAAAAATAGTCCTGCGAACAATAATGGAGCTGAAATTGATACTGAAAGCAACGGAAGTGATAAAATTTAACTGTGCAACATGCCCGCCGAGAGTCTTAGAATTGCAGGGAAAGTCTAGAGAGAACGTTTGGCGTCGTTTCTGACGCAAATCCGCGATGACAAATGTCGAGCTTCTCTCTTTCACGAAAAATATGGAGATAACGAACATTATTCGAGCTCAAAATTCCATAGAATACAAATCAGGAACAGAACGAACAAAGACCTCTAAAACATAAGAGGTGGGATCAGGTGCCATGGAGGAAAGAGCATCCCTTTCCGAAGGATCACTCCCGTTTGGCTCCTTGTCATGATCGCGAAATCACGGACAAATCCATTGTCAATTCAGTGTGTAAATAATAGATTAACAAGTAGTATGAAAAACGTCAGTCAGCATTTACCGGCATTGTATGATACCTTGATACGCTTCCTCTATGTGAATCAGACACTAAAATAAATCTTCTATATATTCCTTTGAATTGTTGCAGGATGCTTCCACATAAGTTTCAGCTTTTTTGGTCCAGTGGTTCATGAGATGAAGATTTTCAAAGATTTTTCCTATAGATTTCTATGTAAAACTTTGATTCTCTATAATGGCCCTGCCCTTCCCCCGGGGGTCATGATTCCTATAATTTAGAATTTACACTACCCCAGAACTTCCACTTTTTCTGGCCCAGTGGTTCTTGAGAAGAAGATTTTCAAAGATTTTTCCTATATATTTCTATATAAAACTTTGATTCCCCATTGTCGGGGGTCATTATTTGAACAATTTAGAATCTACATTATAGGATTTTTCCACATAAGTTTCAGCTTTTCTGGCCCAGTGGTTCTTGAGAAGAAATCATGATTTGAACAATTTAGAATCTACACTACACCAGAATGCTTCCACATAAGTTTGCTTTTCTGGCCCTTCTTGAGAAGAAGATTTTCAAAGAATTTTCCTATATAATATATCACACTCATTTTTCTCTAATAATAAAATATGTAGTATTTGCTGGCCATAACAAAAGTAATACCGGTATACTGTTTCCTAAAATAAAATGAAAAAAACTATAAATAATTGTTCATTTAAAGTTTGCTAAAATTGTTATATAGCAAACTTTAAATGAACAATTATTTATATTTTTTACAATACTTTTTTTTTGGCGAAGAAGTAGAGGTAGGTACAAGTATTTGTGTTTTGACAAATAAGAAATTTTAATTAAAATGACAAAAGGACAAATAAGTGTTAAAGTATTCCAGACACTCATCAACGCAATTTACCGCCCCTGCAATCAGTATTGTGCTTTTAACAGATCAATTGAGTTTTACGTCATGAAGGTTCTCTGTAGGTGAAAACTGTCACAGAAACGTCCGCCATTTTAAAATTTTCTGGGTTTTCAAAGTTGTATCCAAACGTCTCCAACCTATCTGTAACTTCTTTTGACACCTGGTGAAAAAAGTAAATTAAGACAATTGTTAAAGGTTTTTACACTGCAAAATATACGATAAGACACATGTTCCAAAATGCTCACCTTTTCATTTTGGCGTTGCTGTTTTTCATCAGATTTTAAAAGAAATTGTTTTTCATGGAAACTTTTGCCTACATACTGTTAAAACATGTCAGTGAATTTTCCGAACACGAAATACCTTAATCGTGTTTGGTGTTGATATTGAGTGAATTTCATTTGCAGTATCTATCGTTGTTCCCCAGACACCCCATCGAGCCCTGGATCCGCCTACAATACTGGATAAAGTGGATCCAAAGTGCACACCTAAAGATATCAAACACAAATACTTTAATGCTGAGAACAAGTAGAGAGAAAAAAAGAACAATTAAAGCTAAAACGCTGTGACAGAATTATTAGAGATAAGTCTCATTCTCTTAAATTATTTACCTGCTTTCATATTTTCAACATTCATATCTGAGCAAATCTTTTGAATTTGATGCACAAAACTCATCAATTGATCTAGATGTCTGTAATCCTTAACATCTTGATTATCCTACAATTATTGAAATTATTTTAAAGTACAATATAACAATCTAATTATTATAAAAATATGTTCCTCGATTCAAGGTCAAATAAAGAATATTATATCATATACACTATATGTGTATATGAATGATTTGTTTATCTTTTTGTTTTAAAACCAGAGTTGTTTTGTGTTTATTGTAATTGACTTGAACACACCAGCTGCAACTGAGGTCCTGTTCAATAAACATGAAAATTAAATGTACCTATTTGGATAGCCTGACTCTTTATGTCAACAATAACAGTTTTTTAAGATTAACAAGAGGCCCACGGGGCTTACAGGTCACCTGAGTATTGTGTTACAACTTTCAAACAATTAAATTTGGTTCGTGTTTTAAACCAGAGGCCATGAAATTCACAATTCACAATTTTGAAAGAGTCACCATTTCTCATCATAAAAATTAACTTAGCATGCTTACTCTATTTACATAATACCCAGAGGTAGATGAAAGTAACAAAGAGAAAATGCACTTCCATTTTATACCAAGTTGTGCACCTCACCCCAAAGGAACCACTGACCCAGGGGCCACAAATTTCAAAATCTTGCAAATTTTATCATAAAATGGTTGATTAATACCAAAGAGCAGATTTCAAAGCATTAATTTATTTTCAGACTATGTACCCCCCCCTCTCTGACCCAGGTGGCATAAAAAACCATTTTGCTAGATGCACCTTTCTTAATCATAGATATATATACTTGGATCATTGGCATTAAACCCAGAAGCAAAGGAAAATATTTTCAAAGAATTACTGTATTTTTACTATATAATCAACAGAGCCCCGCCCTAACAACAGAACCCCTAACCTTGGGGCCATAAAATTCACAATTTTGGAAGAGGCACTCTTGCTCATCATAACTATGTACTTAGCTAGTTTATTTAATACCCAGAAGCAGAGAAAAAGATTTTCAAAGAATAATGCATTTTCACTATATAATCAATAGAGCCCTGCCCTAACACCAGAACCCCTGACCATGGGGCCATAAAATTCTCAATTTTAGAAGAGTCACTCTAGCTCATCATAACGATGTGCTTAGTTAGTTTATTTAATAACCAGAAGCAGAGAAGAAGATTTTCGAAGAATTAATGCATTTTCACTATATGATCAATAGAGCCCCACCCTAACACCAGAACCCTGACCCTGGGTCCGTAAAATTAACAATTTTGGAAGAGGCACTCTTGCTCATCATAACTATGTATTAGCTAGTTTATTTAATACCCAGAAGCAGAGAAGAAGATTTTCAAAGAATAATGCATTTTCACTATATAATCAATAGAGCCCTGCCCTAACACCACCCTAAGAAAAAAATAGTATAGTTAACTATAGTTAACTATAGTTTACTATAGTTAACTATGGTTATAACTTTGACACTTTGAAAACTTTGATTTACTATAGTGATAACTTTGACACTTTGAAAAACTTTGACAGAAACTTTGAAGAACTTTGACGACAACTTTGACACTTTGTAAAACTTTGACACTTTGAAGAACTTTGACGAAAACTTTGACACTTTGAAAAACTTTGACAAAAACTTTGACACTTTGAAAAACTTTGACGAAAACTTTGACACTTTGAAACACTTCGGCGAAAACTTTGACACTTTGAAAAACTTTGGCGAAAACTTTGACACTTTGAAAAACTTTGGCAAAAACTTTGACACTTTGAAAAACTTTGGCAAAAACTTTGGCGAAAACTTTGACAATTTGAAAAACTTTGACACTTTGAAAAACTTTGGTGAAAACTTTGACACTTTGAAAAACTTTGATGAAAACTTTGACACTTTGATTTACTATAGTTAACTATAGTATTTTTTTGTTAGGGATGATGAAACTTTATTCCGTGATGACACTAAATTATCGAAAACTTTGACACTTTGAAAAACTTTATCGAAAACATTGATACTTTGAAAAACTTTGGCGAAAACTTTGACACTTTGAAAAACTTTGGCGAAAACTTTGACACTTTGAAAAACTTTGGCGAAAACTTTAACACTTTGAAAAACTTTGGCGAAAACTTTGACACTTTGAAAAACTTTGGCGAAAACTTTGACACTTTGAAAAACTTTGGAGAAAACTTTGACACTTTGAAAAACTTCGGCGAAAACTTTGACACTTTGATGAAAACTTTGATGAAAACTTTGACACTTTGATTTACTATAGTTAACTATTGTTAACTATAGTATTTTTTTGTTAGGGCAGAACCCCTGACCCTGGGGCCATAAAATTCTCAATTTTAGAAGAGTCGCTCTAGCTCATCATAACGATGTACTTAGTTAGTTTATTTAATAACCAGAAGCAGAGAAGAAGATTTTCGAAGAATTAATGCATTTTCACTATATGATCAATAGAGCCCCATCCTAACACCAGAACCCTGACCCTGGGTTCATAAAGTTCACAATTTTAGAGGAGGCACACTTGTTCATCATAACTATGTGCTTATTTAGTTTATTTAATACCCAGAAGCAGAGAAGAAGTTTTTCAAAGAATAAATGCATTTTCACTATATAATCAATAGAGCCCCATCCAAACACCAGAACCCCTGACCCTGGGGCCATAAAATTAACAAATCTTGAAGAGGCACTCTTGCTCATCATAACTATGTTCTTAGTTAGTTTATTTATTACCCAGATGCAGAGAAGAAGATTTTCAAAGAAATAATGCATTTTCACTACATAATCTATATAGCCCCGCCCTAGCACTAGAACCCCTGACCCTGGGGCCATGAATTTCACAATTTTGGTAGAGGACTCAATGCTCATTACATTCATGCCAACAGTTTGCCTGCTTAATGTCCAGGAGTAAAGAAGATTTTAAAGATTGCAATAATTTTAGTGGTTTTGGCCCCACCCTCAGGCCCGGGGGGGGGGGGGGGGAGGGACAATGCAATTCATAATTTTTGTTCCCTTTCACCCATAGATGCTGTATACCAAATTGGTTGAAATTGGTTTAGTGGTTTTAGAGAAGAAGCTGAAAATGTTCAAATGTTAACACACGACACACGACGCACGACGACGAACGAAAACGGATAGCAATAGGTAATCTGAGTTACTCAGGTTACCTAAAAATTCTTTAACCTCCAGCGTCATAATTTACTTAGTGTATATTCATGTTGATAGAGAAATGGTGTAAAATTGCTTTGCTGAAAAGCTATACTGAATTAAATTACTGGTACATTCATACAAGAGTCAGTAGTATTCAGTCGAAGTGATTTCCTGATACTTCTTGTGAAGCATTTCAGAACGCCTTCATTAATCATATACGGCAGTTGCTTTGAACATTATCAGATAAATAATTGATATCATAATGACGATTTGTTTTATTTTATACAGGAAAACACACCTGAGCACCGTAACACACTCCACTGATAAAGGTGTGTGACGTCACAGACGAGGATACCCGGTACACCATGTTATACGAGAACTGTAGCATCTGCAAAATCGATAAAAAGTAATTAAACTGACACAGCCTTGAAAAATGATACTAAATGATTGTAATTAGTAGAAACCTTTTATAGAAAGGGCAAACCTTTTATCTACTAGCAAAATACTGATTGATAGAAAAAATAACGAAAGATCAAGGGTAAAATAATTCTAACAAGAGTACATTTAATCATTTACAGGAATGTGCTTTGAGGAATGGAGAAAATGTCGGGATATTACTTAGTGAATGTAAATAATTACTCGATTTAACGTATGCTCATTGATACAAGTATCTTAAAGTCAAATAATTTCAAAGAATAGACTAATTATTCTAAAATTTTGCTTATAGGAACTAAATAGCAACTTTGATCTACTATCCAATATAACACTTTTCCTTCATGGTCTTTATTTTGAATTAAATAATGCTAAAAAAAAAGGTGGATTTACACTAAATGCTAAAGATCTAATTCAGTTTCTATTTCTATTTGCTTTATTTTGTTCTTATTTCAAGCAAAATCTTGTCAAACCGATTTCACCCATACGACATAAGAGTAAACTTTTGAAATAAAAATAATTTTCATCCAAATGAGGACTCCATCACTTCTACTCAGTTAAACATAGTTCAATAACTTGTGAAAATTAAGAAATGGTCTTGTCACTAAAAACATGGAACCAGCACCTTGTCCATTTTTTCAACAATCTGTAATATTTTGTCATCGATTTCAGATGTTTCATTGTCCGGATCTTCAGCGTCGTCATCGGACGACAACGAAAGAACAGCAACACCGACATCATTGACTGTTCCCTCAAACACGCTCTATACAGAGAAACGAAACAGTGACATACATATGTATGGAGAATATACATACCTAGATTTGACATAGTCATTTAGTCGGAAAGATTTTAAATTACGTTCATATACCAGGCATATTCTAAAATGAATCAAACTTTAAAAATACATTTAACAAATTATAATTTTTTTGACACTTTAACCCACAATAAAATATATAATATGTATCTAATATATGTATCGTGCTCAGCAACGAATAAGAATGTGATCTGCAGGTCCTGAGACCTAATATTCCAGTATATTTAACCTTCACAATTTTCAGGTTTAGCAGTATGTTTATAACTATTTCCTTTTTAAAACACATGCATATTTTACCTTATGATGGTCAATAAAGCTAAGAAAGGCGGTAGCTACTTCAAATGGAAACGAGTCTAGCACCAGTAACCTGTATTTCTGCTTGCAGTCTAAAAGCTGTTGGTTTTTACGTCTATTTCTGAACGTTAAAGCCACCAGTCCGCTAGAAAGGCTAGAGATCTACAACGAAGGCATCCAATTAATGCAGACATCCAAATAATTTCTTTACGGGGAACCGAAATTGAACTTATTGGCTTCGGTTGTCTCCTATTCAAAATCGGTCCAGTCAGGTCTTGAAGTGACCCTGTAGTGAGTGTTAATAGTGACAAATTAAGCAAAGTTTCGTACAAAATTGTTTCAAATTAAAGACACGTGAAGAAAGCAGTAAGAACATTATCCAAGATTGCAACTTAGAAGAAGCAACCTTGCTGATATAACCATATACTTTAGTTAGTATGCTTATCGATAATACCTAGGAACAGAAAAAAAAGTTTAGAAGAATCTTATATAGATGCATTTAATCTGATCAATAGTTTTTCTGCTTTACACCACAATTCTCTTCTCCATGGTCATATATATCACAATTTTGGAAGAGGCAACCTTGATCTTCAAAATCATGCAATTGGTTCTTTGCTCAAAGAGGTTATTGTATTATACGAAAATAAAATTTTCAGATTCGTGAGAAAAGCATCACTGATATGTATCAATTGATATTAATTTAACCGTTTAAAAGCTTAATTCTATTTCAGAAGATTTAACAGGTTTTTGGATGCATAAAACTCAAGTCAGTAATCTAAATCATTATATGGGCTAACCAAAATTTCATCAATTTTATTAAATTGGTACGAATATTAGTTTTTTTTAAAGTATGCTTCGTATATTTAATCTTTTCTTACTTACACATATGGTAAATTAAGAATATAAAGATACAAAATTATTTAAAAACGAAAACTTTTGACCATCTAAAACACTTTTTTTCTGCTAAAATTTGAAATCAAAACCATGAAAGATATATTTGTTTGGAAAATCATATTTATTTGATATACATGTATGTTTGTAGATTGCAATCCTTAATTATCAATATCAGTAACAAAATCATAGGCTAGAAAAAATTAATTTTTGAATTAAACAAGTCTTACCAGCCTTTGAAAAGTTAACGTTTATTCAAAGAGAATTGTGCAGATATTAGTATAAAAAAGTTTTATCTCTTTTATGGTCAAACTTTTAGCAACCATTTTGTATCTTGATACAACTATTTCACTATATATGAAAAATCTCAAAATAACTAATATAATTCCCCTAAAAAAGAAAGAAAAATAAAAAAAATCAACCAAAATCTTTTTAAAACACTTTTGGAAAACAGGCTTATGTTTATTATTATTCCCTGCTTAAATCTCTTTTTTTCCAGAATGAAAGCGTTGAAATCAAAACCTTGAAAGATATTCTTTGGAAAATCATATTTATTTGATATATGAAAGTTTTTGAATTTTAAAAATAATTAAATATTTTAGAAGTCGTGCAATCCTTAATTATCTTAAAAATATCAGTTCATTCAAAAACAAAATTAGCTCTTTTTATATCTTTTTTTGTCTTTTAACAAAAAATTATCATTTTTGCACTTTTAAAACTATTTCAAACATTTTAGTATCCCTTAAAATTGACCTATTAAAAGTTATTGCCTTTGCAAAAAAAGTTAAACGTTTATGTTTTTTCCAAAGAGAAAATATTTGGTGACCCCTTCAGAAAATCTTTATTGTACAAATAATTAAAAATTTTCAAAATGAGAAGTCGTAAAGACATGGGACTAAAAAAAACCTTTGCTCATAAAATTTTTATCTCTTCAAAAATTATGCTCTTTTTATATCTTTTTTGTCTTTTAACATAAATGTCTTTGCATCAGCAACCATTTTGATTTCATTCTTGTCTTAAGATTGACCCTATTAAAAGTTATTGCCCCTTTTGCGAAAAACCTTGTAATTGCTACTATATATGAAAAAATACTTTAGGCACAACTTTCTAAATAACTAATACAATTCTCTTTGAAACCTTAAACTTTAAAAATAAAGAAAAATTTAAAAAATCAATTTTTTTCCTTCAAAACCTTTTAAAGAGATAAATATTACATGAAATTTTAATGTGGTTGAATCATATTGCTTAATTCATAATTTTAAAAAATCTATGGCAGCGGTGGGATTCGAACCCACGCCTCAATGAGACTGGTGCCTAAAACCAGCGCCTTAGACCGCTCGGCCACGCTACCTTATATCACTCAAAAAATTAATTACATTTCATAAAAGATAGGCAACAAAACACTATATTTAAATAAAAAGAGATCATAGATTAATATTTTAAAAGGTAATTAAAATTCCTACTTATATAGGTCGACAAAATCTACCTGACAATTAAGGTTATTCTGTTCTGAAAATCAGGCATTGAGTAATTGAAAATGCTCACAAAGATGTCTCTAAATTCTGAAATTAAAATGCACTATATTAAATTTAATCAATGTGAAAAAGAGAATCAGGAAATGTTTCATAACTATTTTTCAAAATCAATAAATACATTTTAGAATAAATATTTTAAAAGGTAATTAAAACTTCCATTGTTTCATAATACATAGTGTATATAAAGAATACACTGTAAATCACTTCTAATTTCAAATCATGCACATAAACAAATAGGCTAGATTAAAAGAAATTTGATTTTTTTTAAAATACAAGTTTTTCTTTATTTTATGAGGTAGAAATGAACTTTTTAAATCCATTCAAAATAAAGAACATTGAATCATACGTGGAGGCATAAAATGAAAATTGTTCATGAAAAAATTTCACTTTCAAGCAACTTTTTGAATTAAATTATAAATTAAACAGTTATCCTTCCTGGCTGAGGATCGTATATCCTTAATCTTAAGTCTTATCATTCCATCTTGAGTAAACATTAATTTAAAAAAAAACAGTTTATTAATTTTCTCACAAAATTTCAAACAGGTAATAGAGGATATAAATTGAAGGATTTATTCAAATATCTTTGCATAGTTTTCTTTTATATTTTTTCAAAGTTAAAAAGTGCGGTGATGTTTAACTTATTTAAAAAAAATTCATCATTTTTTGTGAACATGGAATCGGAGAGTCTATATACTTGTATGTATACTCCAATTATAGAAAATTCTCTGATGAAATACACGTGTGTTAGTTAAAAGAGAGACGATGTTCAGATGAAGATTAGATATGAAGAAACTTAATAGTTAGGCTAGCAGAAAAAGAGAATTCCATTCCCTTAAAGATAACTCGGCGTTAATTAATTTGGATTGGAGATTTAATGCGAAGTGTAATCAATACTATACAATTATTTTGAATGACCATAAATAAAAAAAATAATTGGAGAATAAATCATAAATCTTTAGCTTGAAATAACCAAGAAGACTAATTAATAAAAATTCCAAGTGAAAATACCAGATAAAAGGACTAATTTTTTATTAAAAGGGATTGCAAAGAGATTTCAGATGTGAAATTTTTTAAAAGCCTTAGAGATTTAATAATAATTCAGACAATATCGATATGTTGTAAATGAGTCATATTATACCTGTATATTGAGAAGGAGAACACAGACACAAATTCCGCCGAAGTGTACTGTCAGGTCGTCCTTTGGTACCGAGGATCTGTAATCAAACATTGTCACGTGACTTATTCACAGTTTTTTGGGTTTTTTTTTTTTTTTACACTTGACATTTTTTTTAAATTGGGGAATAGCACACATGGCAGCTTGTTAAATTTTCTGAAAGTGTATATTAATTATAATTCATTTATAATACAATGTATGTCATGGAAGAGGTCGGATCCAGATTTTAGATGTTTCTCGAGACAAGGCCAAAATCATAAACCCAAACCTCTAAATACTTTAAAAATGTTGTATTTTAAAGGTACCCTAGCAAAAATTATGTAGTTAACTAATAATTTACTTTGGTTAACTGTGGTTAACTTTAGTAAATCAAAGTTTTCAAAGTTATCACTATAGTAAATCAAAATTTTCACCATAGTAAATCAAAGTTAACATTATAGTAAATCAAAGTTAACATTATAGTAAATCAAAGTTATCACTATAGTAAATCAAAGTTTTCATACATTGTAGTGATCACTTTAGTTACTCGTAATCAAAGTGTAAAAGGTATCAATATAGTAAATCAAAGTTTTACTATAGTTAACTATAGAAGGTATAGTAAGTTTTTGTTAGGGAAGCACCTGGAGATATAATTTGTTCAATATGGATACGGCATGTCAATCAAACAAACACATACATCAGAATAAAGGTACAGACAGGAACTCACCCCGGATAATCAAAAAACCAATCAGAATAAAGGTAAAGACAGGAACTCACCCCGGATAATCAAAAAACCAATCAGAATAAAGGTAAAGACAGGAACTCACCCCGGATAATCAAAAAACCAATCAGAGAAGGAGGGAAAAATACTGAAATTTATCAGATAGTGCAGTGCCGCAATAATCGTGATAAAACAAAGCTTGCTGGCCAGTCCGATCACACTGCAGGTGGACAGGGCGACCAACAGGATACTGGCCGCTACAGTAAGAAAGGACGGAAATGAGCACACGTCATCACTGAGCTGAGAATTGGCGGGAGTCGTTGTGTCGTTGTTTGATAAAAAAGCTGTTTTACAATCTACCTGGAAAGAAATAAAGGACGGAGATACAAGTAAAGTGGAATGAAAAACATTTCAAGTTAATGCTTGATTTTACCGAAACAACAAAAAAAATATATTATCAAGAATTATAAACATACCAGTAATATCACAGTTGAGCAAATAAAGGAAGCAACCACTCCAATCAAGAACAAGTGACCAAATATCAAAGTTAGAATGGACTTGTGATGCTGGAATAATGAAACAAACAAGTGACCAAATATCAAAGTAAGAATGGATTTGTGATGCTGGAATAATAAAGTAAATACAAGTGACCAAATATCAAAGTTAGAATGGACTTTTGATACGAAGGATATATAGATAACGAACAGTATTCAATCTCAAAGCCCATAAAACAATACAAAATAAGAGCAGAGCAAACACGGACCCCCTAAATATCAGAGATGGGATCAGGTGCCATGGAGGAGTGAGCATCCCCTGCCGACCGGTCACACCCGCCGTGTGCTCCTTGTCATGATCAGGAAATAACGGAAAAAATCCGTTGTCAATTCAGTGTATAAATAATGGACTAACAATTGGTATGAAAAACGTCAGTCAGCATTTGACTCAATGATAAATTGTATTTGCTGACAAGGTCATTGTATCGACCATAGAACTTACGAAATGATGACTTTAAACGAGACTGCTGATATTCTTGTTTCATCAACTTGCTTGTCAATAATTTACCTCGTTTCAGAAATTGTTCATACGTAGAGCATGCTCTTGCTTATCGAATCAACTGAGATATATATACTCTGTATGCAGGTGATGAAGGTATATTGCTGCATAAGTAAGGAGAAGTTGACGATAGAAAAGTTAAAGTCATCACGTTTATCATATAGTTTGGTTGTTAGATTACCATTAGCGTCTTTTTCAAGTAAAATATCCAAGTATGAAACAGAAGTGTCAGACTCTGTGGTATCTTTCATCTCAAGCTCACCAGGATATATCGTATCGACTTAGGAATGGAAATTACCATTGTTAATTGATAATACGTCGTCGATATATCTAAATGTCGAGTTGAAGGCCACAGCAAGTGTTTTCTTCTTTTCACGCATAAGATTTTGCATAAATTCTGCTTCATATGAATATAAAAATAAGTCTGCCAATAACGGAACGCAGTTTTTAAATTAAACTAAAAATGTTCCTTTCGAACGAAAAAAAAAACGAGAAAGGCGTTAAAATGTCAAAGAGGGTTAAACGGCATTTGATTCTGAATAAATGAATAAACACATATCCCAATCACCCCCAGAAGTCGAAGTGCTGAAATTCCCAGAAAAAATAAAGGAATGGGAGTTTTCTGGTAATATGCACATCTACACATTGTGTCCTAAATATCTGCAAAGTTTGACGAAATTGTGTGCAGCTTTTATGAGGAGTTGTACTGACAAACTGTTCATCTCTATATTCAAGATAGCCAAAAATATAAGTTTAAAAGTGCGGAAATTCCCAGAAAAAATAAAGGAGTCGGATTTTTCTGGTAATATGCACATCTACACATTATGTTCTAAATATCTGCAAAGTTTGACGAAATTGTGTGAAGCGGTTTATGAGTAGTTGTGCTGACAAACTGTTCATCTCTATATTAAAGTTATGGCCAAAAATCTAAGTTTAAAAATGCGGAAATGCCCAGAAAAAATTAAGGAATCGGAATTTCCTGGTAATATGCACATCTACACATTGTGTCCTAAATATCTGCAAAGTTGGACGAAATTGTGTGCAGTAGATTATGTGGAGTTGCGCTGACCAAAAAACAGGACTGACTGACCGACACTGTGACTGATTGACTGACGGACGGGTCAAAAGCATTATACCTCACGCAACTTGTTGCGTAGGATATAATAACACAGAAACCCGTGGTCCGAATATCAAAATCTAAAGTAAATAAATTCAATTTCCATTTTGTATTAAATGGGGTAACTACTACATTCTAAAACAGAAATGTATAACAACTATAAGTTGTAAAAGAATTGTTAAATTTAAGACATACTTGACAAATGTACACGTATACAGCCTTAAAAATACATTTTCCGGTTGATATGAAAAACTGTCGTTAAAAAATACAACATTTGCAAAGTTATAAATTTTGTTCTAATTTTTTTTAATTCCAGTAGTTGAAAATCTTACCTCTATTTTACTAATGACGAAATTAAAGGGGATAAAACTCAGAAGAAACAGTACTGAAATGGCTAGAAGTATGAAGTCTGAGGATGAACTGAAAAAAAGTGACACATTACACAGCTCCAGCTAATAGTGAAAGATTAATCACAACTGGTACAGGTTGAACTTATTGAATTCTGACTAGAAGCAAAAACATTTCTTTAAAAATGCTGCAGTGTGTTTCAATTTTAAGCAAGATTTTCTTACTTTCTCAGAAAATGTCATGTTTAGAATCATGTTTAGAAATTTTACCCTAACCAAATGTTATTTCATGTATATAAATTATTTTTACATGATATAATTAAAATTAAAATAAGCAATCTTCATAAAAATTAAAAATACTAAAATTCTTAGAATAACGGAACTTCTAAGAATTTATAAAGTTTCCTGTCAGACAGGTCAAAGCAACAAAGGATGCTCATATTTCCATGAATATTTACACATTGTTATGTACATATGTATATATATTTTGAAAACAAAAAAGAAACACGATTTGTATTGAAGATATGTCGAGTTTTTTATGGGGTGTAACTGACTTACATGTTAGAGATGACAGCGTTGATGTAAAAGTTAGTGAGAATAAAGCCGACACAGAGGCAAATATAGGCCACACTCAGACCTTCCTTTTTTCTGTCACATACGTGTTTAATGGAGTTCTGGTAAAAAGTCTGCATACTGGATCGCTTCCTGCAAAAATGTTGTTTTTTTGTTTAAATTTGATTTTATGTTATCACACTAAAACAAAATAAATGTAATGAAATAAGGAAACAACGAACAGCACCCAAGCCCAAAAGTCCATTAAACAATACAAATCAGATGCAGAGCAATCATGGACCTCTAAAACATCAGAAGTGGGATCAGGTGCCATTGAGGAGTGAGCATCCCCTGCCCACCGGTCACACCTGCCGCGTGCTCCTTGTCAAGACGAGAAATCCGTTGACAATTCCGTGTGTACATGTATATAATGGCCTAACAATTAATATAAAAAACGACAGTCAGCATTTGACTTAATGACAAATTGTATTTGTTTACGAGGTCATTGTATAGCCCATAAAACTCAGGTGACTTAAGATGAGATTGCTGATATTCTTGTTTCATAAACTAATTTGTCAATAAACCTCGTCTTGGAAATACTTCATACTCCGATCATGCTCTTGTGCAACGAATTAACTGAGAGATATGAACCCCGTACGCAGGTGATAAGGGTATTGAAACGGAAATTGGTTTTTGTGATTTAGTTTCGTATAAAACGTTAGACCTATGTTTTCGTCTAATTTCTTAAACACTAAAAAATATTAATTTTACAATCATTTAAGTAGTTTGTAACTGTCTATGTACTGGGACTGCACTGAGGTAATACATGCCGTGTTACAGAATCTCAGGATACCTCTCTGGTGACAAGCTTATTGAGGCTTGACTGTCTATTCTCTTGAACTTGTGATAAGACCTGAATAAGGCAAACAGTTTCGGGGAATGGGCAGTGAGTGGTCACCAATATTAGCTAATACGTAAGACGTGTATAAGACAGCAGGCTGATGGAGAGAGAGGTGGCATACCACAGAAGTGGGCGAAGTGCCAAGATGCAGCAGTACATTTAGAGTGGCAGGACCAGAGAAATTCATCGCGGAAGACACCCGTCGACCACAGTAAGTGGTTGTCCAATCAAGAAGAAACCCATTGTATTTGTACATATTTGATTATAATTCTATTTGGTCAACAAAAACCTGAGTTAACCCTAACAAAAAAATACCATAGTAAACTATAGTTAACTATAGTTTACTATAGTTAACTATAGTACCAAAGTTAAAACTTTGGAACTTTGATTTACTATGGTGAAAACTTTGGAACTTTGATTAACTATGGCGAAAACTTTGGAACTTTGAGTTACTATAGTAATAACTTTGGAACTTTGATTTACTATAGTAAAAACTTTGGAACTTTGATTTACTATTGGAATAACTTTGGAACTTTGATTTACTATGGCGAAAACTTTGGAACTTTGATTTACTATGGTGAAAACTTTGGAACTTTGATTTACTATGGCGAAAACTTTGGAACTTTGAATAACTATGTTATAAACTTCGATTTACTATGGCGAAAACTCTGGAGATTTTATTAAGTACCATAAAACCGTTGGAATTTTGATTTTTCTTCCCATTCAGTACATTTTATGAAATTTACAGAATAAGATTCATTAAAGTTTCAGAGAACGTTTTAAAAGCCCGACCTGTCCCCTAAAAGAACAAAGTACAAGAAATGAGTTTTAACGTAAAATTTGTCTCATGAACAGATAAATAAGCAATATATATTATTATTAATGGAGAAAAATATATAACATCATTTAGAATCAAAATGTTTGCTTCCTTAATTTCAGATAACATTTTTTTACTTTTGAATGTAAATATTGCATTTAAATAAATTACTTTGCCTATTTAAATTAAGATGAACAACAAAACCAGCCTAAAAACCAATACCATCCCCTTTAAACAGACTAATCATAAAAAAAAACATAATAAAACAAAATACAAACTTTAATACTTTGATTTACTATAGTAAAAACTTTGGAACTTTGATTTACTATTGGAATAACTTTGGAACTTTGATTTACTATGGCAAAAACTTTGGAACTTTGATTTACTACATTGAAAACTTTGGAACTTTGATTTACTAAGGTGAAAACTTTGGAACTTTGATTTGCTATGGTGAAAACTTTGGAACTTTGATTTACTATAGTTATAACTTTGGAACTTTGATTTACTATAGTAATAACTCTGGAACTTTGATTTACTATCGGAAAACTTTGGAACTTTCATTTACTATAGTAAACTATAGTTTACTATAGTATTTTTTGTTAGGGTTAACAGGTTAACGAACCTAAGTGTAACGCCTCGGTGATACAAACCATATCATCAAATACCAAGCTCGGCCGCGTTACACGTTACATTATATTGCTGCCCAAGTAAGGGAAGTTGACGATAGAAAAGTTAAAGTAATCTTGTTTATCATAAGGTTGGTTGTTAGATTACCAGTAACGTCTTTTTCAAGTAAACTATCCAAATATGAAACAGATGTGTCAGACTCTATAGTATCTTTTATCTCAAGCTCACCAGGATATATCGCTTTTATTTTACTGAAATGTAAATTAAATTCATCGACTGCATATCGATCGATTTTGGAAATAGTTGATAATTTATAGTGGAGAAAAATGGAGAACTTAATTAAACTAAAGCAAACTTTAATTTACAGGATTTAAAAAAAATCCGTTTTCTTTAATGATTTCAATTTTCAACGTTTGCAATGAACAAACGACTCTGTGGGTTATCTAGATGAAAGTTGAAGATAAGATAATTTTTTTTGCTTGTAAATTCCGTTGAAACAATGCAAATGGTGCACAGAAAAAGCCGACTTTCAGGAATTTCAACAAACAAACTTGTTTAAAGTCATCATTTAGCAATTTCTATGGTCGCTATGAACACCCTTTCTTCAATTACAATCTATCATTAAACGTTTTTCAATAAACAAGTAAATTGTTACATCATTTTTATCTCCCTGAGTTGTTTACGGATTTCTCCGTTTTCTCGGTCAAGACAAGGAGTATATGACAGGTGTGACTTGTCAACAGGGCATGCTTACTCCCTGATATGACAGGTGCGACTTGTCAATAGGGCATGCTTACTCCCTGATCCCACCTTTGATGTTCTTAGAAGTCCACGTTTGCTCTTCTTCCGATCTGTATTGTTTCAGTAAACTTTTGAGTTTGAGTACTATTTGTGATCTTAAAGAAAAGATTTGTAGCCCCACTGATGCTTTTGTCTATTTTTGTGTAGGCTATTATGACAAACTTTTGATGTGCATTTTGTGATTTGATTTCAAATAACCACCAACCTTTTCAATTCTCTGATTTTTATGCTCCTATCTCGTAGCTTTTGGACATCCTCTTCTAGTCGCTAAAATATTTTTAACTAAATTTATAAAATTCAAACAAACTTTTCTGATAAAAATATTCATAAGGATAAACTTGAGTAAAATTCTGTCAAAATACAATTTTTTCATAAACAATCCTTGAATCAAGCAAGCGTTTCCAATGAATCTACATTGTATAAAAGCCACGGTCTGTTTGTTTGTTTTTTCTGTTTTCTGTAGGTATAAAAGGTATGTGAAGGAATCACTTACGGATGTCAATTGGCAAATCTCACCTTTCTGTGAATTCTGCGAGCCGCTATCCCCATTTCGTAATCAGAGGCACTGAACTAAAAAAATAAATGATTTCCCATCCGCTATGTATTCTCATTAGCACCCCCTAGCTATGAATTCTCATTAGCTAATTTTCAATCAGAGCTGAGTGATTAATTTCGGAATAATTACCCTTTTGATGACGTATTTTACAGAGAAGGCTGATTCTGAGATCGTCTCTATGATGAATTCGTCATGCAGGGTTGATCTAGTAGCACCTGAGATTAGGACCTGCCTGTACAATCAATGTATATAATTATATTTTGAAAAGTCGCCGGATTAAAAAAAAAAGATTCGTGTTTAAATTAACGTTCTTCTATTCAGGATTTTTTAGAGATGCAAATGAAAGACTATCATTGTTTTCAATGATCAGGAATTATGATGGGATATATGGTATTATTGTTTACTGTTATTTTTTTTTTTGGTGCATTCTCTATATCTTACGAACGAAAATCTAATTTTAGTCAGGAAACTTAAAAGAATATCAATGTATCAAAAAAAACATACTTATTTGCAGTAAAATAATTAAATATGCAAAGGCATATTCAAGAGGGAATATGACACAAAATTAGACTTAAAGTTCATATTTAGAAGAATCAATTTCAAAAATAACATCTATGACTCTTGCATACTATTTTGATTCTCCTATTTGTTTTAAAATGTCATTTCAACCTGAATAAGCATTGTCCTTTGCGTCAGCCAATTAAAGGTCTCTGATAGCACCACTTTTTACAAGAATCTGATATGAAAACCACAGTACTTCTCTACCATTTCTATAGAAATCATGAAAGACAATATTGAATATAGAACAAATGAATCTTTTCCGTTACCCGTTCTGAGTCTGCTTTAATAGGGCTTTGGCTTTGATGACGTCATTTCCAAGAAGGTTATATTTCCAATTACGAGTCCCCAGGACAGCTGTACTGATATCCCCAGTATGGACGGCGATCTTTAGATGGACATTGGGAATCTTTACCTTCTGCTTCAGTTCTCTGAAAATTGTCAATATCTTTTGTTGTATTAACAACTTTTATTGTAAAGATAAATATACACTACCCGAAATTTTAGTATAGTTTAAAGCAAAAGTACCTAGATTTCAAGCACGCATTTGACAATGACAACACTGGTAACGATAAATTTTGTCGACTTCACTGCCAAGAAAAAGAGGATACAGCATTCTAGAATTGATGGATGAAAACGCACAGAAGCTCGCAATTTATTATCAATGAAGTCAATATAAAGTCACTCGATTGACCAATACCAATGTCATCGACAACAGATATGGAATACAGGGAAATTTTCGCCCTTGCAAACAATTTTGCCCCGTTTTAAATTCGCCCAGTTACATTTCTGTTGAAGAAATCATACTGTTTTCTTTGAATTTCGCCCCGCTTTAAATTCGCCCACCTTTAAATAGGGCAAAAATAAAACGGAGTCGAAAATTTCCCTGAATACAGTAGATATTTTTATTTAAATTGAATATGCCTCCTTAACCACTTCATTTTGTGAAAAGGTTAGCTTATACCGTATAAGAGGAAATTTTAGCGAGACGCAAATTTAGCGATTTAACCTTAAAAATCGGTAATTTTATTTTAGCGAGAAGCAATTTTAGCGAATTTGAAATGCTTACTTAAGCAGGTATAGCAACTTCAACGCAATTAATTTTTAGGATACCTAATTCTAACGATCTCAGCACCCTATAATAATGCCAAAATTAAATCCTCTACTTATACGGTATTTGATTAAGGGGGCTGGGGGTTGTGGCATTTTTAGACTATATTTATCTCCTTTAGAAGAAGAGCTCCAGATGAAGATAAAGAAAATGATAAATTTTAAAACTAAAATTTTTGAAATTTTTCTTTGCCAAATGATAGTTGACAGCTTAAGATATCATATCTAAGAAATTAAGTTAAATCTGGTGGTTAATTTGCGGTTAATTTGTTGACCCCCAGCCTCCTTAAAGATTATTCCACATACCTAAAATAATCCAGCATAGCCATGGCCATGTACACCGTCAGGATGGGGTGGTCTGCCCTTGTCTCCATCGCCCCGCAGACGACACTGTACTCACTAAGAGACCAACCCACCTCCTCCATAAAATGCTTCTGTAACAAACAGAACAACGTGTGTTCTTTTGAAATGATGACTTTAGGAGTCTGTTGATATTCTCGTTTCAGCAACATTTTTGTTTGTAACTTACCTAATTCAAAAAAGTGCAGATAAAAGCCTTAGGATATATTGCTATTTGGGGGAAGTTGGCGACTGAGTAGTTTTAAGTCAAGACGTCTAATATAAGGTTTTGTTATCGTCGCCGCGTGGCGCAGTGGTTAGAGCGTCTGCTCTAGAGTCGCGAAGTAAGGAGTTGATCCTTACGTTGCGGGTTCGAATCCCACTGTGGGACGTGGAGAACGGTCCTTCGGATGAGACCGTATAAACCGAGGCCCCGAATCGCAGTAGGTGCTGGCACGAAAAAGATCCCTCCCTGCTCAAAGGACCTGAGTGCCGGGTATAGGACAAAAAATTTGCAGCTCTCCACCGGCAAGTGGTGGCGTCTCCATGAGTGAAAAATTCTCGAGAGGGACGTTACACAATACACAATCAATCAACATATTTATCTAGTAAAATATCCATTTGAAACAGATGTTTCATATTTTGTTACTAGTACCTGGGCATATATTTTTTTAATTTAAGCCCAGTGGGTTGTACTGAGTCGTCACCTGAATAGTTCTAAGTAACCTTATATATATATGATAATGCATCGTCGAGTTGAAGGTCACAACAAGTGTTTCTACATCTCATGTATAAGGTTTTGAATAATTTCGGCTTTATGTGGATATAAAAATAGGTATGCTTACATTGGGGTCCAAAAACTATACTGTTAGTGATAAATATTGTGAATAAATGTCGCCTACTTTTCTTAGGTAGACTCCATAGGTCAGAACAAACCTCTGTACATCATCAGATCTATAAGTTTATTTCTGATATTCAAGTATCTGAAAAAAATTTTGCAACCAAAAACATATTACAAACTGCTAGCAAATACAAGCTCTTAGATATGTTTGAAAACAATTGTAGCATTATATACAGTAAAAAGGAATTTTCAAAAATGATTATCAAAACAATATGGGCAGCAGAGGAAAATCAATGTCTGTAGTTTAAATGTCTGTCTGTAGATCCTGATATGTCTTTTTTCAGTAAAATGCATACTACGTTGAACCCAAATAAATTGTGGCAGATTGCTAGAGAAGATCCCTCAACAAGATTATTAATCAATTTTTTTTATTCAGGTTTCATCGATGAAAATTGTTTGTCAAGTTTGTCAATTTTGTAATAAGGTAACAAGTAACTATAATATGCACTTGATGTTAAGCTGTTTTACACTACTAGACGACAGAGAAAATATGCTTGAGGACATTTTAGATATACGTACTTGATGTAAATGAGTATGTTTTGTTTGAGGATCAAGATCCTAAATTACAGTTATTATCTTTAATGGGGTGTGTTCAAGGCACAAGTTTTGAAAACATATCTTTTACAAAATGGAAATGTATAATGATAATCGTTGCCTCAACAGTGTATAAAAACAAAAGTCTTTTTGCCATAGACTGTCGAAACCTGTAATGTTCTAGTAGAAAATTGTACATATATAAATATGTTTTCTTTTTGCATTGTGTTGTTAGTTAGTTAATTTCCTGTTCATACAAACTCTTCATTAATTTGGAGGAAATAAAGAATATCTTATCTTATCTTATCATAGTGGGTTCCAGTAAATGTTCAACCAAGCCTCTTTCTTTACTCCTCACTAAGATATTAACAGTAGTGAAGGAGAAACTTCTAGAGTACTGTGCAACAAATTGTTTGATATATTCAAGAAGTGGTGTAAATCAGATGTGGATACTTAAAAAATTCCAAGGAACTTTTGGACAATTTGAAATCACAAGATTTTACCAAAAGCAACAGCTTAAAAAATTACGACTTTTCAACTTTATACACCATTCCCCTTGAAAAATTAAAGTCTAGGCTTTTTTATATCATTAACAGCTGCTTTTTCCATAAAAATGGAAGTCGAAAATTTACTGACATTGTCATTGGTCATTTGCAAAATTATTTTGTTAAAAAACATTCTGATTCTCCACACAAGTACTCTGAAGATGCTTGAGTTTCTGATTGACAATATCTATGTTGTTTTTGGAGACTAGGTATTCCAACAATCTATTAGAATTTCCATGGCTACTGATGCATGAAAATAAGAAAACACTTGCTGTGGCCTTCAGTTCGACATTTAGATATATCGACTAAGTACCATCAATTAACAATGGTAATTTCCTTTATTATTTCGATACGATATATTCTGGTGAGCTTGATATAAAAGATACCACAGAGTCTGAGACATCTGTGTCATATTTGGATATTTTACTTGAAAAAGACGTTAATGGAAATCTAACAACCAAGCTATATGATAAACGTGATGACTTTAACTCTTCTATCGTAAACTTCCCTTACGTATGCAGCAATATATTTTCATCACCTGCATACAGAGTTTATATATCTCATTTAATTAGATACGTAAGAGCATGTTCTTTGTATGAACAATTTCGAAAACGAGGTAAGTTATTGACAAACAAGTTGATGAAACAAGAATATCAGCAGTCTCGTTTAAAGTCATCATTTCATAAGTTCTATGGTCGATACAATGACCTTGTCAGCAAATACAATTTATCATTGAGTCAAATGCTAACTGACGTTTTTCATACTAATTGTTAGACCAATATTTATACACTGAATTGACGAAAAACAAACCTTGACTATAACTTTTAAAGGGTTAGGGCTAGTGCTTTCATACTTTTCATATTTAATCCATGTGACAAGACCTTTCATTTGATACCAAGAACATTGACTGTTTAACCTTGACCTTGGAGTTTGACCCACTTTTTAAAATTTTTAACCATTGCCATAACTTTGGAAGGGTTTGGACTGGGGATTCCATACTTCATATATGCATTCTTTGTGACAAGACTATCAATTTCTTTGACCTTGGACTTATGAAAAAACTTTAACTTTGGCCATAAATTTTGAACGCTAAGAGCCAGTGCTCTCATATTTCACATATGTAATCCTTGTGAGAAGATCCTTCATTGGATACCAAGAACTTTGACTCTTAGCCTTGACCTTGGAGTTTGACCTACTTTTAATAAACAAGCCTTGACCATAACTTTTGAAGGGTTACGGTTAGTGCTTTCATACTTTTCATATTTAATCCTTGTAACAAGACCTTTAATTATATATCAAGAATTTTGACCCTTTGACCTTGACCTTGGAGTTTGACCTCTTTTTTATTTTTTTTAATCTTTGACTTCTGAAGGGTTAGGGCTACGGCTTCAATACTTCATAAATGTATATTTTGTGGCAAAACCTTTCACTGGATACCAATTACCTTCACCTTGGCTTACTTTCATATTTCACAATTGTATTTCCAGTGAAAATACCCTACTTTGGGTACCAATATATTAAATTTCGTTTAAGAAAAGTTTAATCTTTGCTGTTTTGCCATACGGGGCATCAGTGTTTTACAAACACATCTTGTTGAATATTTGCAAACATCCTAATATGAAACAAACGTGTCAGGTTGTGGTAACGTGTATTCAGAAATTCAAACAGATATATCGAATCAGCAAAGGGATGAAAATTATTATTCGAAAAATTAATTGATAAAATGTCGTCAGTATATCTAAATGTTTAAAGCACAAAAGGATACTTCTTTTCATGTAAAAGTCTTGAATAAAATGTTCTATAAGAGCAGAGATAGCTCCGTGAAAATGTAGTGATATTTTGTACCTTTTGGTCACTGTATATTTTTGTATCATGCGCACCTCATTGCATAAAATTGTGAACTTAAGAATTTATGATTGTTTTTGCTAAATGTGTTTGTTTCTATTTCATTATGTCTTAAATTGTTTTGGTAATGTCAATTATACTTGAAGTTGACATATTTGGGTTGCTTTGTCATTGATTGTTTTTATTTAAAAAAAATGACTGACCATTCCCACTTTCCATTTTCATTTGTGTCAAATAGAGCACGCCATATCAGGTATCCATAAAAATAATGTAGCTTCCGTGAAACTCATTAAGATTTCTTATAAGAAATGATTATTATGAACTCTAAACGTGGGTGTTTTTGTACATAGTTTCTTATACAAATTAGAAGTTAACACATTAAGGGACTCCGACCCTCAGCCAGGAAGGACAACTCTTTAATTTATAACTTAATTCAAAGAGTCTTAAAATGAAGCTTGAAAATTAAATCTTTTCATGCAACAATTTTCATTATATGCCTCTCAATGTGTTTCAAGGTTCTTTGCAAAGCTCCATAAATTACTTCTAATTTCATATCATGTTAATAAACATTGGTATCTAAAAATGCTTTCTCGGGATGAAAATTTCTACTTTTAATTAGGCCTTTCTGAGAAGTTTAAAGAACGCTGAAGCACATTGAGAGGCATATAATGAAAATTGTTGCATGGAAAGATTTAATTTTCAAGCTTCATTCAAAGACTTTTTGAATTAAATTATAAATTAAAGAGTTGTCCTTCCTGGCTGAGGGTCGGAGTCCCTTAACGTGATCTTATTTGGACAAAACCTGTAGAAGGTAATGTAATGCTGAATACATGTAGAGTTATGAGTTATGGGTTGAACTCGGTAATTTTATGTTTGGGTAAATGTCATAGCAACCACCCGAGAATCTCAATCAAGGCTTGGCACTGGTTTTGTAAGATTGTAGTTTACCCAACAGGTAATACATTAATTAAAAATCATGATACTGACCGATTTCCTATTGATTTCCCCTCACATCAGACCCTACCTTTGCAAGGACAGTGTACTGTGCCATCAGGTCGTTGATCAGCGCTAAGCAAGACTGAGGAGATCTATCGGCAAGGTCACCTATTCCCACAACGTGACAGAACAGCATACTGAAATCAGAAATACAATCTCAAACAGAACAGCATACTGAAATCACAAATACAAATGCAAACAGAACAGCATACTGAAATCACAAATACAAATACAAACAGAACAGCATACTGAAATCACAAATACAAACTCAGAGAGAACAGCATACTGATTACAAATACAAAGTCAAACAGAACAGCATACTGAAATCACAAATATAAAGAAGGATATGAATATATATAGAACAGTATTCAAATTATCAAAGGTCCATTAAACAATACAAAAAAGGGACAGAGCAAACACGGATCTCCAAAACATCAGAGATGGGATCAGGTGCCATGGAGGAGTGAGCATCCCCTGCTGACTGGTCACACCCGCCGTGTGCTCCTTGTCATGATCGGGAAATAAGTGAAAAATCCGTTGTCAATTCAGTGTATAAATAATGGACTAACAACTAGTATGAAAAACGTCAGTTAGCATTTGACTCAATGATAAATTGTATTTGCTGACAAGGTCATTGTATCGACCATAGAACTTATGAAATGATGACTTTAAACGAGACTGCTGATATTCTTGTTTTATCAACTTGCTTGTCAATAATTAATCTCGTTTTAGAAATTGTTCATACGTAGAGCATGCTCTTGCGTATCGAATCAACTAATATATATATGCACTCCGTATGCAGGTGATGAAGGTATACTGCTGCATAAGTAAGGAAAGTTGACGATAGAAAAGTTAAAGTCATCACATTTATCATATAGCTTGGTTGTTAGATTACCATTAATGTCTTTTTTAAGAAACATATCCAAATATGAAACAGATGTGTCAGCCTCTGTGGTATCTTTTATCTCAAGCTCACCAGGATATATCGTATCGACGTAGGAATGGAAATTACCATTGTTAATTGAAAATACGTCGTCGATATATTTAAATGTCGAGTTGAAGTGTTTTATTCTTTTCACGTATAAGATTTTGCACAAATTCTGCTTCATATGAAGATAAAGTTAGGTCTGCTAATAACGGAGCGCAATTGGTACCCATGGGAATTCCAATAGATTGTTAGAATACCTGGTCTTCAAAAACCACATACTTAGTAAATATTGTCAATCAGAAATTCAAGCATCTCTTTGATGTCTACTTCAGAATACTTGTGTGTGCAATCAGAATGTGTTTTTACAAAATAATTTTGCAAATGACCAATGTAAATTTACGAGTTCCATTTTTATTGAAAAAGCAGCTGTCAATGATATAAAAAAAAACCTGGACTTTAATTTATCATGGGGAATGGTTGTATATAAAGTTGAAAAGTCGTAAGTTTTTAAGCTGTTGATTTTGGTAAAATCTTGTGATTTCAATTTGTCCAAAAGTTCCTAGGAATTTTTTAGTCTCCACATCTGATCAACACCACTTCTTGAATTATTATTGCACAGTACTCTTGAGGTTCTTCCTTCTCTTCTGTCAAACAGAACAGCATACTGAATTATCGCAAATACTAATCAAACAGAACAGCATACAAAAATCAGAAATACAAAGTCAAACCGAACAGCATACTGTAATCACAAATGTAAACTCAAACAGAACAGCAAACGGAAAGCAGAAATACAAACTCAAACAGAACAGCATACTGAAATCACAAATAAAAATACAAACAGAACAGCATACTGAAAGCAGAAATACAAACTCAAACAAAACAGCATACTGAAATCACAAATACAAACTCAAACAGAACAGCATATTGAAATCAGAAAAAACAAACTCAAACAGAACAGCATACGGAAAGCAGAAATACAAACTCAAACAGAACAATAGTCTGAAATCACAAATATATAATCAAACAGAACAGCATACTGAAAGCAGAAATTTAAACTCAAACAAAACAGCATTCTGAAATCACAAATGCAAAGTCAAAAAGAACAGCATACGGAAAGCAGAAATACAAACTCAAACAGAACAATAGTCTGAAATCACAAACGCAAACAGAATAGCATACTGAAATACAAATTCAATCTCTTCTGACTTGTATTAGTTCTTTATTAAAAAAAAAAAGAAAAAGGGTGGCTGATAAGTATAATTGATTTCCACAAATCGACAAAGAAAACTAATGAGACTGTTTTAAACAAATGGTGTGTTGGAGCATGTCTGTTTATTCTAGTATATCCTGTTATGACTTATTTTTTCTATCGTCCACTTTACTTATTTATGTTGCAATATACCAACATCACCTTTCATCAAATTTTTGAAGCCAAGTTCATTCGATATGCATGCAAGAACATGACCTTCGTTCTATGAATTTCTAAAACGGGGCAGAAGTAAATTGATGATACAAAGTTTTTATTTATTTCGTTTTAAGTCAACGATACCCAAATAAATTGGTTCATTCAATGACTCTGTATATATAAATCTAATACAATTTGTAGTTGGATCGAATTTTTATTGATGTCTTTAACACTGAATTGACAACAGATTTATTTTCCCGTTTGTCCTTATTTGGAACACACGGCGGGTGTGACGGGTCGCCAGGTTCTCCATGGCACCTGATCCCACCTCTATTTTTCATGGCCCATGTTTGCTCTGCTTATAATTTCATTGGAGTTTTATGAAGAAGCTTTCTTTTACATTTGACAGCTGACTTTTACATTCTAGTAATTAGAGTTTGTCTAATTTATGTTTAAATTGTAGAAGTCAGTCGTCGATTGTAAAAGTAAGTCTCTTCATAAAACTCCATTGATTGCACATAAAACTCCATTGATTGCACTGAAAATAAACTTTTGAGATTTCAAACTTAATTTGGCAAAATGTGCAGTGGGAGACGCTTTTTGACAAGCTGATAAAGATATGGACATGCAGAAAATGATTATCGTTTGCTAAGATCTTTGACGGTGGAACCAAGGACAGATAAGAGACTCTCTTCATTAACATCGCTTTAACTTTCTTACAAATAAAACTGCATTGAAGATTCAGTCAGATCTGAACTTTAACGAAAGCCAATAGACTTGATTTTCTCCCTATTTTTTCTATGAGGACGGTAGCCTATCCATTTCAAACCTCTTTATAATCATTATAAAGTTCCTATTCATATATCTGTCTTCTAGACGTAGACTCTTCTTATCTTAAATCCATGCTTAATTCCAGGCAAAATAGTACATGTACGTAGATAGTGTAAAATCAATAACCATTATGTTACAAAATGAAGTGAAGTCTTAATACATGCTCACTGAATAAGTATAAAGAAATTTAGAAAATGAGAAGAAAATACAGAATGATCTGTGTATACTGTATTGAGATAATGATATTTATTATACATCTACTGTAATTACTCTATATAAAATTAATACTATAAAACTGTCCATTTCCCCGAGAAGAGACTAAGAAAATACTTTTTAAAAATAATTTAATTGTATTAGAACATGATGCATTACTTGTTATACAATGTGTTAAACCGCATGCATTTGTAATTATGCCTCTACAGTGCTTTTTTTTTCAAATGTCGGAATATCTGGTAAAAAAATTACATTGCCTATGATTGTTTCGGTATAATGCCAACAGTTATGGAAAATCAATTTATGGTTCCCCATGTCCAAGGATATTTTTTATTTCTCTTCGGCTTTGCCGCTAGTATTATATTCATTTACAATGTATTCGATGTGAAAAATCATATTCATGGTATATATATATATTAGAGCTTCAATCTCTATTTCATAAAACCGCAAGTATGAATTTCAAAATAAAACGTTAATTCTACGTTATCTTTTGTGGAAATTGTAAATTTTGAAATATGGGGGAAGTAATTCGAATATTGGGTTCATTATAGGACAATGAGATCTACTTGTGAAACAATACGTGAGAGTATGCTGATCATAGAAATGGCACAGGTGCTTGTGGACAGGAACCACCCCCATCTTCACTACAACAGCTTTTGGCAAAGTGGAGGAAAGTAGATTTTTCTGAAATATAAATAATGAATATCTTTCGTTATTCACTTTGATTTAAATTCATCCATCTTAGTATTCATTTACAATTGTTATTCGATGTGAAAAATAAACACACATATTCATATTTGTATGGCAATATTAGAGCATATTTTCAATCTACCTAGTGAGGCAAATGCCTCATAAAACCGAAAGTTTTTCACATTGAATTTCAAAATAATTTTTTAACTTTTGTTCAATTTCTGTAAATCGTTCATCTTTTGTTTTCATTTACAAAGCATTTAAAATATAATTTTGTAAATTTTGAAATACTTGCCGGTGGAGGACTGCAAGTTTTAAATCAATATTAGGCTTTCAGGGTCACTGAAGATGATTTAACATTGTTTTTGTGTCATAGGACCTCGGTTTTTGTGAAACAATACGTGACGCTACGTAAGGACAATTACCTGATACTGTCATCATGACAATTCAAAAGGTAAAAAAAAGTTTCTAAAAGTAAATCTTTTATTTTCTAATATCCATGTATATCTGGAAACATCATCACTTGCCATATCTTCACTACAACAGCTTTTGGCAAAGTGGAGGAAAACTTACATTCAAAATCTTCGACCCAGCAAATGGTAGCTGACTCTTGAAACATTTCAGATCTCAGTTAATATACATAAAGTTCATAATGTTATATCTTGTAATATCTTACATATAATATTGTACAAACATACATGTAGAATCCAGGAGCTGTCTGAAGATGTACAAAAGGAGAGACCTGTAGGTGTTCATTGTACTTACCTGTAAAATTTGATACCTTTCAGTCAGTACTCCCGTGGAATCTGAGAGCTTTCAGTTAGTACTTATTCCCGTAGGATCTGAGAAGTTTCAGTCAGTACTTATTCCTGTAGGATCTGAGAGATTAAGCTTTAATTATTCCTGTAGGACCTGAGCTTTCAGTCAGTACTTATCCTCGTAGGATCAAAGAGCTTTTATTAAGTTATTATTCCTGAAGGATCCAAGACCTTTCAGTCGACACTTATTCCTGTAGGATCCAAGATCTCTCAGTAAGTATTTCTGTAGGATCTGAGAGCTTACGACCAGTACTTATTTCTGTATGAACTGTGTGCTTTCACATGTATTGTTGTACCTCAGAGTTTTCCGTTTGTGTACAAGCCTTTAGGGTTTTGTGTACATGCCTTTAGGATGTGATATCTTTAACTCAGTATATATTCCTATTGGATCTGTGAGTTTTCCGTATACGCACATCTACCTGTAGAACCTAGTTCCTTCAAAGCATATAACCTGAAGGATCTGAGAGCGTTCAGTGCGTTTACTTACCTTCTGATTTTGAGAGACTCACACAAGTGTACATACTTGTAAGGTCTTAGCACAATGGATATTTACGTACCTGCAGGGTTTGGGTGCGTTCTATTGCAATGTTAGTGAAGAAAGAGTCCTTCATCACAAAGAACGCATTCCTAAGGTACATGTCCATCTGATGATACATGTAGGTTCCAAAAGCACAGGTACAGAAATATATCGTTGCATTTAAAGATATCTGCATAAAAAATACATGTTCATGTTAGGAACTTGTAATTTTTACGATAAAATTATATAGACAATATTGCATGTTTGTAAATACATATATATAAATATATATTGTATTTTATTTGATTAAAAAGGCATACATAAAATCACCTTGTGACTTCAATATTTTAAAGTTATACATATTACAAGTTATACATATATAAAAATAAAGTACTTTCTTTCGTTTGCAAGGGATTTATTGTACAGAGAAACGTGGCAGTTGAGTCACACAGTTTTCTTTACGTTAATGATAACATAACAAGTCCATTTTATTTCAATGTATTGAAAATAAAATGGAAACAGAAGCTGATTTGAGACGATGGCAGTTGATATGTTCTCATTTTTTATTGCCATGCAAAGACAATTTTCTTCATCCAAAAGCTAATCACTTTTATATTAAAATAATTTTATTCGTTTTATTGCAGATTTCTGGCTTTGAGTTGTTCATATGGTACACAGCATGTTGGATTTTTTCGTGGTTTTATTTCCTTGCTACGATGTCGTTTTTAATACAGTCGAGCGTTGAGAAAAGTTGGAAATTTCCGGATCAATGTGACAAATGACAGTTTCTTGGTAACGGAAGCCAATGTTGGCATTTCTGAAGAACAAACCTCGACCAAAGACTCAATAAAAACTGCCATGACTTCTAAAAATTCGAAATCACGCATGATAAAAAATAAATAAATTGAATCCAAACACAAACATAGAAATTCCTTTTTCTTTATAGAAATTAAATCTTTTTCATAACATATATATTTTTATCCTTCAGTGAAATTATATTTCCTTAATATAGGAAAGGAAAATTCGATATTTTTAATTTTCTGTTGTAGTTTCATACACGCAGATGCTTTGTATTAGATCCTTATCAATCAACATTACCTTATTCAATTAAAAACAATCAATGAAAAAGATCTGTTAATCGCGATCGACAAAAAAAAAGTAATCTATTGTTCACATAAAGGATTTTATTGCATACAGACACTGTATCCACTCGGAAGTGTTTATGCGCATGCGCCATTGCTGCGGGACATTAAATGAGCTGATAGGGCCTAAAATAAGAAATGGTTTGTTTGCAGTTGCCTATCGACCCAATGAAATGCACCCGACTCAAACTTTTTTTCATTCTTTATTTGAGAATTTTTTTGGGGGGGGGGTTCAATTTTTATGATAATGAAACTTATTTAATTTTCTAATTTTTTAATTTTTTGTTTCTGTCGATGATTGTATGTAATTCAACGTCCCTGTCGAGAATTTTTCACTCAGATGGAGACGCCACTTGGCGGTGGAGAGCTACTTTTGTCCTATAGCGGGTACTCAGTGCCATGAGCAGTGAGGGATCTTTTTCATGCCAGCAGTTACTGCGACACGGGACCTCATTTTATACGGTCTCATCCGAAGGACCGGTCTCCACGTCCTACAGTGGAATTCCAATCCGCGACGTATGAGGATTAACTCTCTACTTTGCGACTCTAGGGCAGATGCTCTAGATACCACTTCGCCACGCGGACGAATTTTGGCATAATATAAGATAAGCTTTATTAACATAAAAATAACCCTACGAAAATCTCTGATTTGTAATCCAACAAAAACTTGATAGCTAAATCTATTTAAAAAAAAACACACCTACCGACCCACTCCAAAAATTATAGGTCGGTAACTGCAAACAAAGAATTCTTTACGCTTCGCCTAGGTATTTTGTAAAATATCTTGGCAATATTTGATGATGTATTTCTAATATGATACTGAATTTAGACCCAGAATCAGGTGAGTATTAAACATGATACGGAGTCCTATGTTGAAATGGACAGTACACAGCAGATGTCTGACAGAAAAATAAAACCTTGAGAGAATGCAGAGGTAAATGGAAGTATTTTATTGATTTATCATTAAGAGAGTCGTGGATGTAGATAAGGATAATGGAATCCGTCTCCGATATACATATAACGGTAGGGATACCCGGCACCACCTGCCATTAGAATCTCGTATAAACTATAATTCCAATAAATGGAAAAGCAAATCCAACATTGTCGTCAAGGTAAACATTCACACGATCACCTCATACACAAGCGCGCGCAAAAAGCTACACACAAAAGTGCATACAGAAAGAGGGAAAGAGAACAATCTGTGTTCCCCGCATATGGAAAAAGAGGGCATGCGCGAATCTAGATTGGGGGGGGGGGTCGGGGCTCTTTAAGAGAGGTGAACAGGGCCATTGGGAGTTAAAGTTTAAAATCATAAAATTTCATTGCAAAAGCTCAAAGGTTTCTAGAGATTTCTCCTGGTAATGAAAGTTTCACACAAAGACAGAAAATATGAATTACCGACCTAAAAATATGAATTACCGACCTTGAACTTTGGACCTCATCATAAATTTGGGTCTTAAGCCATATGAAGTTGTGATATAAAATTCCATTGCAAAAGCTAAAAGGCTTCTCAAGATATCGCACGGAAATAAAAGTGTTACAACAAATGAAAATTATTTTATTACCTTGACCTTTTGGCCTCAAATTATTAGAGGTCTTCTTCAGGCCATAGCAGTTATGTAAAATTTCATTGCAAAATCTCAAAGGCTTCATGAGATATCGAGCGAAAACTGAAGTGTTACACACAGAAATATATCAAGACAGACAGACGGACAGATAGAACGAATTGATATCCCCCAATTTCAGTGGAAAGGGGGACAAAAAGTTTAAACATCGGTCAGAAATAAATCAGAAGATCACAATACTTTAATACAAAGTTACTGAATGCTGATGAGTACAGGGTATATCAATATTTTCTGTTTGATAAAGATCCCATGTCTATTGTATCGATATTCAAATGTGACCAATTTAAATTTTACAAAGACCTCATTCAATGCTATACAGAACAAAGAAATGATCAGAATAATGATTTTTATGCTTTCACCTGTCTCAGTGAACATGGCTGTTTTCTCGGTAGATAGGAAATGTCTGCTTTTGAGACTGTAAATCCGTTTTACATAATTTTATTATGAAAAGCTTGTATAAAGCCTTTTACTGCAATTATATTTTTCAGAAAAAAGTGTGTATTAGAATAATGAGGACTTAAAATTTTCGGTTCATCTATCGAACATTCTTAAATATCAATAAAACGTATTATATTGTTCTTGAACACAGGATTTTTGAATCTCTGATTTGAACACATGTACAGACACGTGCCCCCCTCCTTTTTTTAAAAAAATCCCTTAATCAATTAAGGACTTTTGATGATGCTTTCTGGTGACTATACGGATCTGGTCAGGTATTAGTTGACCAAGGCCAAAGACCAAGGTTAACCAATGAATGACGAATGTTAAATCACCTTAAAATGAATATAGGAGTTTTGTTTCCCCTATTGTATAAGCAAATCTTGAGTTGGTTTAATGGTAGAACAAACGTCTGGAACTTCAATTTGAGGTGAATTCACTCTAAGGAACAGATCAATCAGAGAGCACCGTCGTGTTGTAAAGTTTAAATTTACAGCGTAGAAGTAAATAAAAATTTACAGCATGAGTTGACAACTAGTAAATTTTTTATTTACTGCCACCCATCTTCGCTAGCCAAGGGTTTCTGATACCCTTCTCTCCTCATAAACCCTTGGCCTACGGTGAAATCAAAAGACGGGATTGTTTTCCGTCACGTGATCTCGATACGCACAGATTGCGTCATCGCCATAAATAAAGACACGTGTTAAAAAAAATTAAATCAAAGTTTGTTCAAGAATAATTAAGAAGCAATAATTGAGTTAATAGAACAAATCTGAAGCTTCAACATAGATTCTTAATCACATATTTAGAAGATATTGGATGACACCATGGCTATTCATAGAATTAAATGTTATATTACGGATCGTTGTTTTCTTGCGTTTTTCATTTCCGAGATTAAAGAGTGAAGATGTATCCCGAACGCAAATATCGTCATTTACAAAAAACAATTGCTGATTGGTCGACCTGGGTGTACTGAAATCCAATCAGAACTCGGTTAATTCAGATTTTATTAGGCCAAAGGTTTTTACCTGACTCCACGCTCCATTCAAACCTCGGATGTGATTAGTTATGCATCAGATCCTTACATTTCTCCGCCGGAAAATGCCTTATCACTCCTTTCATATTTCGCTCTGCATAACGTTCTTCGAAAATGTTTCTTAATTTGTGCAATTCTTTATCGTAAACAGGTTTTGATTACAACCTCATGTAAGTAGGCTTTGAAAGCAAGAACAAACTGTAGAGTGTGCCACAAAATAACCCCGATTTCAAATGTATGACACATGAAAGAAATTCAAAAAAGATCACATGACTGAATCAGCAAGATGGTAGAACACCTTTGACGTCCGAGGTTATGTGCGAGGTACGAGTCATCCGAGGAACTCCGAGTGAAGGTTTATGAGGAGAGTAGCGTATCAGAAACCCTTGGCTAGCGAAGATGACTGCCACCCGGTTAATTCAGAATTTATTTTTTACCAGCACAGTATTTCCTGATCATTTAATAACGCCCATTATTTAACTCTATCGCTCCTTTTATTCCTATTACATCTTTCCAAAACATCTCTGTACTAAATCCATTTAGATAACCTCGGATCCTTTCATGTCATTAAATGTCATATTTATTCAAACAGAATATTTTTTTTTGGTTTTTATCACTCAGTTTGTGTTGCCTTAAAATAGTCCAAAATTCTATGACCTTCGGCCCTTGGGCTGATATTGGAGTTGATATGGGGCGTGATTCAAATTTTCGTCATTTAGTATTCTCTATTATATTGAATAAATATCTTAAGTGGCTTCGCATTTACGTTTATCTTTATATACATTATGCCGTATTCTTAAGCTCACAAACATAATCGTATTCGCGACTAGCATAATGTACAGCAATACAGCATTGTTTTCGCGGTAAAAATTGTCGCGTTGAGAAATATAGACTTGATTAAGTTGATGGCAATGGACATGTAAAGAAAATCAGCTTATTCTAATCTATACGGGGAAAACGGTGCTTAAAACCACAAACGGGCTTGTCTAAACATTACCAAAATTTCAATCTGCTGAAAAATTACAATAACTTTTTTGTGGAATGTACAGGCGTTTAATGGATGTTGAAACTCACCTGATAAATAAGTTCAGTAGAAGAAGTCCCCCTTTTGAGCAATTTAAAAACAATAGCTGATATTTGTCCAAAAAACAACACGAAAATCCACCCGCAGCAAACCCAGTATCTCACGGGAAGGGTGACAAACGCTAGAAAGACTAAGAACACGACCCACTCCATCCGGGTCCCTGTTAGTGAAATATCCTGTAGATCCGAGATCTGGAGAAACACCAAAAGGAAAAAGGGCAAAATGTTGACAAATTGTGATACGATGTGCGAAGTGTTAGTCTGAATTTCCTTCGCGCAGTACAGACTGAGAACGGCAATATTTACCAGGAGAAAGATACAGGTAGACAATATGACCGGTACCTTCTCCTCTTCAAAATGGAAAATACTGAGCGCAAAAATTATGCCTCCGAATACAACAGACGATAAAGGTAGGTGTTTGGAAATACACAACATTTTCTCCTTCCTGAATAGTATGTACTTCTGCTCTATGGTCTCTGATTTGTAGCGTTTCCACGGGAATCTGTCGTGAAGAATTGTCCATTCATCCTCGCCATCCATCGCGTGTTCGTCTGCTACACTAAGCTTAGCGGTCAGTTTGCGATTGTCTGCAAGCATCGGGTAGACTCGCGCGCTTACAGATGACATTTTTTTTTTATCAGAGTGTATGTTTTTTGAGATAATCACTTTAAATACATGTATTAACAGTACATTATACCTTCTTATCCCATTATACAGAATCTGAATCGCACATCACATAATCAATGCATCGTTAATTTGTGCCTTTGACAAAAGTCTGCTCTTTTTTCTATATTTATTATAATGAGCCAATCAGGCACGAATCACAAAATCTTCAGCATTCATCTTCCTATCACGGGCACAATACAATTGCTATATTTACACTTTAATTAGCGAAATCAAGAAAGCTGTGAGTTTTTACAGTTCACACAATAAACGTCGTTGCTACGTCGTACACTCTTACAAACATTCATTGCTTTTCCTATTTCAGACATGTTGTCCATTTATCACTTTGGGATATTTTTTCCAGATTTCTTTCCAAGTTTCCGTTATTTTTAATTTTCCGGTACCCCTCATCCCAGTGTTCCCTCCATCCTATCGGTGTATCCATCTCTCAGTGTCTTAAAAGTGATAACCGTCCTGGTGTATAGATAGATATACTCGCAGTTCCAGAGTCGGACCAACCATTGATTAACTTTTCAGGAGACAATGGCATTGTCTGAGAAGCAGGGTACCTTTAATCAGAGGAACGAGGGATTTCCCTCTGTATAAACACAGAGATTATTAAAATAATTTTAATCACATTTTATACAGGTAAAATAAATCCTTTTTCCTGTGAGAGATCAATTCGCGTAATTCAAAGGGAGAAAGCGTAAAACACAGAGACCAATAGTATCGCTCTCTGATTTGCTTCGTGTGATATGAAACCTGAAGGAAACTCAGGCTGGAAATTATCACTAAGTATACACGGTCAGTTGTCAACATATCATCATATATGTATGGCCACAGAAATGTCAATGGAAATGAGCAGAGATGAAAATTATTAAAACGCTTTTGCTCTCTGAGAGTATTTAAAATATCTCATTAACACAAATGGTTCGTCTTTATGCAAGAAATGCTCAGATATATCTATAAATTTCTTCCAGAAAAAGTTTTAAACGTTGTGTTTGATTTAAAAAAAAATTACATACTTGCTAAAGATAACTTAAGACAAATGTATAATTAAACAACTTTTCTGTTTCTATAAGGGCTATTAAAATCAAACTCTGTCGAAGAAATATGGGTAATTAGGCAAAAAAAATGCGTAAAATTAAACACAATGTTTAAAATCCGGAAAAGGCTTCATTATGCATTTTTAAATGATCAGGAATTTAATGCTTTCTGGTGTTTTTGGACAAGCTCTCATGTCTATGCCAGGAGCAGATAATAATAGAATAAGAAAAATGGTGCTTCATCCGTTTAATATTTGGATGTTTAACTGTCTAACGACGACAAAACCGGGCAACTTAACTGTATAATAAGGGAGAAGACTTCAGCTTTTTTTTTTATCATCTTTCCTTATCTTATGAAGTGATGCTAGAAACTCACCTTCTTATGATGTCTATGTATCCAAACTTATTCACTTCTAAGACCTTGTTCTGTATGTGTACGATCATTGTAAAGCCAGGCTACTCACCGATACGTTGGTCTTACAGGGATATCAGCAATGCCGTTTAAATTCGGCATTTCGTAAATTCTATCGTCACTATAATGACCTTGTTAGCAAATATATATAACCTATCATTGGATTGTATTATTACTGACTTTTTTCATACCAGTTGTTAGGTTTTTGTTCTAAACTGAATTTAACTACGAAAAACTCCGACTATCTAATCGATAGATGTGACCGGTTAACAGGGGATGCTTTCTCCTCCTAGACAACTGATCCCACGTCTGGAATTTTCAGGCGTTCATGTTTTATACTCTGTAGTATTTATAAATTAATATTTTTTAGATTTGATGAGTTCGATCCCGGTTCGTTATTTACCCCTTTCACATTGTCTACATTTACCCAGCTCCGATAGAACTGCAATGTTGGCCTCCTGATCATATGATAAACACAAAATTTCTAAAGAAAATGGTCAATTTACCAATTTAAACTTTTCATATTATTATATTGTATAATTTAATATGCATAAAGATCTGAAAGAATGGATTTTCGGGACGATTTGAAAGCTTGCTTCAGTACTCTTTGTATGTTGTGAACTACTTTAAGTTAATGAAGATTAAATGCTCACACAATTTGTAGTCACTTGAAAGCTTTTGCGAAACATTTTTTTCATCCAATAAAATGCATAATACAAGATATTTGAATATTAAATCTCATTTACTTCTTGGTATAAAAAACATTCATACATGTAAGAAAATCAATCGTTAAATAAAAATTAATGAAATGCTACATGTATATGCTTATTGCTCAACATTCACTCTCACACTTCATTAGCACAAGATATCACACAATGAAAACTAAGTAAAATATGATAGTATTATGCTGAATAATCATGAATAGAATGACGATATAAACAAAATATTGTAAATAACGCCAATGGGTTAAAAAAGGCTTCAAAAATAAAATCTCTAACATTCATTTTCTCATAAACAAACATATAGTTCATATAACATTTATACCCAAATATTCATATAAAAAAATATTGATCCTTAAATGTATCTATAAACAACAATAAAATACGATTTCTTTTCTTTAAGACAGATATAATTCATGGATTTCATTGAACTAGTTTAACTAGTACATGTAAAATTAAATTGTTATTATGACAACTTTTGAGTAACCACTCCTAATTTATTTGAGATTCCATCCTAATAATACGAATCCATTGCGTATCAATGAATAAATCGCACTATTGTCCATATAAGGAGTGATAAAGCGATTGTATAGATGGCGCTCTGAATTCTGGGAGATGTATCTGCCAGAAGTTGTTGCGTAATAGTTCTATCAATAGGCACACGTGAACCAGCTGCAAAGAAAAAAAAAACGTGATGTTATTATTTTTTTATCTGATAATTTTCGTATTTAGTTCCAAACTCGTTTTAAGAAAATTTAATGTACATTAATACATATATGCATCCATTAAATAAAAGTTCAACAAACATAAAAATTGCTTAGTTTAGATTTGATTGGATTATTAGTTTTTTTAAACAAACTACCTAGAGTGAAGTATAATGTTGGTGATTTTCTCCCGATCCCCCCGAAGCTATAGCCGGAGACCCTGACGGCGTACACATAGTCCTTCTCGATCCCCGTGATGGTATACTCCGTCGGGTGCTTGGCGACATCGATAGGGTCCGCCGTACGGAAATGCTCATTAGCTTTCCAAATAAAGATCTGGAAAAGCAGAAATATATCTGCCATTAGTGTTAATAACGTCTGAGAGCTCAGCAAAAGAATTCTGTTATTGTCATTATATTATGTGTATCCATAAACCATCAGCAGCTAATGGCTTCGATACCCAGCTACAAAGACAGACATTTTCAATAGCTATACTATTCCATTAGCGCTTCCATTTTTCTTCCTCTGTCTTGCTGACAGATTCTTACCTATATTTAGCTATTTCACGATATAAAAAAGAAATCAAAATCATATGCAATGTACCTTTCGTAATAAGACTTTAAAATAGTTTATTTTTTAAAATGCCTCATCAGATTTTTTGCATACCCTGTAACCCTTCAGTGAGTCTTCGGCCTGCGATGTGCTAACCCCTCGCCATGAGAGAATGACGGAAGAAGCGTCCTTGGAAACCACGTCTACTTCCTGTGGATAGAGGGCCGGAGCTACAACCGAAAAAAAATACACATGGTCACAAACCTTACAGTGTCATTTAGTATCTATAATAGGTCGGGTGGATAGAGAATTTCAATGACAGATTAATATGTATCTGAGCATTCTCCTTTACATACTTAATGTAGTAATTTCAAGATTAACGAAAGAAAAAAAATGTTTGGGGTAGGTGGTGATGATCAATACTGAACTGAAGAAATACCGTATTACGATTTTTTTCTGGTTGATTCGTGCGTTCTGGTGTAAATATAAACCCATGTCTTACATATCCAGCTATTAATTTTATCATTACTAGCTGGAAATGTCCATGATTTTCTTTTTCTGTATTTTATCCAGTAAAATGATTATTACGGTGAGGTATACCTGGATTCATGGTTTCCGCCGGATATGGCTCTCCGAGTGGACCGAGTCCGGCATCAGTGAAGACCTGGGCCTCCACGATATAGTACGTGTCCGGTTCTAATCCTATAATCACCCCGGAATCCCTCTGGCCGTGGAATCTTATAGACTGCTTATACTTATAATCCTTTGTGTCGTCATCACCTTGCTCTCGTAGGTAGTAATTTACCTGGAAAAAAATCAATCTTATAGGAACGGGGCTCAAAACAGCATCGTTATTAGTAAATTTATTATTGTATGTGGTAAGCATATTTACATGTATTTTATACAGTAAAAGAAAATGCTGATTTTACAGTTTTTGTGTACAAGCCGCTTTCTTTCGTACACATATTTATGACTTATGAGGTTTCTTTAAGTTAGTTGTCTAAAAAGGGACCGACAGTGAATTTATTGTTTCCTTTACTGTTTAAAAAACTACTGAAAAAAAATTAGGAAATACCGTGGGAAACGGGGGACGGGGGGATCCCATCATGGATCCCCTAATGTACCTTAACACTGAATGAAAATAAAAATGTTGGTGTTTTCCCTCATGTAGTCGTACCTGGTAGCCTCCTAGCTTGCCTTTAATTTCCTCCCGAGTGTCTGACACCGGGTTCCAGGTCACCAATAGAGCTGTGGAGTTGTAGCCCTCGCCTCTGATTTCGGTGGGCACCGCTATGGGCACTGAAAAAAAAATGGACAGTTGACAAAAGGAAGGAGATAGATAACGCGCATTGTTCAAATAACAAAATGACCAGATGTGAAAAGTACATGTAGACCTAGAGAAGGTGGGGACGCGTTTGAGAAAGTTATGTTGAGCATACGCGTCGGAACCCGGGAAGGGGGGCCTTAGCCCCCCCCCCCCACTTTTTCTGCAAAGATAGACATAATATAGGGATTGAAGATTGAGGCGTAAGTTTAGCCCCCCACCCCAATTCTGACAGGCACGTTGAAGTTTAGCTCAAAAAGGGGTGAGTGGAAGTGTACACATTTCCTTTTTTATGCTTGTCAAGTTTTTTTGTAGGTTTGATTTTTTTTCTTTTCACTTAGCCCCCCCCCTTTCAATTTCCTTCCGACGCCAATGTTTAGTGCATCAATGTCTGTTCATCATGCATTAATACACGGTACAAGTATTGTGGAAAACATAAGGTTTTCTTGATTTTCATTTCATTAATAGTGCAAATAACGGTTGCACAAATAAAATCGTTTGTTTGCGTTGAATTCAAGTTTCGTTCGCTTGCCCTTTATGTTTACCCATAACGTTAGGTTTTGGTTTTGATTTGCAAGAGTCCGTTGATTTATTTTCGTCAAGACCATCAGGCGAAAGAATCTTTGCAATAATGATATACCATCAGTCGGGTAAGTAAAAAGGACTGGTTGCCTATAGACATGACAATATTACACAGTCACTATAGTACATTCCATTTGCGTTTTTCTCAGCAAGATCCAAGAAATTGTGACCGATATTTTTCCCAAAAGCACACAACTACTTATAAATAACTTTCTTCTCTTCTAGACTCTGGGGATCCGGGTTAGAATAGGTCCTCAGTACCCCCTTGCTTGTCGTAAAAGGCGACTAAATGGGGCGGTCCTTCGGATGAGACCGTATAAACCGAGGCCCCGTGTCACAGCAGGTGTGGCACGATAAAGATCCCTCCCTGCTCAAAGGCCGTAAGTGCCGAGCATAGGCCTAAATTTGCAGCCCTTCACCGGCAATGGTGACGTCTCCATATGAGTGAAATATTCTAGAGAGGGACGTTAAACATTATACAATCAATCAATCAATCTAGACTCTAACTAAATTCGCATGATGTCACGGTATGTATAGAATTTGTTTATTATATTCACCACTGAATGCAAAATATATTAAAGTATTTAAAAGGTATGTTAGTTTTACACTATAGTACATACTGCCCATTGCGGAGTAGACAGTGGCAATAGACGTGTTTTGACTGGTTCCCAATCTGATTTTGTTAAGTTAACACTATAATAGCACTTAATGTCCATTGTTGAGCAGACACTGACTATAGAAGTTTTGACTACATTCCCATTTTTTTGGGGTACGTTTACACTATAGTACTTACTGTGCACTGCTGAGTAGATAATAACTATGCAGGTGTTTTGACTGGTTCCCACTCTGTTTTTATTAAGTTTACACTTTAATAGTACTTACCAATACCTATTGCTAAGTAGATAATAACTATCCAGATTTTTTGACTGGTTCCCCGTCTGTTTTTTGTTTAGTCTACACTATAGTACTTACTGCCCATTGCGGAGTAGACAATGGCTATAGAGGTGTTTTGACTGGTTCCCAGACTATTTTTAGCCTGCATTTTGGTCTCGTACTGCGTCCAGTAGAAGTCCTCCCCCACTTGTACCACCAGCTGCTCCTGTTCCCAGTTTGTTATAATTCTCTGCAAATGACACGGATATTTTGATAATATACTATTTAATGTGGTGTGTATTTTTTCCCTACAACTTGATTTTATATGAATAACAAGGCCGTAACTAGGCTCAAATATTTAGTAAGGCAAAGGTGATGGGCATTTTAGTCCCAGACGGGGTATAAGGGTAGTAAATGATGATAAGTGATGGGGGTTTCCAGGGGGAGGGGGATCCTGAAACCTGGGTATTAGAAAACCTTGTTCCACAGTGGTTATAGTATGCTGTTCGCAGACTAAGGAATTCATCGCGGGTTCGCACTACAGGAGACACGTTTAAACCGAGGTCCTATTTTGAGTAATAGTTCTCTACTCTTCCATATCTTCAATAAGCCCTCCACCGGCAAGTAGTAGTGTCTCAATATGAATGATAAAATCTTAGAAGGGATGTTAAACAATCAAACAATTTACAAAACAAACGTTTTGAATTATATTTTACATGCGTTCTAAATGGAAAACTGGTGAGATGAACGATTTGGAGAAATTGAAACAAAAGTTAAAAATATTTATTTACTATGAAGATACATAATTTTATGTTTCATATTAGTTCAATGTAAAACTTTTTCACTTTTTAGAAAACTGTAAAATATTAATGAGGCATTTGCCTCACTTGCCTCAGTGGTAGTTACGGCCTTGAATAATTTACCTTATTCCACAAGGAATCCGTGGCGGAGTTTGGTTTAAACAATCTGAAGTAGACTATGTACGTCAAACCTTTGGCGCCGTGGTACTTCAGAGGTAATTTCTATAACAACCAAAAGAAATAATATCAATACCAATATAATATTTAAAGTCAAGAAAAAGTAATATGTTATGATGCATATTGTAAAGGTAAGGGATCTTTATATTGATAATTAAACATCTCCTAAATATAAATATAAATACCACAGAATTCTAACATAATTTGCTAGAAGTGGATATTGACTTAACTGCTTTTAAGTACTTATTTACATTCCTTTATTTGATAAATTTTTGGTCGCATTGTACAACGTTGACCTTCCTTCATAAGCATTGACTATAAATAACGTCTGCAATTCGTGCATTATTTTGACTATTTAGTTGAAGTATGAATCAGCTGTGCATGTTTAATGAATTCTTAAACTTCCGCCTAGACATCAATTGTAGATCCATACGAGCAATGATTACCGATTCATATATACGAATATCGATTCATACGAGACATCGATTGCTGAAGCATATATATGAGGCATCGATCGCTGATTCAAACGAGGCATCGATTACCGATTCATATGAACGTCGATTGATGATTTATGCGAGCATAGTGCCGACTCATAAGAAATTTTTACTTCTGGTGCAAGTGATAAGTGATTGGTGGTGCTTAAAATTTCCAACGAATTGAAAAAGATCGAGGACCTTGAGAGGGTTTGAATATATCATTAAAAAAACCTCGTCTGGTATGTCCGTACGTAGTTTGATTATTAAAGTTGGCGTGAAATGGCACCTGGCACTTCCGTGAAATAATCCAGTCTAACTGATGGAACATCACAATAAGCATTGTCAATAAATTACAGATGTTTCATATATATATTTCGTATCTGAGTATTTTAATTTGAACGGACACAGGTGAAATGATAGTTTTAAAAAAGAACTTAAGGGTTGACTAGTGTTGTTCTCTACTGGCGACACATAATTTTTTTTTTTTACATCTTGTATTTGGAATCGTATCCAATGTTGGAGACTTACGACAGCTTCTCTTTATCACTTTCAGTACTTTGATTTACATGTAACTACACTGACCTTCCACGAGATCATCAGCTGACCTACTTCCACGCCCTCTGTCCGACTACTGAGGTTGCTAGGGGGCTCAGCAGGGGCAGCTTCTAATGTGTTCACAGGACCTTAAAATCAAATGTTAAGCTTGATTACAGTTTTACTGAAACACTCCCCATCTCTTATAATTTTTTCAGGGTATTAACTCTCTAGAAGTTTGAGTTACACTGTATAGAGATGTGTTTCTCTGTATTCCTCGTCGCAATTATAAAATGTCTTTTATTAAGCTATTTAAAGTAAATAAAGTTTCACATAATAATAAATGATAAATCTCATTGGAGCCTCACTTGATGGTATACAGGGTGGGCCGACTCCTTGTACATTAACTGCCTTTATCCGGAAGCTGTATCCATTTCCCGGATGTAGTCCTCGCACTGTAATGGTGCGCATGTCACGGTCGTTACCGTTAATAACAGTTACAGGTGCAAAAACAGCTTTAAAAAAAAAGAGAAGAAAAATGTGTTCAATTTCTATTATGAATTCATACCATTCCTAGTTGGTGACAAAGTGTACCTAAACAAAAAAATAATTTAGATGCTTTTTACTTTTAAAAAATATTTACTTACTGTGTGTTTCGTTGCTGAAATACCAAGTATCTTTCTCCGATTGAATTTCATATTCTACTATAAAGTATTCGATGGGGAACCCGTGACTTGAGCCAGGGAAGAAAAAGATGTCGATGGAGGTGGTAGTAGGGGTTCCTGGGTCCGCGTAAAGACCGCCCACCACTCCAGGGGGTCCTAAGAGAGAAACCACAAGTCCCGACTAAAGATTTCATGTATAGTAACCAAATAATCATTTTCCTTTTTAAACTGTTGAAATATAGCGCTTACCATACACAGCCAGTTCGCCTACCGCTCTAGCTTCATTGAGCGGCGTTCGTGCAATACATTCATACTTCCCTGCGTGATAAAACTGTGCCATTTTGATGTATAAACCCTTGCCTGATGGCAAGTTTGCCTGTTGCAAAAAAAATACATACATGTAATGGCTGACACAGAAGGAATTTACATGTTCTATATGAAGCATGTTACTATAGTCTGTTACGACTAGTTTCTTCAGATGAGCCTGCATCTAATTTTATGTCAATCTCAAGAGAAAAAACAAAGATGATTGTAGAAACATTGGATACCCTTTAATAAAAGAGAGAAACAGTAAAATGATTGTAGAATCCTACCATTTCATAGTGAGCGTTTCTCTGAAGGTCTATGATCTTCCCGCTGAAGGTCCAGACATACACTAAGTCTAGGGAGACGTCGTAGGACGCCGTGCAGTAGATCAGAGCCGTCTTGTTTTGGTAAACCTCCGTCTTAGGAGCCGGGGGGTAAGTTATTGTAGTGGCAACTGTCAAGGAAAAAAAACATTTCAAATCCAGTATTTTCTCCCTTTGTTTTAATTCTCTTGTAGGTCACGCAAGTAACATTATTTGATCTGTTACCGGGTAGACAAAATGTTTTTAAATTTAAAAAAAATCATTTTATAAATTTCATTTTTGTATGGAGAGAACTTTTATTATGCCATTTATGTTTCCATATTTACTTTTGTCAATACTTATCTTATAGTACTATTACGCTAAAAAGATTGCGTAACATAAGAATTGGATATTTCATATACCTTTAATATTCAATTTGCAAAAACTTGAAGCACTTCCGTAAATATTCTTTGCTCTACATTCATAGAAGCCTTGGTCTCCGTAGTTAAGGTTTGTTATTTTCAGAAAATTATTAGGCATAATTTTAACGCGCGAGTCTCCGCCAACTGCTGCGCCATTTCTTAACCACGTGATTTCCGGTTTGGGTGCCCCTTCCGGTTCACAAGGAATGATGATTTCTCCGTTAAGAGCTGCGTCAATACTTTCTGGGAGTTGCTTTTTCTTAAAGCTTGGTTCGAATGCTAAAATGAAAATAACAAATGTAGAATCAATAGGGTGGTGAATACATGTATTTAATACAATCGTTAAAAGAAAGTAGATGCGACTTATATAATTGTTTAGAGTGTTGACAGTGCATTACCGTACAGCTGGTGAAAATCTTTTATAAATCAAGTAAGGTTTCGATATATAATTTATTCGACCGATGTGCCAAGTTCAAAGCTTGTGATGCATTTCGGCAAAGCAATAATATATATTTAATATAATTATAAATATTTCTTACCCAGCACCCGAACTTGAGCGGCGCTGAATGACGTTCCGTGCACGTTAGTGGCGGCACACTGGTACATCCCGTTATGTTTGACGGCATTAGCGTTCCTTATGGTCATAGTATTCCGATTAACCTACGAGAAACATTATATTTTGCTTCACTGTTGGTTTTTTTTTCTTCAAATAATGCTTTGATTCAGCTAATCGAGGACTGCTATATTCACTGAGCCCCAAGGGGGCTGTGTATATACTTGTATACACCCACATGCAGGTTATAGCAGGATATTACTACATGAATAAACAAGCTAATTCAGAGAATTCGTGTCCCCCGCTTAGGGAAAAAGTCGGATCCCCCTGACTGAATTTGTAGAATTATTAAATGTATACATGTATACTGAGGCAAATAAAATACATGTATGTCAATATGCATATACAGATTTGATTGCTTATTCTTTATTATGTGTATAGAAGATTCTTTTTATATGGAATATTTATCACACTGTAATGATGATTTTATAACCTCATAAATTTTTCATTTCACATGCTGAATACTATCATTCAGTAAAAAAAGGAAAAGTACATGTATTTAAAAAAAAAAGAAAAGAAAATATAGAAAGGTTCGACCGGGATTCGATCCCGGGACCTCTCGCATGTGAAGCGAGAGACATGACCACTCGGCCACAGAATCGCTTTACTTAGTGTGAAGTATATGCAGAACGGAAGTCACATACATGTATATATTCATGTTCGGTATTCTCAAAATTTTACACAATCCATGGTGTTTGATTTATTTAGCCTTTATTAAACAGTTCTAATAGATGTAACAAGAACATAAAGTCCGCCGAGAACCTGTTTCATACGCAATAACTCGCCTCATGCCCCTGCGCTAAAAATAGCGACATGTAATACTATAAATACTAATAAAACAAACGGGGCGGGGCATTTTGAGAGGGGCGAGAGAGGTCCTAGGGAGTTTTGGTATAAAATTACATTGCATAAAATAAGCTCAAAATCTTCCTGAAATATCGCCCGGAAATGATAGTGTTACACACAGACAGAATGTATAAATTTTCGACCTTGAACTTTGACCTTTTGACCTCAAAATCAATAGGGGTCTTCACTAGGCCACAGGGAGTTGTTATGTAAAATTTCATTGCAATAGCTCAAACGGTTCTAGAGATATCGTGTGGAAACGAAAGTGTTTTAACAGACAGAATTTGCTTATTTATGACCTTGACCTTTGACTTTTTGACCTCAAAATCAATAGGGGTCTTCTTTAGTCCATAGGAAGTTGCTATGCTAAATTTCATTGCAAAAGCTCAAAGGGTTCTCGAGATATGGAAACGAAAGCGTTACAGACAGACAGAAAGACGGACGGACGGACGGACGGACAAACCCAAATTAATATCCCCCACTTTTCAAGCGGGGGACAAAAAGGTTGGCTAGGATATACTTACTGTTACGTCGTTATTGCTGTTGGGATCAAATAGTGTGCCGTTGATATACCAGGAGTAGGTGGGATTAGGTTTACCGTAGGCCAGACACCGCCAGGAAGTCTCCACCCCTTCGTCCAGGTGTTTGTGGTCCAAGGGAATCAGAAAATATGGCTTAGCTGTAAGTAAATATCATTTTGAAATCTATATTATAAGCTAAATCTGCACATGCATACCACTTTCCAATAAAGTATAGGCAGAATTTTTAGCGAGGATTTAATTTTGGCATTATAAGCGAGGGTGCCAAGATCGCTAAAATTGAATATCGCTAAAAATTAATGGCGCTTTATTTGTAATAACTGCTTACATTCTACAGCCAGCAGGACCTCCTTGGTGGCGATAGAGCTCTTCCTCTTGACGATACATTGATACATCCCCTCGTCCTCATACTGAAGGTCATCGATCTCCACCACTCGGTTAAAGTCGTGGTACTTCGCCCTGTCCGGCATTCTCCCGCCCACTTTACTCCAACCATAGGACCACGTCTGCTCGTATTCTACAGCCCTGTCAGTAAGCAGTTTACAGAGTTAATTATATGCCTTACTTGAATACTTCACTTTCTGACAGAATTTTTAGCTCACCTGAGCCAAAGTTACAGCAGTGTAACTTATACGAGCATTGTAGCCCGCGAGAATCTTGATTATCTGTATACAAATAATTTCCATATTATTGTGAAGACTTACGTGCCGTAAGCGAAGCACTCCATTCTGACCTTGTGACCTCTCATAGGGGGGCTGGGGGAGACTTCGATAAAATCAGGATGGATGACCGGGCCCCATTCTGTCTTAGCAGCTGAAAGGTAATTTATCGTAAATAATTAAAAATGAAGGCATGGTCGACTTTCCTCATTACAACCCCTTTCTAATCAAGTTCAGCGAAAGACGTATCATACAATTTGAAGATTTTATTAAACATTATCATGGTTGATAGACTCACCTTGATTGAGAATCTCTAGGGGGATCTTTTTGCTCATTCTACTGGGGGCCTGACTAGAGCCGACCACATTCTGTTTGCTAGGGACGTTTAACGTCACCTGTCAAGATATAACACAAGGCGCGTGGGAAACAATGCTCACCTTCGTAATATACTCTTCAAGTGAATTCTATTTCAACTTTTAGTGAACCCAAATTAAGTTTAACACAGTTTTAACTTCAGCTTCATTTTTGTCATAAATTTACTTTAGAAAGCCAATTTTGATATATACGGAAGTACTAACAGAATAATTGGATATCTACATGTAAATATATAATACTTCAAGGTGTAGTGTTCTAGGATACGGGCCTTTATTTTACCTCGCAGTAATAATCAGTGGCGTCGGCGTAAGTGGCCTCAGTGAAGTAAAGTTTGCCGTTACCGGAGATGAAGATGTACGGTAACTTTTCCGTCTCAATGATGTGTATCTCTTCATGTCCATGACCGTTGTGTACATTGTCGTTTTTCGTACTCCGTCTTCGCCAGGTATACGTCGCCGCTGAAACATAAATAAAACAGTAATGTAATGATACAAATACTTGGTTAATTTTCAATAATGTTGCTGTAAAGTTTTCTTATAATAACTGCAATGAGGACATTGTTAAGCAATGTTAAGAAAATATTGACATTTAAAGAATGGTTGTGATAAAAACATAAGAAAGCCCCCCCCCCCATTTTTTTTTTATTAAACCGTTGCCACGGGCCAGGTGACTCGGTTTGATCTCACTTTGTCCCAGTTCAGTTTCTTCTTACTTGACTCGTTATGAATCCCCGAGTAATAAATGGCCGCTCCCTTGAGCTCCAGAGATTGAATTCTTACCTGGCTTATAATTAATCTGTGAGCATTCAATGACTGCTCCCTCATACGCCAGTGATCGTGTGGGCGCATTTTCGACATTGGAGAATTCTCCAAGATCTAAAAATAGAAATTGAAAGTCTTTGTTACATGAAAAGGAGTTAAATGTCACGATTTCTCCAATACACTTTTGTTTTCGGTGATTATCGTATGTGGAAAAAAAATCCGTCAATTATCTCGTTCAAATAATACGCGAAAATCATTGTATTTAATACGTCATATCCGGTGTGAAGGACTTACATCCGAAGTCGATGTTGATTGGGTTACTGACGATGGTTCCGTACTGGTTGTGGGCCCTACACTGGTATTGACCCTCGTCATCCTCCACGGGGTTTTGGATTGACAGCTTACCATTGGTCAACGTGTACCGGACGTTTGTTTGGGGGCTTATCTGGAAAAGGGGGGAAACGGACATGAAAATGGCAGGAGATTCCACAATTAACACGTGGGTAGATACATGTACTTTTTGGTGTGGTTGGTTAGGTAAGAAAAAGTAAGGAAACAAAAACTAAAATGGTTCAAATGGAGTTCGCTTAATCTTTTTTAAAAATATAGTATGGAAGACATTTTTTTTTTTAAAAATTCAGTTCCCACAGTGGGGTTTATTACAGGCACCATGGCGTTTAGAAATAGAGATATCTTTGAAATTCTTTTAAAATGCTACTCCTTCTTACGTTTTTTTAAATTCAGAAAGCTTCGTATAAAGACTACACTTTGGTACGTAAAACATAATTCTGAATATCGGGGTTTTTTTTTTCGACAAACGATTTTGCCGCAGATACTAAAAATAGACATTTCATTTTAATCCTTTCCAAATGCTTCTTCTTTGAGTTTCTTGTCTATTACACAATATAAGTAGATTATATACCGCGGTATTGCATTTAGGACACCAGTAGAGCTATAGCCTTGTCAGCTGGTGGTACACCCTGTAAGATTTTCCTCCGTGTATAAGACGTTAGTTTTCTATACTATATATACATAAGAGTTTAGTTTTGTCCTGATATTGACTCGGCTTACCTCCTGCTGAGTAACCTGTTAAACATTTTGTATCAAGTGCAATGTGGAAAAAAAAAAGTTCTTTATCACTGAAGAAAAATATAACAAAGTAAAAAGTCAGTATTTTTGTAAAATTAAAATAAGGTTTTAAAATTGAATTTATATGTAGAACAAAGTTGTGGTTAAGGAATGTTGAAATACAAGAATTAACCGTTCACAAGTTCTACCAATGATTTGATCAGTCCCCTACTTCTATGAAGTGAATTGTAAGACTAGTGTACAGTCAGTTGATTTTTACCAGTGTTTGATTGGTCTTAGGTCCGCGGTACCACTGGTACGTGGAGGGAGGATTGGACGACGCCCGACACTCGATGAACAGGGAGGGCGTTTTGGCAATCATTGTGACGTCAGTCGGAACCACGGTAAAGGTGGGGCCGTATTTAATGTCCATCTTGTCTGTGGACTGCACCCCAAAGCCTACAAAGGTTATTTGAAAGTACATATCATATACTAGATTAATGTGCATAATTTGTATATATTTCTAAAATCTTGTCAATACTTTAAGACTGTATATACAGATCATGTTTACAATTACATTTTTTGAAAACACGTTTCAAATTAAATGAACATATTTTATTTCAAATAAAAATTATTTGTGAACATATTTTTGAAATATACTCACTGAAATCCCGTTTTTGTGTCAGAATTGTGTATGCATCTTGTTGACTGATTTCGCAAATGTAGGACAAGCTAGTGTTGGATGAGACGTCTGAAACTGAAATCCCGTTTTTGTTGCCATCCATAGGCAATACCATAAAACCTAAAACCACAACAAAACACACGATGGTTAAGATTAATACTATTCTCAAACACATTTGGGTCATTTTTTTCAAACAGACATTATATTGTAACATTAAAAATTGACTTCTTGTGATGTTGGTTTCTATTGTTTGCATGAACATGCATGTGCGACAGCAATTTTTGTGCCCTGTTCACAGAGTTGTTATTTTTTGTAGATTTTTTTCCTTCAGATTTATCACTGTTTTTTTTTTGTCTTCATCCTTTTCATTTCAAACTTGATATTTCACCGTGTTTTGTGTTTAATTAGATTTTCTTAGTTTGAGCAAGGAAGTTTTTTTACATGTCTACTGAGTATTTCTAAGAAGAATTGTCGTTCCTTTAATCAGAAGAAATCTGTGTAGAATCTGGTAAGGCAAAATATATTTTTCCCCAGAAATTTGCTGTTATTATTTTTTTTTAATGTAAAATATACTTTTGATTTTATGGACATAGATTTATCATTGGTTTACAGAGCCACCTACCGTTGAAGGCGTAACCAATCATATTTCCTGGAAGATTCTGCCCATTATCATTCCAGAAGTTCAGATCGAACCTGAGGTTCGTGTTATCCCCGTCCCATCTGTATTGGCTAGGGTTGGACGGGTTTTTAATTCCACTGGTGTACCAAACACGCCTATAAATAGATAATCATATAAGCTATACCAAACACGCCTATAAATAGAAAAAAATATATTGGCTATACCAAACTAAACACGCCTATAAATAGATAAAGTTACATCGGCTATACCAAAACACGCCTATAAATAGATAAAGTTACATCGGCTATACCAAAACGCGCCCATAAATAGATAAAGTTATATCGGCTATACCAAACACGCCTATAAATAGATAAAGTTATATCCGCTATACCAAACACGCCTATAAATAGATAAAGTTATATCGGCTAAACCAAAATACGCCTATAAATAGATAAAAACGACTACAAAGTTTTTACGACTATAATACATGTTGTATTTACATTTTTTAAGTACATATTTTGTTTTTTTTTTCTCTTTCTACATATTTAGCATAATAAATATGACTGCAAAATTGACCAAATACGCTGTACACTTGTAAATTCGGAGGTCCGTTAGATATAAATTACCTTTGCTCACATTTAAATTTATAATGTCTTATTTTTCGACCAGATTTTAAAAGAGCAAGGGACATGGACTTAGATGTAAAGTTGTTGGAAGATGAGTGATACATTATTATTTATTTCTGAGGATAATTCGCGGTTCTTGTTTACATTTTGAGGTTTACAGCAGTCCCGATTCCTCAGTGTTTGCTATTGGTAAACAGACCCATCTTATCTCTCTTTGATCTTGTGTTGACTAGTAATTCATTTCTGTAAGTTTAAATTATAACAAATTCAAGATTTTGATACTACATAAACGAGAATATCAAATTCAAGTTCTTCTTGAAATGATGTCGATACTGAGTTAGGTGAGATTATAAGCGTGTTTCTCTATGTTATCTGTAGATTTGGGAAAAAAAATCTGTCACTGATTACACGTTTCATTTTTTGATTACAAAATTCTTAAGCATGGTTATGATTGGCTAATTTACCTGACTGTGTCATGGTTTGTCAACCAATCGCTGATGAAGTTGTGCTCTTGGGCGTCATTGATGGCTAAAACATAGGCACTGCTGGCTTCCTCCTACAAAAGCGGAAGTTGTTACGGTCAAGACAGAGTAACATTCATTTAAAGTTGTGTACGAAATCTATATTTATATTCAATTATATGGTAAAAATATATTTTTTATTTTAACAAGAGGCCCATGGGCAACATTGCTCACCTGAGCACTAAAGGTAGGAAAAAGTAGAAAATGGCTTTTTATTGTGAAGTTTAAATCCAAAAGTAGTCCCTTGACCAATCATGGATTTGCTATTTTTTAGAAAATGATTTTTAAAGAATTTTCCTATATATATCTTTAAAAACTTTGGTCGGCCATTAAATAGATGAAGTTGTATTTTTGGCCCCGCCCTACCCCTGTTGGGGTCATTTTTTAAAAGAACAAATTTGTTTTTTTTTACACTACCTGAGCATGCTTCCATATAAATATGATGAATTATGGCTTTGTCATTCTTGAGAAGAAGATGTTTAAAGAATTTTCCTATATATTTCTTAATGTAAAACTTTGGTCGGCCATTTTAAAAGAGCAAGGGTCATGATTTGAACAAACTTGAATTAACTACCTGAACATGCTCCATATAAATATGATGAATTATGGCTTTGTCATTCTTGAGAAGAAGATTTTTAAAGAATTTTCCTATATATTTCTATGTAAAACTTTATCTCTCCATTTTGGCCCCGCCCTATCCCCTGGGTCATGATTTGAACAAATTTGAATCTACACTACCTGAGGATGAACATCAAATTAAGTTTTATCTTTCCTGGCACAGTGGTTCTTGAGAAGAAAATTTTTAAAATATGCCACCAAATTTTCATTAATTCCCAATTATCTCCCCTTGCATGAGGGCGTGGCCCTTACATTTTTTGAACAAATTTGAATCCCCTTCACCCTGTGATACTTTGTGGCAAGCTTGATGAAATTGGCCCAGCGGTTCATTGAGAAGAAGTCGAAAATGTGAAAAGTTTACAGACAGACGGACAGACAGACATTCATTTAAAGTTGTGTACGAAATCTATATTTATATTCAATGTATAGAAAAGCTATATTTTTTAGGTGAGCTAAAAATGCAGTGGCGAAATCTTTGCAAGCCACTTTCACCAAACCCTTGAAGCCAAAAATTTTCAGTCCGCTGCCCACCCACAAAAGAGTTTGTTGGAAAGGAGTAGACCAGAGACATTGGATGCAGGGAGTAATGGTATGATTGGTTAGTGGTATCACAAAAGGGTTTTTTGAGGGGAGGATGGAGCGATCTGAAAATTTTGCATAACAAGGAGAAGTTAATAACTGAATTTTAATGTGAATACTAACCACACAGTGAGCCACCGCCACCTCATATCGGGCGGTAGGTACCGCCTTAAACTTGTAACATCTCTGACCTACATCGTACGACACCCAGTCATCAGGACATTCTGAAACAGGAGTATAGAGAGCAGTGAACAAATTATTAATAAAACACAGTAATGTTGCATAAAAGATTTGCAATTCATTTCAGAACAAAATCAACCAAAAATGGTTGAAAAGTACGTTATGTACATGTAGCTAATTTGTGTATCATGCAGTTTCAAAACTCGTGCTTAGATCTATTTCGACATGCAGGAGACATTTTCTGATCACATTTTGTCCGTCGTCCGTCCGTCTGTTAACTTTTCATATTTTTGACTTCTTCTCAAGAACCACTGGGCCAATTTTAACCAAACTTGGTACAAAGCATTCTTAACTAAAGGGAATTTCGAATTATTAAAATAAAGGGCCAAGATCTCTCACAAGGGGAGATAATAAAGAAAATACAAAAATAGGGTGGGGTCATTAAAAAATCTTCTTCTCAAGAACCACTGGGCCAGAAAAGCTGAAACTTATGTGGGAGCATTCTGGGGTTGTGTAGATTCTAAATTGTTCAAATCATGACCCCCGGGGGTTGGGCGGGGCCGCAATAGGGAATCCAAGTTTTACATAGAAATATATAGGAACAAACTTTAAAAACCTTCTTCTCAAGAACCACTAGGCCAGAAAAGCTGAAACTTATGTGGAAGCATCCTTGGATAGTGTAGAATCTAAATTGTTCAAATCATTACCCCCGGGGGTTGGGCGGGGCCACAATAGAGAATCCAAGTTTTACATAGAAATATATAGTAACAAACTTTAAAAATCGTCTTCTCAAGAACCACTGGGCCAGAAAAGCTGAAACTTATATGGAAGCATCCTTGGGTAGTGTAGAATCTAAATTGTTCAAATCATGACCCCTGGGGGTTGGGCGGGGCCACAATAAAGAATCCAAGTTTTACATAGAAATATATGGGAACAAACTTTAAAAATCTTCTTCTCAAGAACCACTGGGCCAGAAAAGCTGAAACTTGTGTGGAAGCTTCCTTGGGTAGTGTAGAATCTAAATTCTTCAAATCATGACCCCTGGGGGTTGAGTGGGGCCACAATAGAGAATCCAAGTTTTACATAGAAATATATATAGAGACAAACTTTAAAAATCTTCTTCTCAAGAACCACTGGGCCAGAAAATCTGAAACTTATGTGGAAGCATCCTGGGGTAGTGTCTAAATTGTTCAAATCATGACCCCCGGGGGTTGGGCGGGGCCACAATAGAGAATCTGTAGATTCTAAATTGTTAAAATTGTGACCCGGGGGGCATCTTAGTAAAGAACAACATCATATGCTACTCAGGTGAGCGTTGTGGCCCATGGGCCTCTTGTTTTCAATACATGAAGAGTTGTTCACTAAACTTTATTGACTTTCTCTCTTGTGGCATGTGTCACTTTTACTTAAAATGTATTTTCTTTTTAGACAAGACTAATTTTTTTAAAAATTTTGGTTCAAATTGACCTAGTGGTTCTGGAGAGCAAGATAAAATTGCAAACAGACAGTCAACGGATAAAGTTTGCCTCAGCCTTTGGTTCATTACTCTATGCATCATCCATGCAACTTTGGTAAAGGCAGAGTTTAAAGTAACTAAAGGGGATGGGCCTGCTCCAAAATCTTAATCTGTAATTAATCTTATCCAGATAATTATTTCCAAAGCATGCTTGATTGTCATCATTCATACATAAATTTGATGCAAATTTGGTTGGCATGACTTTGAATGGACCTATCAAAAACAATTAAGCAATATATTTGTATATCTTTGTATATTTTTAAAAGCAACACATGGCTATATATGGCATGGACCATCCTCACAATGTCAAGGGTTTGTGATCTCTCGAACTCCGGAGTTCGAGAAATCACAAACACTTGACATTGTGATGATGGGCATGGACCTATAACCCAAACATTTTAAAAGCAACAGGACAATGCATTGGGGAAAATAAAATTAAGGTCAGACACAATACCCAAAGGATGATTAAAGTAAGAAGCTGCAGAAAGCTACTTGACAATGGTCCCTCTCTAGAACCTTAATCCTGGAACATTAAGAATTAGAGTAAAAACATAGTATTCCCAAATTAAACTTCACCGAGATGAGCTTAACCAGTCTAACATTACATAACAAAGGAATAGATGTGTACAGAGCATTTACCAAAGATCAATGTAGAATTGAAAAACTCTAAAAAGTACACTTCACTAAAGGAGAAGTTAAGATAAAGAAGCATTGGTAAAATCATTTTGTTTTTGACAGACCTGCGCATAGTGTCAATCTCTGAACCAGGTTGCTCTGCAATCATCCTAAATAATGTCACAGTAGAAAGCCACCACTGTTTGCACATTTTCTTTAACTTGCATATTTAAGAAATACATTTTTAAAATCTTACCATAGAACTGTGAGTGCGTAGTCCTGAAGCAGAAAGTCAGAACAGAGAGCAATAGGACCCTAGACATGGCTCATCTCTGAATGTCTCCTTAACCTGCAATAAAACAGTTAATTCCATTCTTATATTTCTACAGTTTGTTCTCTCACTGGTTTGCTCTTTTGTGAGATGATCAATTGCACGTTGAAGACATTCTATGACGCAAAGTCACTATACATTACTGATCTTAAGGTGGCACGAGACTTGGGCACCATGTGCGACATTCGTCATTAAGGGCAAAGAGCAATGTAGCATTCCAAAAGAAAAATCTCCTTGAAACATTACTAAAAAGTCGTTGCGTCTATTAACCCCATTGAAATTTTAAAAAATTTTTAGCATTTGTGACCTTTAGTTTAATATGTTAACCCTAGGGTATTTTTGTGAGAGAAAAATTATGTACATATTGTTTTACGCTTATGTTTATCAACTAAGTCCCAGGCGATAAACTGAAGAACTGCACATTTCTAGTGAATATTAGATTGAAATAGAATAAAAGTGAGGAATTGGTGTCATTAAGGCTTATGGTTAGTTTGGTACTGAGTGACTGTGATGACATGGGTATACAATATAAAGCTTAAGATGTATATAGTATACCTAGTTAATTCTGAATAAGTGACTTCAGTTACAAAGGGATAACAATGCTTCTCCTACAACTTCATAAAACGTTAGATTTATTACATAGGAACATGTAAATTGAGAAATTGTGTTACCGATATTGTCTGGACTGTATTTTTTCAGTGCATGTAATGTAGTACCTGTATATAAATGCACTGAGCTTATCTCTGTTTATTAACTTAGGCGGGCGTGTTTTACTTTGGGGAAATGGTTTCAAATTATGCAGCATCACACGTTGTCGTCGTTTTATTGCCGAGTGTAAAATCATTGACACATGACGCTGCATTATCTGATCAACGCACGCCCGACTTTCTCTCCTCTCTATTGCATAACCAAAGGTGTAACAATTAAACTTTATTTTGTTTAGATTGTTGTACGCTTCTTGTAAAAGATTTAACAAGGAATTGCATGTTCTTTGTTAGACTTCGTTGTCTAACACTGTTTAACATTGTTGCGACTTATCCATATTGAACCGGAAGTTAAGTGTTTGCCATTACAGTCATGGCGTTAATTGCATGAATGCTTTGAATGTGATGCCAGATCGTCACATTCTATCTAAATTGAGTGCAAAGTCAAACTGTTTTTGCTTTACTAAACGTGTAAGATTAATTTTAAGTAGTCTTTAAACATCCATTTGAAATACATGGAATTATCTAATTCTTTTGTCCTTTTTACATAATCTCTTACTTTTGTTCAGATTTCTATCAATAGGAAATAAATAGAATAGTTAATTTTGGAATAAGACATTTAAAGTAGGTGTTTTCTTTTCTCCTCTCCATTCTAAATTATATTTAGAAGTTCAACCCGAAGACGCCATAACTGTTCAGTTGCATTTTAGAGAGTACATTGTTACAAAACACAGTATAATTGTGTTTTCATTTACAAGTCTATCTTCTTAAAATGAGATTTTTGGTGTTATTTTTCCTCTCGGTGACCAGGGTAGGGTAAGGTATGGCTAACTCACCTGTCCATGTGTGATGCTGATGTTTACATCCGCTCAGAATAAATCGATACACAACATTTACGTATATGTTTAGCCATCTTGAAATTTCCTATGAATCATTTATATTTAGTCATACTACACCCGAAATAGAAAAACAATACTTTGTGTAAGTAGGAATATGGTATTTATAAACCCATAACCTCTATCTAGAGCTTATTTAGTCTTGTTGTAGATCATAAAAGGTAAAATTAACATTTCCCCTACCTTCCTTATATGTAAATAAAATCCAGTTATATTTGAACTTAAATCTATGATTGGCCCTCTTACTCCAGTTTCACAATTCACTGCGTCTTGAGCTTTAAACCGAATGCATACCTGGCTTTTGTATTGGATAAGGTTCAGTGAATTCGGGTAAAAATCTATTGATCCGCGCTAATTTGGTGCGCGGATTTAACAGCTTTCTCTGCTATGATTCAGTGTGTCAGCGGGTGGCATTGAAATGACGCAGTGAATAACTTAATTTCTTAAAACAACAGGATTTAATTGTACTGACTATATGGCATTCACTCATTTCACTGTCATCTTTAATTTCGACGCGAGTGATGCGGTATATGGGTGAATGATTTGTCCTTTGAAATGATTCAAGGTTGTCTTAAAGGGCATACAAAAATCTGAAGGCCGACACACACACAAGATTTGTATAATAATACAAATTTTATAATGATTCTATACGAAACTGCTCTACCTTACTAAAAGAAAACTGCGCGCACTGTTTGTACACTTTGTGCGGAACGTTTTTCAATGTACTCATTTTTAGCCCAGTTCTCTACTGTAACAGTTCAAATATATATTTTGTTTTAATGATATGATCTGAGTAACTTAGATAAAAGAAAGATATTATTGATATATTCTATGATATACTAAATAAAATTATTTGTGTAAGTTGTCAATTTCCTTTTTTAAACTTTTTATTTATTCTTAAAAAGAATAGAGATATGATAAAGTATTTTTTTGAATTTTCCCCATATGTCCTTTTATTTTTAGTAGCTGCGTTTGTCTGCATGCAATTTGTAATTTTTAATCAATTATCATTGTTTACTTTATTGTTAATTGGTAAGCTATCGAAATCTATGAACGTACGACAAAATTAATCTTATTTGAATGAATATAGAACAATCTGTCATATCACTTGCTGAGTATATATCGGTCTATTATCTTAATATTGTAACAACATCAACATTGCTGTTTGGACTTGGTTTAAACTTTTCTAATTATCATGAAGTGTTTGTCACACCCCGCGGGGATGGTCATGTTGTCACAAGATCGTTCGTTCGTTCATTCATTCATTCATTTTAATATTCATTCTCTCAAAAAATCAACTAAATGGTACAAGAGATACATATAAACATACTGACAACAATATTAGAAGAGCAGATACGAGTTCGATAAAGGACAGTGTCGAGCATATGAAATTATTTCCTGACTATAATATAAGGATAATAAAAACTTTTAAAAGAACATATCGATAACAACTTTTTGTGAAACACATTTATGCACTGGTCACATTATAAAATCTGTCACGCTCATTCGGTAGAGCGCCCTCTCTGTGATCGGAAATTCGTGAGTTCGAATCACAGGCACTTGTTTCGATAATAAACTTTTAACCCATAGTGTAATGATATTATACTATTAGGGTTAAAAATTTATGATCGAAACAAGTGCCTGTGGTTCGAATCTCGAGCTCGACCTTCGCAATGCGCTCGGCACTCTAAAATGAAAGTTGCTTATCCCTCTAGATTAAAAATAGAGGCCGCTTGTAACCAAAAGCGTTGGCACCATGAAAATGATCGAATTATAAGACCACTTTCTGCTCAATGGGCCTGAGTGCCGAGTAAAGGTCTAAAGAGCCTCGAATCCTTTCACCGGTATACGATGACGTCTCTAGATATTTGAGTAATAAATTCTCGGTTGGGCATATATCCACAGAAGACAACATTCAATCAAGCAAGCAAGCACATTATAAAATATGAACGATTTATTAAATTTATATACATATAACGATTGCACTGTATAATTATATGTGTTTAATAATCTTTTATTTTTAGATATTTATTATTTAATGCAAAGTTGTATTCTGAATAAACTATGTCATCACCTAACAAAACAACGTGTCCAGGTCTGCACGTGGTAAACAAAATGGATTCTAAAAATAAAAGATTAACACATATAATTATACAATGCTATATCAATGACCTGTGTCTGGGAATCCTTTTTGGGAAAAAAAAAATCAACAGGTTTGTTTCCCAACAAATATATTCTTGAGCATATTTCACTTTGCAACAAAAATTATAAGAAGAAAAAATGATATATATGTCAAACTGTGACATGTGGTTTAATCATCACAGAATTAGTGAAAGGTCACGGTATCTAAACTTCTCACTTCTAACTCTCGCCATGGTTCCACACCCTAATTTCAAACACAAATTCTATTTATGTTACTAGTACAAGATAAGTAAACATATACACTTTCCCCCTCCCTTTTGCTATTTTTTATCAAATATATGGACATCTCCTGAAATATTAATTCACCTGTTGTATTTCTGTTCATTTGTTCAATTTTCATCACTCAGGTTCAACTGCTGCCCATGCAAGAGAGTAGACGTAATCCTTACTCTCCATCCAGGGGCGGAAGTGGGTATTCATATAAAAGTGAATTTCTTTCTACTTTCTCATGAATTTTTACAAAAATAGTATAATAAAATCAGACCAAACTGTTGGAAGGGTAGTGCTTTGAAAGTATTTCACATAAATTTCTATTTTTAGTAGCCATGGCAACACTGTTCACTGAAATCTAAAAATGAATTAAAGAAATATGAACCTAAGAGTTGTTTACTTGTGTACCAAGTTGCAGACCAGAACTGTAGGAGGAATAACATTTTGAAAGTAGTTCACAGAAATTTCTATATTTTGATAACCATGGTAGCATCATACATTTAAATCAAAACTTATAAAAAGAAATACTGATAAGTATCTTAGTGTAGTCTACTTGTGTATCAAGCTAATCATAAGTTGAAATCAAACCAAAACTTAGGAGGAGACAGATGGACGGACAGCTAGACAGACGGATGGACGTACAGCTTACGATCGCATAAGCTTTCTGACCAGTAGAGTACATGACATGACGTTACTTGTTTTTCTTTGAATAAAAAATATATACCCCTACCTAATAGGTTACAATTGGGGTATATCTTTTCAATTAAGAGAAAAATAAGTCACCTCAGGTGCCTGTGCAGTAGGACTAAAAATTGTACGTGCAAGTTTCAAATTTGTAACTTCCTTAATTTAACGCTATGCAGGTTTCGCTAATTTTCAAAGCTTATTATTTTACGACCAAAATTATAGTTATAACCATATTGCAAAGTATTTTTACCAAACTCAAAAATGATGCAGATAAAAAAATGCAATTTGGAAATACTGTAAATTCAAGTTTAAAATTTTTAACTGCTTTAATGTTATGCTGTTTAACTTTCTTCAATTTTCAGAACAGATCATACTCTTTTTTTAACTCATGTCGTTAAACATTCCAAGCTCGACCATGTACGTCTCCACCATCCCTCAGGCTAAACATTAACAAAATATTTTCTAGTTTATAAACGTTAGTTTTTTCACCAAAAATAAACAAATATCTTTTGAATTTTTTCTCTCACCAGCTGAATGAAAGGTGAGAATATAAAATAAACCTAGCTTCAATGCATATTTTACAAACAATCTTACAAATTTGCAAAAATTTACTTTAAAACGTTAGTTATCTATGTGATATAATTATATCCTCACGTAAAATTCAAATTGAATAATTTTTTTAAAAAATGAAAAGAAACAAAGTTAATTCATTCGTATGACGTAAATTACAAAAACATCGGTCTGTGAAATCCGACAGGAACTGGATTCCATCTGATTATCCTAGGAAATAAAAGGTTTAGATTTTTTTGTGAACTTTTATTGTTCTATTTTCTTCAAACTAAAATGATTTTTTAGTGGATCAACGCATTTAATTATTAGAAAAATAAATAAGTACAGACCTCAATAAATATAGAAGCTTCTCCAAGCAATATTAAGTCGACACCAAAAAAAAAAAAAAAAAAAAGATTGTTGATATTACGAAAATCTTTTACAATTATTTATAATGTTTTCACAATTATGCATTTGTCATCGAAGTCTCAATCTGTAACGCCCCATGTGCATGATGTAAAAAAACCGACATGTTAGTTTTCGAGTTTCAAAAAATTGCACTCCATTCCGATATAAGCACGTGTTCAATTGTCAAAGTCAATGAAGTCACGTGCATCGTAAACAAAAATCACCATTGATATGTAAAAGTGCTGTTGGTAAGCGCTAAAATACTTTGTACTTTAGGTCGATAAAGACAGTTATTAATGCCAAAACTGACTTCAAAAACATTACATGCCATTAGTAGGTGAATATGTGATCATTTGTTGGTGCATCTTCTAAAAGTACATGGAGGGACATAAAGCAGCTAAATGGTAGGCGTCCTGTTAACAGTTCAAAACTAGTCCTACGTTCTGTTGTAAAAACAACCAGGCCTGTGAGAAGCAATTTCAGGAATTATTTTAGGTGAAAAGACCCTCCCTTAGAATCAGGTGTTATTATTGTGGGAGAAAATTCGCAAATTTACTTTTGTATTGGGCAAAAGTTCTAAAAACTAAATACGCCGTTTCCCTACATATGAATTATACCAAACATATTTACATACATGTACATGTATGGTTTTCAGCTTAAATTGAACACAGAAAAGCATAATACATGTATGTAATCAGAGCAACACACATACAATTGAATATATTCCTTATGTAATACACATGCTGTTTTAAATTTACAAGAAGTAATTACTGTATCTACCAAATAGTCCGGACTTTTTAATAAAATATTGTACAAAAGAAAATACGTACTAGAATTCATTTTCAACATCATATTCATTTTCAACATTTAACGTTTCATCTCCCCAGAGTAAAGTGAAAGTATCGGCAGTATGTACTTTACCCATTCGCAAAAAATTGTCAAAAAAGTCTTTTCTAGCTTCTGTACATTTTTTGCCTGAGAAGAAATAATGATTAGTATCCTCCACTCTTCCACAAGAACATTTATTTTGAGGGGTGAGGCACGTGCATACCATATATTAGTGCGTACAGGTCTGGAAAGATCACTAAAATTATTTCAAACTCTTCTATATAATTCAATTAATGCAACATGAGAATTTAACAAGAGGCCCATGGGCCACATCGCTCTCCTGAGCACTAAGGGTAGGAAAAAGTAGAAAATGGCTTTTTATTGTAAAGTTTAAATCCAAAAGTAGTCCCATGACCAATCATGGATTTGCTATTTTTAGAAAATG